ATGGCTGAAGTATGGCACCAACTTTGGCGCTCCTCTGGCGGACCATAGAAAAGCCAAACTTTGGCACGTCCCAAATAACGAAATTAGGCGTTGCTCTGGCAGTTATGGCTGAAGTATGGCACCAACTTTGCCGCTCCGCTGGCGGATTAGAGAAATGCCAAACCTTGGCATGCCCCGAATTCCCAAATTAGGATTTACTATGGCAGTTATGGTTGAAGTATGGCACCAACTTTGGCGCTCCTCTGGCAGATCAGAGAAAAGCCAAACTTTGGCATGTCCCAAATACCGAAATTAGGCCTTGCTCTGGCAGTTATGGCTGAAGTATGGCACCAACTTTGGCGCTCCTCTGGCGGACCAGAGAAAAGCCAAACTTTGGCATGTCTAAAATACCCAAATTAGGCGTCGCTCTGGCAGTTATGGCTGAAGTATGGCACCAACTTTGGCGCTCCTCTGGCGGACCATAGAAAAGCCAAACTTTGGCACGTCCCAAATAACGAAATTAGGCGTTGCTCTGGCAGTTATGGCTGAAGTATGGCACCAACTTTGGCGCTCCTCTGGCGGACCAGAGAAACGCCAAACCTTGGCATGTCCCGAATTCCCAGATTAGGATTTACTATGGCAGTTATGGTAAAAACCTTACTGCGCCAAAGTTGGGCCCTTATGTTTGCCAGACCTTTGCCCAAGTTGGGCATTCCCCTGGCGTGCTACCTGGGAAGGCACCTCGTCACATGCTTAGTGGTTCGAAAGTTCACAGCTATGTCTTTTCGACCTAAATAACTGTGCCAATGGTAAAAAAAGAATAAAAAAAAATATATTAATAAATGCGGAGATAAAAAGCTGGAGAGAAAAAAAAAAAACTGTCAAGAATTCGCCGGAAGTGTTGTATTCTTGAATATTCAGAGGTTCAGAACTTCGAAACAAGTTTCTCCTACCAAAATGTCTACAGGCTAAAAGAAACACGTCCCAGGAACGTGAAGCGAAAAAAAAAAAAAAAGTTTTCTTTTAATGACGTGCTGAACTTGAACAATATTAGAGATCTTCTCCCATGAGTTAATTTATTCCTTAACATGAAAAAACAATAAATGCATTTTTTTTGTATTCTGCAGATGGCAATGATGTGTACTATTTGTGGTGTTATTTTAAATGTGATACCTCAAACAACTTAGACGAAAATAAATACCAAGTTTAGGGCATAATTGTACGTAGATACATGTTTGGACATTTCTTCAAAACTCACCTTGAATAACAATAATCACACCTCAAGACGACACTTACCTAGACTATGCGGAGGGCAAGTTCGTCTGCTCCTTGCGCAGGGGGTAGCGGTGACGTCAGAACGCCGAGCCCTGATTGGCTGATCGCGACCCCCTTATCTGAGCGTCGTCTGCTCCTTTGCAACATCGTCTGCTCGCAACGTCGTCTGCGTTTGTCTTACCTTTCCTGCGACTTTCGAAAGTGCAGAGGCCAGGTTCACAAAACGATCTTACGCCAAAAATATGCGTAAGACAAAACTTGAGAACAAATTCGTATTCACGAAACAAAATTTTCGTAAGTTTTGCGCCGGTTACGATGAAATCCTACGACAGCTCCGAAGCTGTCTTAATCAAACCAGCATGGCCGACAGCGTCGCTGTCGCGACGACCAACGGACGTTTATTTTTCTATGTGCGCTTCTCACGCGTCCCGACTTCAAGCAGCAAGAAAAAAGTAAAAAGTACTTGAAACAGACCACGACGAACAAGAACGCTGGATCCACAAACACCCAGGGAAAAGCTCCAACGGCCACGATTCCACCGAACGCGACGAAGCGGGCACGGCAGATAGGCCTAGCAGGCACTCCGACTCGGCGACCGTCTGCCCAAGACCGGCTGGCGTGCTGAATGGAATATGCCCACGCGACCCTTGTGAACCCTTCCCGTCTTATACTTTGATCGCTGACCTCAATTTTAGATTAAGAGGTCAATCTCTTCATCTTGTCATCTCCTTGTTCTCCGAGGCAATGGTGACTCTCGCCGGTAAAAAAGCGGTGAATCTCCGACAGACGCAGGAAAGGTAAAGCAGCCATCGCTTTGACTACCAGACGTAAAGCAGATGACGTTCACTGCGCCAACCCGCCGACGCCATTAAAGGGGCCCTGCAAGGACTTTTTACTGGTTTTTAATTTGCGATGAACCTGAGCGCACTGGACGGAGTAACTTAGTGAAATTTTCATTTTCTCGAAATTCGCTTTATTTTAAAAGTTATAGGCAAACTAGAATTATAAAAACAAGCAAAAAATAACCTCCCCCATGACGTCCTTGGTTGCTTGAGCGGCCGTGAATTAGAGGAGGGGTAGTGGGCTCATCGCGAGCGCTCACGGCTGCCGCACTCCATGTCGACGGCGCGAGAGGGCGCCATTAACTCATGTTCTGGATAGGCTGTATCCGGCGGGCAGCCAGAGCGGCTCTCATTGCATTTGCTGCGCGATTAAAGACTAATTCGGCATGACACTTCATTGGCCACAAACGACAGCAAACACGGGGTAAAGATCAGTTCAGAATGGGAGCCACTTCGCGCTGCCATACCGCGAAACGGCCAAACCGCAAGGCAAAACTTCTCGCCGAAAGCCTTCAGAACGCTCAGAGCCGGTAGGATCCTCCAGCTGCCTCCAGTCAATAAAAGACCGCAGCGCCGCCGCATACATCCGGGACCTTTCCGTGTCGGCGGCTGATCCCACTACTCTTTTCTAGTATGCGTCGCCTTTTCCACCGCTTGGTGGCGGGTATATCGACGGGTCATTTCTTGTTTCCGTACTTTATAAACTGCATTAGTTTCTTTTCGGATCTAAAATACTGAACAAAAACTACTTTTATAAATAATTGAAACAGTTCGCGCCGCTTATATTTTGTATATCGACTAAAAAGAAGCTTTTAGCGGCTCTGACCACTAGTAAGCCCAGGACCTAAGACGTCACATTTTGCGCACTTTCGGAACCGCGGGTCGCCCCCGTCGGTGAAGGAGGTTTCCGCCTCGTCCGGTTAAAATATGACGCACTAATATTTAGTTACTCTCTCCGTGCCCGCTGGCTTGCCCGAACCCCAAGAAGCGTGGAAACTGCAAAAAAGGTAGACGCTTAAATATTTGCAGGGCCCCTTTAAAAAGTGAGGAGTCTCGCCACACACGAAAGGAGGGGAAAAGTATTTGGGAGGGAACTTGCGGACACTAACGCGCTCACTCTCTGTTCTTAGCAAACAAATCTCGGTGCCTCGGGACACCTCGCCAGTGAGTCCTTTGACTTCCCTCCTTGATGCGCGTCGGCTAGTTGTTAGACAAAAACAATGTACCGCTCGAGTTATTTCGGCTGCCCCCTCTGAAAGGCGAAGTCGCAGGAAAGGTAAGACAGACGCAGACGACGCTCAAATAGGGGGTCGCGATCTGCCAATCAGGGCTCGGCGTTCTGACGTCACCGCTACTTCCTTTTTCATGCGCAGAAGACGAAAATGAGCCCACTTGCGAGGCGTATACATAGATCATTCTTAAAACGTTTAACATCTCTACCATAAATAGCTTCGGCTACAGCACGCTTCAAATCTGACATAAACAATAATTGTCAAGAGCCCGTCGTTCTTCCTCGCCCCTTCGGGAATTTATTTCTTTAAAACTAAGCATGCCAGAACATTGAAGTAAATGGCATTGTCTTCCGTAAGGAACGCAGCACCGCATGTAAAAGTTCCAGAAAAAAAAAATTATGAATGTTCCTCACTACTTGAATTCAAATGAAACCGTCCGCCGGTCGTTCGAAGTTCGACAAACGTTGAACTTTTAGCCTAAAAGTTCGAAGTTTGTCTACCTTCTGACTTTTCTGGATTCGTAAGTTCGAAACTTTTCGAATTCTATTGATAAATTAGTTCGAAAGTTCGAAAATGATTGAATTCTTTAGCATAGGAAATTCGAAAGTTCGATCTTTTTAGTGCAAGAAGTTCGAAAATTCGAAAATCTTCGAATTTTTTGGTCATTCAAGTTCGGAAGTTCGATAAGCATCAAATGTTGCAGCGTGATAAGTTCGGAAGTTCGAAAAGGATCAAATTTTTTAGCGTAAGAAGTTTGACGGTTCGAAAAGCGTCGAACTTCGTAGCTTAACAAGATCGAAGATTCGACTTCCGTTGAATTTTACTATATAGAAAAATCTAAAATTCGAAATCTTTCGAACCGCTTGATTCGATCATCGAAACTTCGGTTCGAAAAAAGTTTGCGGCATCCCTAGTTAGAAACGCTTTGCCCCTCCCCCCCCACTCCCTCTACCCTACAAATGATTTGATTGGCGCTTTCCCCTAGTAACTGCCAAAATATTTTATTCAACCCATCTCAATCCACATCTTTCCTTTCCCTCTCCCCTTTGGCTATGCGAGTCTTTTCCCTGCCTGGAGAATAACATATCGCATAGCCATGAAACCCCCTTTCCCGTTTTATACACCACATCCCATCCCATCCCCATCCCCCCCCCACATTCGAGTCGACTTACAGTCGTGTAAATACGTTTCCTCACGCGCAGCGGTAATCCGCGGCCGCGATCCTGACCCAGGAATATTGGGCTCTATGCCCATCCCCGCCTTTTTCAAACTGGTGAGCATTGTACGGGCGCGCGGTCGTGTAATCACTCGCAGTAAAGCTACAGGCTAAATTTATCTACTGCGTGAACCACCTCTCACTGTGTGAGAGGTCGGTCAACGCACCTTGGTTTGTTTCAGTTCGATCGTGATATATTCAAGGCCTCCGAGAATCCGAAACTATAGCGATTTATTAAACAGCTTCATTCCGACTACACACGCAGTGCGACAGTATGACAACCAAGTGGGTAACCAATCGTTTACGGCATTTGGCATGGAAAAGAACACGCAACAATTCGCAACAAGGAAATTAAGCAACGACCACGCGAACGAAAAGATAACCACCTTCTCAAGCAGCGCATTTCTAGGGGTCTCTAACTTCCTATGCGCATGCAGAAAAAAAAAAATTACTCACGTTTGCTCATCTTCGGGAGTGCTTAGCAGTGGCGATGCAGAAATAAGCAGCCACAACGCCGAATTGTCGAATATCAGAAAGGTCGCAACAAAACAATACCGCCTAATAATGCGATAATGTCGCCGCCAGTGCCGCCACTCAACTGACTCAACTGCGCTAACGTGGCTAAAGTGGCTAAAGGGCTAAAGCAACAACTAAAGTGAACTCTAGAGAGAGAGAAAGAGAGAGAGAGAGAGAGGAGTTTGTAAAGGTAGAGTGGGTAAGACCAAGGTAAGACTCACTCAAATGGGAGTCATGCATGCTAACTAGCTTTGGGGGGGGGGGAGGGGGAATGGGAGTGAAAGATGTGAAAGATGAGCAGAAAGAAATGGTTCACTTTAACCGCGCTGGAAGCCTGGATTGGATTGTGATGGCTATTTTCCACCGGGTTCCCAGTCGAAAACGCCAAAAGAAGGATTCGTTCACGGACCGACTAGCTTTTTTAGGCGTAGTTTATGTAGGCCACCATAGTTTATGTCTGACGCAGCAAGGCACAGGCAAACGGGACCATGGAGTTATTATAATGTACGCTAGAGGTTCAACTGGCGCTAGTGTCTATGCGAACCAGTCTACTTTTCCAGTCTTCCTGTGCATTCCTATGGGAAAACGCACGTGCATTTTGTCTCTTCGACGGGAAATAACACGGAGCACTTCGGTTATTTGGGTCGTACCGAATCGTACGTACCTTGATTAACGTTGTAAAAGTGTAATTGCTTTAGTTTGCGCATTTTTCTTCATCAGTGAACGATGTTTAACTTCGCTAGATTTCAATCCCAAACGTGTGTTCCGCAGGACGTATGTAAAAACAAGCGACGATTCAAAGCAAAATTACAATGGAAAGGAATATAGAGTGTGTTCAAGGCTCGCCAGCATTCCGGTGACGCTTATATATTGCTAATATGCCGGTCCTGTTTCTATATAAAATTGACCCCGTCGTGCATGAGCGGATAAAAACATTCAAAACGTAAAGAATAAAGTACGTGGGCTGTGAAAGGTGTTTCTCTACACGGCAGCTTTTATCGGGCACTTGTTCTCAAGGATTTCGAGCGTGCGGGTGATATTTTGAACTTAGAACAAGCAGAGCAGAAAGAATAAAGCGGTATACTTACTTATTTAAAATCGGAATATATTACATGGTCTTCAATTTATTTTGATCGTACATGCACGGGTAGTGGCTGATCCAGTGTTGCTGCGTACTTCTTGCAGTCCTTTATTTCTAGATGTCCTTCGTTCGTTTGGCACGTATATTCCCCATGCTGAAAAGCGCCGACGTCGTGTTCGCGCTAACAGTGTCCGACAGTGCACACAAATACACGTACGAAGGCGTTTTAGCACCGTTTCAAATGCGATGAATTTGAAAGAAAAACGCCGTAACTGACCGATTATTGCATCGGCCTGACTGAGAACTGTTCCAAGCTACCTTGTACGTACGAATTATTCGGGATATTTGCATTTATGATCGAGCGCAGGGAGAAAATGCACTCACTTTTCCCCATAGAAATGCATTACCGGAAGTCAATTTCGGACTGGTTGCTGTCTGCTTCAATTTGCGTCAGCCGCCACTTGAACCTCTAGCGTACATTATAATAACTCTATGAACGGGACTTTATCAAAATGGCGCAATAGGCCCTTCCCGAAAGTCAGTCAAGCGACACTGAGAAACCGAAACCGCCGCTGCCGCCGCCTTCAGAGCCAACGTGACCAACGTTGTCAGAGAGCGGCGTTGGCGGCGTGGCCACCGTGGCCAGGCCTGCGCAGCCGTAGCTTTGGCTATTGGGCAGGGCAGGACCCGTTTGTTTTCCCCACGCTCGGTGTTTACTCAACACAAGGCCTGTACACATGCCAACAGTGCCGGATCTATCTTCTGAGAATGCGAGCTTGACCCACTTCGGCTTTTGTGCTAAGCTGGGATCGTGCATGCTGCATTGTTCATGCAGGCCGTCGTGGAAACAAAAGAGCCCCTCCTCCCGCTTGCCGGAGAACACGAACTCCAGTCGAACGCTGACGCCGCGTTCGGTTATGTCGGCCGAGCGCTGCGTCATTGTATTTGTTGTCCCCATCCGTGTAGTTGTTAAGTTGACCGCTTGGGGCGTAACGGTCTGTCCTCCTCCCCATTTGTAACGCGCTCCCCGACGGCTGAACGAGCGAAGGCGCGAGGAGAAAAGAAAAAGAGCGAACGAAGAGGAGAACAAAAGTAGTAATAGATGGAGAGGGTGGTAAGGGAGTCCGTACGCTATCTTCAGTCGATACACGTTCCCATAGATGGCGCAAGTTGTCCTTTACGGCGCGCGCGCGCGCCGCTTGCCGCCCCCCCCCCCCCCCCCCTCCCCTCCGCCTCCACCCCTTTTTTTTCGTTCTCACAATTCGTTGCACGCTTTGTGCACGACCTTCCGGAATTTTTGAAAAGATTGATTGGGATAAAGGAAAAGTAGGATAAACATACAGTTGAATCTCGTTAATTCAAACTCTCTTAATTCAAACTTGCAGATAATTCAAACTAACATACAGGTCCCATCCTATGCATCTCTATGGGAGAAAACTCCCGGTAATTGAAACTTTGCTTTATTAAAACAAATTTTTGGTCCCCCTCGAGTTTGAATTAACGAGATTCGACCCTATATCAGTATTTAATGTATTGATTCTGTAAGTGTGACGTCACCGCTTCAAACAAACCGTTGCTAGGTTTAGATTAAACATCTAAAAATAATAGGTAAAGAAAGCATAGATTTTATGCTTAGCACAAGAAAAGTTTGCCGAGAATCGGCTGTTTCAGAAATATTTGCGACGGCAACTTCTGGTCCTCGAGACGTCTCGCGATGACTGTTGCTGATGCCTGTTGCTGATGACGAACGCACACGGACTGACTGAAGTATGCCGTCTGCAGAAGTTTGAATCGTTTGCACAATGATACGATTTTGTATTTATCTGGAACATGGCAGGCCTAAGAAAACTAATCGGGCCTATAAAAACTAACTGCATTTGCGTGCGTACGAGGTGCTGTCTGACGAAAATTATCACACGTATGGAGATCTGCTAAACATACAACAAGAAAAGCATTTGTTTAGGCAAAGCAGCGTAGAGCCCTCTTTCTGGTTTTGCAGTTAACGTGCATTGTAATGAAAAAGCAATTATTTTGAATCTAACATGAGCGGTTCGAGACCCCAAACTTCGTTTTTAGGCTCGCAATATGGTTGCGTGTTTTGTACCTGCCTCGTAATCATCACATTGAGAAAATTAGAAAGACGTTTACTATTCTCTGTAATGCGAAATTAGAGTGCAGCTCTTGAGGAGGAGGGGAGTCTACAGAGGGGAAGGTATGCCACTCCTCCTTCTCCGCCATCCCCTCCTCTTCCCTCCTCCTCGAATTCAGTTTCCCCGCTAAACTTAGCGGGGAAAATGACGTCGCACGACTTGGTGTCACGTCATCTATGAACAAATTCAGTTTCTCCGCTAGGTTTAGCAGGAAAATTGACGACGTGAGACCTTAACACCAATTCAATTCCTCGCTAAATCTAGCGGGGAATTGAATTGGTGTTGGTCATGTGACGTCAATTTCCCAGCTAAATTTCAGAAGGAAATTCAGTGACGTCAATTTTTGTGCTAAATTAAGCGGGGAAACTCAGCTTTCCCGCTAGATTTAGCGGACAAATCCAGTTTCTCCGCCGATTTCCCCGCTAAATTTAGCGCAGAATTGAGTAGGTAGACCATTTGCTACATTACCCAAGCATCAAGGAGAATGCAGGGCTTGGTGTTCCACGCGCACGCCTTTCCCGTATAAAAGATTCGAAGTGAATAACCAAAAATAAAGCGTTGATGAACGCGCGTGCAAGATGCCTTTTGTTTTAGGTATTTGCTTCAGAAAAGTTGCTACTGCCGAGGCCAGCACATGCGGTGCGTGGAACACCAATCCCTGCATTCTCCTCGATGCTTGGGTAATATCGCAATAGGTCTATTGGTGTTGAGGTCACGTGACGTCAATTTTCCCGCTAAATTTATCGCAGTGACGCCGACACCGCGAAACACGGAAACGGGCGCCTAAGAGCTGCGCTGTAAAAATCCTACCGATTCTTTAGTTTTGAGCAAGACCCCAAGCGTGCACGACTGAGAAGGAATGCTTCTCCATGCTTCTAGAAGATCCGAGTTTACTCTTACCCAGAGTGTAAAATATGAGGAGGCCAGAATGACCTTGCCTAGTCAGTCTCGCCCTAGCTCATTAACAAACATTCTATGTCGAATGCTGGAGGTGCCGAGTAGAGTAGATGTAGTCCGAGCGCAGCTTTGTCGACTCACAGCCAGCTGTCACGCCGACGCATCGTCGCTCGCTGCTGCCGCCATCGACGCTCATCCTTCCTTTTGTTTCTAGACGCAAGTTTGCCGACCGAATCTTTACTTTCTGTTTTACGCTTGTCAATCCGTTTCCATCTGCGACAATATATATCTGTTACGGACAGTTAGTTTGATCACACAGATGTGCACTGAAGCAACTGTGCTGTCAGAAATCCTTGAAACACGTGCTGGCCTGCACTTCGACCTTAATACACTTCACGTCCTCGTACGTAATTCGGCTTCACAGTGTTTTCACCTTCTCGAATGTTGCGGAGCGAGCTCGACGGGAAGGCGTTCCTACGCTCGCGCACCTCGAGCGGCGATCAAAGCTGTACACCTGCACCCTTTGCTTCCGAAATCCCACAAACAGTCGACCCCGAGAATAGAAGTTTTGCGATCGTCACCAACTTCATTCAACATGGTCATGTACTTCCTCAGAAAGAACCAGCGAACCCGCAAAGCCATTGTGTCGTCTGCTAGCAAGGCAAAACCAGTTGTGAAACTTTTTCACGGGCTTCTGTCATTTTTTTATGGTACCGGGGTTGGGGTGGAAACACCTGCATTCGCCCCTGCATATACCATAGAATGAGGCAAGACTTGTTGTCGGGCTAGTGGTTCATGGTAATGACTAAAGTCATATGCACCTGTCCTTGTCCACTCCTTTCTGTTTGTCCTCTGTGTTTAGACATACAAGTTTACCCAGTACCATAGATTGGAGGTTTGTCCAGATCAGTGGTCTCAACCACCAATGTTTCTGGTTCGACACAAGTGAAGGGGGACCCCATCCACCAAGGGAGGGCCGGGAGGGGGCAGTATTGAGCGACTGCTATGACAAAAGGGTAAACGAGGGAAACTAAATGCATGCATACCAACCTTGCAGCCTGAAATAGAGAATAATCAACCCTACTCATTCAGTGTACACGGTTTTGTCTATTCAGCTTTCTGGGGAACCAGCATTAAAAAAATGTTTTAGTGCCTGCCTTGGAGGTTGATCTAACACTTCAGGGAAACCCCAAGAAGGCCTTCAGCAACCTCAAAGGGTCTGCAGACCCCAATTTGAGAACCACTGGTCAAGATTATGATGCAACCACAACCGTGGCTTTGTCAGAATGTCTATAAAGACAGTTCTTGCAATGGATTGTGAGCGCATATGCAGAAGACTGAAACAAAATCTTCCCAGGCCGACTTAGTGGCTCTAGCACCACACAATGACATAGTATACAAGTTACAACACATGATTTATATGAAAGTCACAAATAACCAAAAAAGGGATTAGGCATTTTTTGTCCTTACCCTTTTTGTACCTCGTCATTATATTTTATCCATACTAGCAATTTCCTCGTCTTACCCTAATGAATTTTTAAAATTTTTTTTTCAATTTTTGTAGTATTAACTTACAACATTTTAGAGGCACAGTATATAGATAGGGCCACCTCGCTCATTCTCACTGATATAAAAAAAAAGTTGAGATAATCGACTGAGTTAAAATTTTGTTTAATTTAAACGGGGAAAGAATCACAAGTCTTCATTGGAAAACGAATTACGAAATATTACATTCTTCATCCTAAGCAAATATACAGCATTTGCTAGAAAGAGAAACAAAACAAAAAACACACCTTTAGGAAATCTAAGAACTTTTCCCCAAGAAACCCTCGATTGCAAATTCTATTTCCAATGAAAATCGAAATCCCTTGCACCTTGCTCAGAGGTTACGCAACTTCAAAATCTACCGTACAGCATTGATTAGACAAGATCTGTTTTTAAGACATCAATTTAAAAATAAATAAATAGATAAAATATGCAGAGCTGGTATACCCTCATTACTCAATCACTCAAGTGTCGCCGTAGCTTTGGGAGGTATTCCCTCCCAAACGCCGAATTTGTGTTTCACGATGGCTATTCGCACCATATGCCCCAATTTCGAAGTTTTTCTATACAGGTGGCTTCAGTAACATTCCCTCATCATGTGCCACCTTAAACAGAAAAAAAACAACAAAAAAACGTTAGTTTAGACAATAAAATGGCACAGAGAGTAAAATTGTAAATCACCACCCAGCCGGCCTCTACATGGCATGGCAAAGGCATGACTGTCTACGAGAAGCTGTTGGCATATGGCTCGTTGACCTCTTTTGGAAGAAACTTTCGCTACGCTCGGTAATCTTTCCGATACGAAACTGCCTCATGAAAGTAAAAGCTTGTGGCCTCTGCAGAAGTGTGAGCCCATGTAGACGAACCATGCTCATACAGCTCAAACTTGATACTAGTACTTCTAAATACACTTTACAATCTTAACTTGATGAACCAGAAGCCAATGATGTGAGCCTCTTTAAGGAAACAAATCAAATGTCAATCAACATTGTTTAGCAGACAATCTAATTTCTTAAGTGCATAGTCTACCCAATCAGTGCAATAAGCCGAATAGTTGTGCTTCTGTTTGTGTGTTAGTTCTAGTGTTTTATCATTGTTTCCCACCAAAGTGTGCTTTGCTTTCTTGCCAAAGTATGGCTTTCGCATTTTTGTAAAAACCAAGAAGGGTATAAAAGTCTCAGTATTATACGCAACACCAGGGGAAAAACTATTCTGCACTAAAAATGAATTTTTCACATCTCCATAGCCACCCTGAGAAACAACACACAAAATTACGGGACAATCAACAAAACCAGATAAAGCATGCTTCTCCAGTAAAGGGGGTAAAAAAAAAAAAAAAAGGGATGACCACGTATGAAATGATGTCACATTTATTCGAAATCTAACGTACGAAGCAGCCAACATAAAACCACACACTCGTGGAATGCTTGCGCAAAGGAACACGGAGAACATCAAGCACACATTCCGGCTTCAACCAACACACATGACTAGCTTTTGCGCGCAAATAAATACGACCGAGGACCACACAACCACCTCCGACGACAACGGGCACAGCACAAACAGAAAGAAGCTACTTCTAGACAGAGACAGTCGCGGCAGTACACTTGGTTACATAATTCCGGCCACGAGTTGTAGAAAATCGGTTGAGCAAATACCCCCGCTAAACTAGTCGTCACAAACGCGGGCGACTCGGACGACGAGGTGCACCTTGATTCCTGGGCTCTATCTTGAGTCTTTGTGGTATGTTCCTGGTGTCATAATGAGGGAAGCACTTTCGGGACAACGTCCAAACTTGTTCCGCTTTCCTGTCGCGACCTCCGCGAAGAGTCGGACAGGGTGGTTAAAATAGACTGAGGTTTGACGGGAAGTTAGCGTTTGGGCTGCGGAAATGCGCCGTTTGCTACAGTCACTGACAGAATAAGAATGGTAGGATGCGTCTTTTAAACGCCCGGCTTCCAGCACGCGCTTCGTGCCTTCCGCCATGCTTCGGCTGCGCGCGTGGTGCTTCTTTTTGAAGCGTCGTCGAAGGTAGAGAACTCTCGTTGGAGGCGGAACATCTGAAGCTTCCCACTGCCGTTCTCGCTTCGTCAGCGACTATAGAAACATATTTGCAATTTGAAACCCTCCAGGCTAGTTTCACAGACGGCTTTCTATGGTACCACAGCGCAAGCGTCTGAGACGCTGGACTTTGGATGCCAACTTTGATCGCGAGTGTTCAGTGCACGTGTAGAACCCCTAATTTATGTAGGAAGCCAATGTCAGTCATGGCAACACAGTGGCATAGGTTGGGGATGGGGTTTATAAGAGGCTGAACCCCCCCTTAAAACATTTACCCAACTACGCCACAGTGGCAAACTGTAATTGTCAACGAGAAGTCATTGGCACCTTTTACACTGGCACACCAGTACCCAGAAGTTACCTATATCTCTCACGCTGGCGGCCGAGCTTTAAATGCAGCAGACTTTACGTACAGAAAATGCTGCAAAATATTGCTCACAAAAAAAAAAACTTTGTGAAACATTTTTACGGTGCTTTAAAAGAAGACGTTTCATGGTAGATTAGTAGATTCAAGAAATTCAGAGCTTCTAACGAAATTGCTTAAGGGGGGAGGCTAATCCTTAACATTTCGTTTTTTATTTTTTATTTATCGTGCTGAAATTTAGTACATTGATGTATTTCTCGGTGGTGATTTCAAATATACGATTATTTTTCAGATAGCTTTACTAGATCCTTAATTAATAATAAATTGTTAATTTTAATTCGGTCCTCCTGACGGGCCGTTACCATAAAATTCTTCAGAATATAACAGAAATTTTTGTAGAATTGCATTCACCAAGACATGTTTTGTGCGATGATGCTATTTTAAGCCTGATATAATGATATTACATTGGTAAAAAAACATTTGCAATCAAGTTGCACAAAACGGGAGGCTACATCTTTTTGAGACTAATTAATTAAAATTATTGTATGAGCTATAAAGCAACAAAAATAGCATCACCGCACAAAACATGTCCTAATGAGTGCAATTCTATAAATATTACTGATATATTCTGTAGAATTTTACGCTAACGACCCGCAAAGAGGACCTAATTAAAATGACTAATTTATTGATAACTCAAGATCTAGTAAAGCTACCTGAAAACTAATTGCATATTTGAAATCACCACTGAGAAATACAGCCTCCCCCCTTAACTCACGTCACACTTTCTCTTTCTTTCATAATGTCACAAACCCGGTTTGAACCCAGGGAAGCATATACTTATATTAAAATACAAGATTGCAGAAAAGTAGTGGTTGCCTAAATACTATAAGAAATAATGAACAAAATTATAGAAATAAACAAAGACTGAACAGTAGAGCAACACCCACCCTGCGGTTGGTGCTCTAATCACACACATTGCAAATGTACGTAGGGTGCTGTAACATGTTTGCTGGTGTCTCTTAAGTGCCAAATTCTATTAAATTTTCTGGGTAATAGTCCTTCAATTTTTCCAGTAGCAAAATGCAAAACGTTACGCAGGGGCAGAACCAAAGCGCCACTATCGAGCAAAGCTGATGTAGCACAGCACCGCAAAGCTTGGACCTGCCATCGCGGCGGCACAACACCTTCGTTCCGGCGGCACAAAAATGATAAAAGGTTCAGAGGGTCTAACACGATTCAAAGGAAAGCCCTTCTAAAGTCTCTAGTCCACCGCCTTTACAGACGGTCTTTCGAGACGGGCTGGAAGAAAAGCGCGTCGAGCACTGATGCAGACTGAAGCATACCGATCACGTCCCCAGACACCCGGGTTGCGAGACGAAAATCGAACGGTCGTCAAGGCGGCCGACGTGGAAGCCCCTGTGTGGCGCTTCCGATTTCTCCGTTTGTATTAAGAGGTGGCGCCACAGGCATGGCCCACCCGATTGGCGGAACACAAAGGGTTCTGGATTGGCGAGCGTCAGCGGTCCCTCCATAGTGCCCACACTTCCAAAACGCGTTCGCGACGCAACACTCTGGGTGCTGCGCCGGCTACGTTTTGTTCCGCTTTAAGCCAAGCCTCAGCCGACGCCACGACCCGACAAAGCCAATTGAGGGGTGCCAGAAGGGCTTTGTCGCGGTGCCCGTCGCCTTCGTAGGTTTGCCGCTGCCGGCCAAAGCGATCGCGCGCAGAAAATTAGTGTAGGATCGCGGCGCATTCGCCGTGCGCGATTGGTGCAGTCAGCAACAACAAACCCCCGGGGAACACGAGCGCCGCGACGGCACACATTTGGCGCTGCCTGTTTGGGTCCGTCGGACCGTGGGATTGCCTATGGTCGAAACGGAGTGTGGCGACACCTCTTGTTCGTCTGCCTTCTAAGAGTGGTCACAAACCTCGCCACCGACAAAACCCGACCAGCAGGAGTGGACGAAGTGAGCGAGAGCAGTCGACTGCCCAGCCTTGAAACTGCATGAAACGAGGCGTTGTCTGGACGGGCTTGGATGTGTGCGAAATAAATTGCCTTCGTTGCCCGCTATTTATCTATACCAGTGAATGCTGAAGCAAATGCGCCCCCTCTTTCTCTCGGGAGGAAATCGGCTCTCTGCACGCTCACCGGTGCGACGATGGCCCATTGCGTGCTCGACTGGGAAACAAATAATTCGTCACACGCTCTGTAATAAGAAAAAACATTTTTTTTGCTTTGTTTTTTAACAAATAGCAGGAGGAAAAAAAGGTTCGGAGCTAACTCACCATTTATTTTTACGGAAAAAAAATTACAAGCAAACAAATTACGCTTAAATTTTCGGATGCTTTTTGAGGCTCCGACTGCGGCTACTACCCGACCCGCAGAAAGTCAATACCTCACTTAGTACGACATATCCTAGTATCGGCTGATCTTCCCAAAGAAGGTGCCAAGACGGACGCATAGTCGTACTCAAGAGAGAAACTCTGAGGAAGTTAAATATGCTACAGACGATACGTGCGAAGGCGAAGAAAAAGCCCTTCTGTCCAATCCACGCGAGCAGAAGGAACTGGTGCAATCTCTGTCGCTTGCCAATAATGAGCATTTGCAAAGCAGTTTATACAAAGACAGGTATAACATCAACCAGCTGAGTACAGAACACGACTGAATTTCTTCAAAACCCGCACGGGTTGAACGCGTGCAGTTAAGAAACAGGTGGTGGAGTGATCTGACAGAAGAAAGACTCTGAAGTGGCACCTTTCCCATGCAACTCTTGCTCTAGAATGTGCACGCCATGTCAACGAACTGTTCAAATGAAAGGTGAAATCTCATCTACATGGTGCAAGCACAGTATAAAAACTCTAGGGTCTTCCTCTTCCCCCTAGAAGTTTGTCCCACTACGTCATCGACGGGATAACAATGGCAGCAGGAGTGTTTAGCACCCCCGTCACCAGCACAAGTTTTCTGCCTTAGGTAATGATAGCAGCAATAATGGGCTCAGGCTAGAGTCAGGACAACTCAAAGCATGCTCCTATCCTTCTTGTCCTGTCCACGAGTTATGCGCATGAGCCACAAATCACTGCCAGGGTTGTAGCCACAAAGGCATTGCACAGGAAGAGTTGAAGGTGCACAAAAGCTGCCAGACAGAAGAACAGCGACCTGCGCTCAAAAACGCAACGGTAGCATGAGACACGATCTGGCTCAACCGTCTAACAGCAGTTCAACCCAGCAGCCCAACTCAGCAATTGAGGTACGCAGTCTGGCTCGGCAATCTGCCTCGGCGGCCCAACAGCAATCACACTCTAATGTCCAATTCGGCAGACCAACCCAGCAGCACGACCTGGCAGTTCCGACTTTACCGTCCAACTTGGCAGTATAACCCGACAGTTTCGACTCCGCAGTTCAACCGAACAGTCTAGCAACCTGGCTCAGCACTTCCTTAACAGTTTCGCTCGGCAGTTCAGCCCAGTGGCTCCCCCTAGTGGTCTAACTCAACAGTGTGACTCGGCGGTCGTCCCGACTCGGCAGTTCAGAGGCAAGCCTACCCTACGGTCCGAGTCGGCGGCCCATTTTGGCGGCGCTGCTCAGCAGTCCGACTTGCGGAAAAGCGACGGGTCGAAGACGCACATTCCGGAAGAGTTGAAGGTGCACAAAAGCTGCCAGACAGAAGAACAGCGACCTGCGCTCAAAAACGCAACGGTAGCATGAGACACGATCTGGCTCAACCGTCTAACAGCAGTTCAACCCAGCAGCCCAACTCAGCAATTGAGGTACGCAGTCTGGCTCGGCAATCTGCCTCGGCGGCCCAACAGCAATCACACTCTAATGTCCAATTCGGCAGACCAACCCAGCAGCACGACCTGGCAGTTCCGACTTTACCGTCCAACTTGGCAGTATAACCCGACAGTTTCGACTCCGCAGTTCAACCGAACAGTCTAGCAACCTGGCTCAGCACTTCCTTAACAGTTTCGCTCGGCAGTTCAGCCCAGTGGCTCCCCCTAGTGGTCTAACTCAACAGTGTGACTCGGCGGTCGTCCCGACTCGGCAGTTCAGAGGCAAGCCTACCCTACGGTCCGAGTCGGCGGCCCATTTTGGCGGCGCTGCTCAGCAGTCCGACTTGCGGAAAAGCGACGGGTCGAAGACGCACATTCCGCCGCGGTCGGAGGCCGCCGAGAGTGCGGGCGGCGTCATGTCGAGCGTGTGCAGAGCGGACGACAGCTGGAGGCTCAGCTCCCTAAGCCGCTGCCCAACCTGGGCCAGGTCCGGCTCCGGCCGAGTCAGTGCGAAGAAGCCCCGGCCGGCCTGGCGCGTCAGGTGCCGGCAGTAGGCGCCCAGCACCGCCTCCAGGTCGTCATCCTCCCCGGGGCAGCGGTTCCTGCGAGGGGCGCCAGGTCCCAATGTTTGCATTGGGGCGATCGGTGGCCGAGCGCGTTCAAATGCAGTCGCGCCGATCGTACGTAGTACAAAAGACGCAGTGTTCGCTGCAGACGTGGAGACGGAATCATGTGCAGACGCGCTTCAGACGTGTTCGAAGCATGTTTACTTCATGTGTGCTTCCAACATGTCTGCAGACAGTTTGCATATGACCATTGTGACCGTCCTAAAAGGGAATATGCCTGAGACAGCAGACCATCTTCTGTACCATGTATCAGCGGTGGAACCTAATGCACTGCAGCTCGGAGGACATAAAGCGAAAGCCCTCACTGCACTCCTCCACTAAGTCGATAAAGTGTATCTTTTGTGGCCATCCTTCATATTTATTATTGATGATCTTGACCTTGATTCAATATTATGGACGATTTACGGTGCGGACCATTGCTCTGGGCAACGGAACAGTCCGTATTAATGACACGCGACTGTATCGAAATAAAAGTAATTGTGCGGGCGAGCTGGTGAGCGATCGTGACAGAGAACCCTTCAGACCTTCCGGTGTTTGTACTTTTTTGTTTGTTCCCTAGTCTCGAAGGTTCTCCGCCTCGACTGTATTTACGGCCACATACTCTTTGCTTTGCTTCAAAATTATTCGATTCGATTCAAAATTATTCGTGCAAAGAAATTATTCATCTCGTACAGTCGAGCCCGGTTATATCACACTCAGGTATTTCGAATTATTGTTTATATCGAACAGTCCAAACATCCCCTTAAAAATTACATGTAGTAATAGTATAGGAGCGTTGTCTTTTTGTATCAAACTCCCATGGCGGGGACACTCGATATAGCGAACAAAGCCCGGCCACCCGTTGCTTTTCCAGCGGTTTGATTGCGCCGGTGGCGAGCACATTGTTTGGCGCTTGCGTTGCAGGGCTGGCAGACCGCCAAGCCAGCATACATGCAGTAAGATACACAGTAAAAGAGCAGTTGTAAAAAAAGAAACAATAAACCATCAGAAAAAAAAGTGGAGGATGGCAAAAGCAAGGAGAAGGGCACGTAGAGAGAGCAGGGAGTGCCCGCTGCCGGAACAGTAGCCTGCACCCTTTCCCCAAACACTGCTGATGCTGAGCAACTCCCTTACCCCAAAATAAAATCAGCAAAAAAAAAAAAAAAAAAAAAAAAAAAAAAAAAACTCTTTGGCAAGTTAAGTGTGTCCACAATAGTTGTGCAATCACACTTTGAACGCCTTATCTTTGTTTGCCTTTTTCTTTTGCCATTATTGCTTTGCCATTTTTTTTTTTTTTATATTTTTTTGCCTTTCTTTTTTAGCTGCCGGAATTCAGTGAGCTTTCTTTTTTGTTGCTGCTCAACTTTTTTTCTATGGTTTCTTTCTATGTGTCTCGCTTTTCCAATTTTCTTTCATGTTTTTTTTAAAATTATTTTCATGTTTTGTTGTTTATGCTTTGTGAAAACCCCTGCCAGGTGTGCGTGTAAGCGCGATGGTGTTTGAGGTCTCCGCCAACTACGCTCTACTGTATTTAACGGCTCTCGGCTGCTCTACTTGGTAAGCTCCTGTTTGTCGGGACCTTCGGTATTAGGAGAGACGCCAGGAAATTTCAACTCTAGCTCAATTCAACATATTTTTGTATATCAAATTATTGATATATCCAACTATTTTACGATCCCCTTTGAATTCGATATATTCGGGTTTGACTGTATACGCTCCGAAATAAAACACTGCTGTCCTCACATCCCTACTAAACATGCACACAACACAATTACTTTTTCATTCGTAGAGTTCGTTCCACAAAACTACATCGGTAGAGTGAGTAACTCCCATTCAGTGTTCACCACAAATGACCGATAAAGAAATGCCAAATAATTTATTTAAAAGATTGGCGGGACAAAGATAGATACTGCAAATTTGACCGATCATTCTGAACTTATTATAATTCCAGTTCCAACGTCCTGGATGGTAGACACCGTTTATGAGAATGCTGCTTTTTCAAAGTTCCAGAATCATAAACAGAAAAACAACTAGGGGTGTCACTAACTTTTGTCGAGCACTGAGATTCGACTGGTTCAGCAAACATTAAAAATTTTAGCAAAGTTAGACGAAATTCAACTTACGAGCAGTGCCGTACGACTTCGACACAAAAATTTAAAATGATTTGGAAAGTAGTAGTTCATAAAGTATTTTATTGCATATGCTATAAATTACCAATCTATAGAAAGTACAGAGGTAAATATGTGTACTTTTAATGCTTCAATTAGTTTGTTAACGTTAATGAGTGCTGCACTTTTCTCTGAGGCATTTTAAATTTTTGCACGCGTACACAAAAGTTGAAGCTTTGACGAACCTTTGTTGTTTTTCATAAGACCACACTAGCCAGGGGCCATCTTCTCTGGTGTCTGCGAGAGACCAGAGCGCGCTGATGCGGCAGGCAAGAAGGGATGCGAACGGCGCCGTCTTTTTTTTTTGTGGAGCGAATTCGGTCGGCAACGAGAAAGATTTCCGCAAGTGCAGACGAGGCTTGAGACGTCAACGTACCTGTGGAGGTGGCGGGCTACCTCCGCCCAGCGTCGCTCCCTCAGGAGTGTGTCCAAGACCTGGTCCCCGTCTCCGGCCAGCTCGGCCACCATGGCGGCGCCGGGGGGCGGCGACAGCCGCTCGCTTTCCGTGTCCTCGATGGAACGCACCACCTCGGCCCGAACGGCGGTCAGTTCGTCCGACAGGTCCGCCAGTTGGCACTGGGGCGCCACCGAGAGCAGCTGCTCCAGCAGGCGTCGGTAGCCTTCCAGCAGCAGCAAGGCCTGCGCGCCGACGATGAACGATCATTCAGTCCTACGTGCCGAGTGAGTGTTGCAAAGTCGTGTTGCGACGCAAGAAGGGGTACGCCAATCAAAGAGCAGCACGGAGAATACGCATGGAAGTGTGCACCGTCATTGGTTCAAGTCGGAAGGGAAAACAAAAGCCCAGGGGCGCATTTGGCGGGTAAACAAACGTGCAAGGAGCGGACGAACTTGCACGCTGTATAGTCGCCGGCGAGACGAAAACAGCAGCACATTTTTTTCTGACACTTTTGGCAGTGCCCGACTGGCTCCGTCCAATCGTAGCGTCGGCTGCGCTCAGACTTGAAGCGAAAAGAAGTATAGAGGTGTTTTGTGAAAACTTTGTGCGTTAATTTCGCGCCAGAGTCAGCTTTGGCATTCTACATATTGCTGCTTCGTTCATGCTTGCCATCAATTTGTAGACCAGACAACAAAAAAATAATGAAAAAATATACACAGGCAGATCTCTCGTGAATACAACCCAGGCACTCTCGGTCGCAAAGCCGCTCTGAACTAAGTGGCTTTCTTCTCCCGCGATGCTTTCCAGTTTAAAGCTGTTTGTTTCTTGCACGTGCGGAAACACAATTAGTAAGATTTTCTAAAGGCTGCCCTAATGGAATTTTCTGCAAGACCCGACCTGAACTATGCGAGTCGCACACCGGACAAAACTTGACCCGATCGATAGAAACACAATACTCGCCGACAAAATGAGACCGGCAGGGCGCCCCTTTGGGATGCCTTGCCACCCACCCATGAGGAGCGCACATTTGTCCGATCATTTCGCGGGCATTGTGATGACGTCAGAATGCCGAGCTCCGATTGAAGGACGGTGGGTAGACCTCGAGGCAGCTCGCTTTGAGGTCTACCCACTGTCCTTCAACTGGAGTCAATCGGAGCTCGGCCCTCCGACGCCACCGCTGCAATTCCTGCATAAGTAGCGGACAAACTTGCACTCCGCATTGCCTTCTGTCGTGCCAGCCCGCTCGAGACCAGCGAGACGCCGATGCGACGTCGAAGGTACAAAATTCGCGCTGAATGCGGGACAACTGAAAGACCCCCTCGCTGTTCTCATTCAGTCAGTGACTATAGTCCGTTTCATTTATTTCCTCCTTAAAGGCCTGGTTAGGACATTACATAAAAGGGTCAACGTATCGAACAATACAAAAGTGGCGTAAAACAGTACAATAATGCACAAAAATAAAAACAAACAGCACAGGTTATACATGTACTCTTTTAAATGAGCCAGTGAAGATTAGACACTATGAAGGACGGCAGCTGGTTCCATTCAGGAATGATTAGTTCAATGCACTAGTTTTACCCGAGATTAATTTAATTGGACAAGAGTTGTTCGGCGAAATGACATTCTATCGAGGGTGAGAGGAGGGCACTTTCTAGCTCTCGGCAATGGTAGTAAATTTTATGAAGGTAAAGGTGAAATGGCTTTTTTTGGTCTTAAAAGGGTACTAACGGGTATTTACGCTCGCCAGAGTGTTTAGTTGTACGTGACATATGAGAGCCCAACTACACAGAGAACAATTTGCGGCTCAAAATGAGTTTTCTTTCTGCCTGAAAACCACCGATCGACAACTAGCCAGTTTGAGTCGCACTCACTCTCTTCTTCGTGGTCGTGTGCCGTCTTCTATGGTTTAGACACAACCACCAAATACAGGGTGTCACAAAAGAAAATTTACAAGGCTTATTTTTTTACCGCAAAAAGGAACTAGGCAACACCGAACGCTCATTCTCCGCCCAAAGGTAGCGCTAGAGGTCACAACCAGATGCCAAAGTTTCAGCCCAATCCGATAACTTAATCAAAAGTTATGCGTGATTTTCTGAAAATTTCAATGGGAAAATGGAGCCCATTTTTGCCCGTTTTCGGTTTCTGGTGCCATAGAGCCCCATGTGTTTGAAAACTCCGTCGGCCGCCGTTTTCCCATTGAAAAGTTTCAGAAAATCACGCATAACTTTTGTTTAAGTTATCGGATCGGGCTGAAACTTTGGCATCGGGTTGTGACCTCTAGCGCTATCTTTGGGCGGAGAATGAGCGTTCGGTGTTGCCTAGTTTATTTTTGCGGTACAAAAAGACTGTGAATTTTCTTTTGTGACACCCTGTACAATCAAAGCCATGGGTCATCGGAGACACACACTCAATATTAAAACTAGAAAAAAAATATAATACCCATTTTTCATGGCTTCTAAAAAATTGCAAATACGTTGATTAAAAAAAAAAAAACACTGCAGAGCCATCTGACATTTGGAGACTCTCTCCTCTATATTTTTTCTTCCTCCGCAGCCCAGTTTTGATTTCGGCTTCAACACAGCTGCATTTTTTTTTTTTTTTTACTTTATTAAAAATATATGTGGATCTGTAGCATAATACTGACTGGGTAGCCTGAAAAAAAATTTAAAAAAAATATTTTTTGGGGGGTGTTAAGTGTTCCTTGAAAGGTGTGGAAGTCCAAGTTGACTTTTAGAGAAGAAACACTAGTGGAGTTGTCACACGAAGGTGTTCTGCTATCATTTGAATTTTCAAATAGTATTCAAATAGTATGCTATTTGATATCTGCTACTGGACGAATGCCAATGTTAGAACCTCTCCAACTGCTGCCAAGTCCAGGTAACATGTAGATGCCACATATGTTTGCGTGACTGTCAAACTCGCAGAAGGGATGCACCGTCAAATTCTAGCAGAAAAATCAGATACAAGAAAAGGTTTATCCCTTTGACAAACATGTACGGCGGGAATACCACATTTGAAATTGCTCGCCTAAACACAAAACTGCACACACCGTGGGAGGTGCTGCTATTTATTTTGTCTTTGGCAAACTAAAAATGTTATGTCATCACAGAGTTTCGCTTTTCTGGGGCTATTTGTAGTTTTGAAACGGTCGCTTCGCATGTCGGCTGCTCTGGCGGCAGTGTTAACTAAAGCGCCAGTTCTTCCGATTTCGACTTTTAACACTTGTTAGAATTTAATCAAGAGGATGACAACTTACGATACAATGAGAAAACTCAGAAAAGTACCTCTGGTTCGGAATGTGAAACCACGGCATTCTCGTATGTAGAAGCCAACATGCCAAAATGAAACCGTATGAAAGAAAAGTCACAACTTTTCACCTTCAATATTTTAATTTGATGTTTCTGAGCCTGAACAGGTTGCAAGCCCTGTATGTCCTCCCGCTATATAATTAAGCAGAAAACCTGGGAATTAAAAGTTTGAATATTATTTCTTTGTAAACAAATTTTGACCACTGGGAAACATCTTTTGGGAAAAAGCTCGAACGTCAAAGGGTTAATGGCCACAGTCACATCTGAAGCCTGCAGCATGCGCTTCAGTGTCCACACTAAAAAGGGGATCGAGGAGCGGGAGGGGGCAAAAAATGGGGGACACAGAATGGGGAAGAGGCACTGAATTAGGGGCCACTAAAATGGTAGAGCATTAAAATGGGGGCCACCCAGACGGGAGGCCATTAATCGGGAGGCCACTAAAACACGGGCCACTGAAACGAGCAGCTCCTGAAGCAGTGGGGCCACAAAAAACGGGTTGATGAACCCGAGTGTGATGCCTATATTTTCCGCGTTGTTTCAATTTCAATTTGCTGTCACTTTTTTTGTTTTTTTAGGGGCGAAGCTCCTTAGGGTCTAGCCTTGTCCGTCCGGCCGGCGTCCGTGCTCACATAAAAAGAAAAAATATCTGCGCAGTCGACAGGATTTGGACCTGTGCGGGGAGACCCCAATGGATTTCTAGTCCATCGCCTTAACCACTCGGCCACGACTGCGGGACGAGTAGGGGGCTCTGAGATGCGGTAGTAACTCAAGAGCTGGGGATGTCACGGATGAAACATTGCATGTAGCCGCTCAACATCTATACAGGAGTAGGCGCTGCGGTCAAATGCGCATATAATCGCGTTAAACTTTGCATGCATTGGCTCAACGTTTATAGACGAGAGGGTGCTGCGGACGCTCAAATGCGTATATAACCACAATCCATACCACACATTCTATTTCTGACATGGACCGATGACTTAAGCGGTGGAGATGCACTCTTACGGCTCCTAGCGGATCCAAGCTGATCCGCTAGAATAACCACTGGCTCTGCATTTCACCGACCCTAAAGCAGTAATAATGAAGTCGAAACGCAACCCGGAACTCAGCAGTAGCTATGAGCAATAAAAATAATATCAGCACCATTAGCACTACCTATGAACAATAAATCAGTATCATCAGCACCACCAGCGCTTCGCCCCAATCAACATCATTCACCACGTGGAGATGTGGTCATTTTTTTTTGCCGGAGGGAAAGTTTGTTTTGTCAAATCTTGCCCGTGCCCTCCACGGCGGCATTGATATGCTCATCACGCGGGTCCGGAGAGCCACCCACACGCTCTGTTCTCCGTATTTCAAGTCCCGAAAACGGGAAAGAGAATTACACGAAGGCGCCAACCCCCTTTCCCTGCGGGAAGCAAAAAGCATGCTTCGACGCAGAAATCTCCCACATCCACACGAAGCGACGGCGGTAGCGAGGTCAACGAGCCGAGGGAGGAAACCAGTGGCAGGTGGCGCGTGACGTCAAATCTGACGAGCACCAACGCCAAAGAAAAGTGGAGGAGGCGAGGAGAAAAGTCGTGTTCTTGTCTTGCCCACAAAAATCGTCAGGCGACACAGTTCCTGCAAAAATCGTCAAAATTGAAGCGGACACTTCAATTTTGACGATTTTTGCGGGAGTCGTGTCACCCAACGATTTTTGTAGCGTCCTCTTTGGACGGGCCTTGACACGGGTGCGGTGGATAAGCGCGCGCTCTCGTGACACTGCCGCAGCCCAGCCCAGCCCAGCCCAGCCCCAGCCCAGCCCCAGCCCCCCCCTCTTCGGCAACACCTGACACGAGTGTGGCGGCCGAGCGAGCGCTCTTGTGAAGCGGCCGCCAATGGCTATCTAAAGAGCCCCACTACGTCACAGCGCGCTTTCGTGTGCGTTCAGAAAGAAGTTGAAATCATCCAACTCTCTTATAGGCGTCGGAAGAAGCAAAGAATCGGCGCGACGTCACGAAATGCGTCACATCCGCAAGCCGCACGATCTACAGCCGCACAAAAACGTGTTGGTTTGGATCGCGCTTAAGGGGGAAAACTACCCAGAAAAAAACCATTTCGGAAAAAAAAGTTGATTTTAAAAAATCTCATATTTACATCTACCAACACCTAGAGAGCATTCCCAGAAAGTTTCAATAGTTTACACTGCATAGTCATTTTTTATAAATTATTTTCGGTCCTCCAATGCTAAAGAAAAGGCAGGGGTTGGAACACTTTGAACACATTTTTCTCCGTTCCACTTTTTGGCATAAATTTCACTTTAGGAAGACTATCTTTCTGTTATTACGTAACTTGGATTCATTCTTATGAGTTCTTCTTGAGTGAAATTTTAAGGGGAAGATAGCTATGAGCTTGTATTTTTTATTTTTGTCATTTTTCGTGCTCAAGAATTAAAATTTAGGATAAAGAATGGAAATCTAAAAAACAGCATTCGAGTTTATGTGGCTTTTTTGTCATGAAAGATGGTATAATGTAGAAATATATCTCCATAGCTATCTGCTCCGAACTGTCCTAAAGCAATATAACACATGAAAACGACAAATTTATACGTATTTTCAAAACGATAGTTTTCCTACGCAGACACGCCCACTTTCATCTTTAAAGATTTGCAATTTTTTTTGTACTTCACCCAGGTTAACAAAATTTTGCAGAAATGTTCTCAACATCAACAGAAACAAGCCCTGTAAATATCATCTAAATCAGGCAAGTGGTTCAAAGTTCACTTTTTTGGGTAGTTTCCCCCCTTAAAGGGCAACTCCGCCTCTTTTCCAGTAGTGCAAAACTATACAGTTCTCTTTGTTATCATCTACAAAACCCCCATGGCAAATATTACGACGGAATTCCGCCTAGAAGTTCATTAAAATCGCTGTCAAAGTTTGACAAGCACGAATCCGCTGGTTTTGGATGAGACGTGCGGGCCAGACAACACTGACCGGCTGCATTTCCGCTTCCTCCAAATTCCTTCTCCCGGCACGTCCGCGACGTCATCAAACATGTACAGCTTCTTTTTTTTTTTTTTCAATTTTGTTTTCTTTCCCGGGGAGAGCACGGGTGGTGCCAGCGCCGTGAAAGACGTGAGTGACGCGCTCGGCCGGCCCGGCGCTCGACTATTGATACTACTGATAAGCCGATCGCCTCGTTGAGCGCGGCTTGTGTTACATCGCATACTTTTGAACACCAAGTAAAAGGAGGAGAGGGAAGCTGCTTTTGTAAGAATTTTGAGTGACAGGTTGATCTTCTATAATCTTCTGGGAGGAGAATAGCGACGCCTGTGCTAATCCAGGAGGCACAAAGGAGGATCCTGATAAGAGGGGAGCTCCTTCTTCCCCTTGTATATCACGTGGGTGTACATGCTTAGTGATGCCGAATATACAATGTTGTCCGGCTTTGCCACCGTTTCGGTTTCGGTTTGTGATCATGGCTAGAGTAAAATTACACGAAAAATATTTTATTTTTCGCGAAACAAAGGATCGGGGATTGTTTTTGAGTGCTTCAGAAAGCAAAATCGGCCACTATCTCAAAATTTTTGAAATTAAGCGGAGTTGCCCTTTAAGGAGCCGTTTTGCTCAGCCAATGGGAGAAGGAACATTTCTTTCGCGTTTTCTTCTTTCGTTTTTGTTGCGGTTACAGACGCTGCCGGCTCCGCTTCATGGGATAGTTAATGCTTTCGTATTAAGAACATTCAACACAGCCAACGAAATTATTGAACGATTCCGCCTACTGTAATAAACGGGTCCAAGGGTCTTTTTTTACTCGCAACATCATTATTGAGCAAGCAATGAAAACAGTGTTTTATTTTGAGGGAATCCCCTTTTTGATGGTATGTAATTTTCGTTTTTTGAAGAATAACATATCTGTGTCGTTCGACCTCATGCTTTATGGCGAACACACATACAGAAATTACCAATGAACTCAGCATTCGACGACCTTGTAAACAAGGGATGTTACAGTCGAGACCAAAATTTGTGCTCGGCAAGTGGGAAAAAAAACCCGGCACTCGAAAGACTAAACTGCAGACAACTAAAACTTGAGACCACTAGAACGGTGTGGCCACCAACAAGGGGTGGGAGGGGGGTCACTAAAATGAGGGGCTAACAAAACAGAGGGCCGTCGAGAGAAGGAATCGCTAAAACGAGGTGGCCCACTAAAACGGAGGAGGGGGGAAGGCGGGAATAAAAATGGGATCTACTAAAACGGGAGGGACATTGAAACAGGGGGGGAGGGGGCATCAAATGAGGACCACTTAAAAGGAAGAAAACCATTAAATGGGATCCGGCAAGAAAAGGGGAAGGGGGCACTGAAACAGGGGGCCATAAAATAGAGTCACTGAAACGCACCTGGAAGTGTAGCCGGTAGAGCGCCCGGCAGAGATCTAGCCTCTGCTCGAGCAGCAGGTGGTCGGAGAGGGCCTCCCCGAGGGCCTCCAGCTTGGCGGCCGACCGCACGGCGTCCTGCGCCTCCAGCAGGTGCTCCCGCTTCTCCACAAACGTCTCCCAGTGCTCCTGTTCCTCCAGCACCAGGCAGCGCAGGTGCTCGCTGCCCCCCGGCCACTGCAACCAGTCCAGCAGATGCGAGACTCGAGCCCCGTTCACCCACTCGCGTCTGCTCGTGACCGAGGGACAAAGACAAGACCAGAACGCAGCAATCCCCGAGCGCGGACGTCGGTGTTCCCGACAGAAAAAATGAGAAAGGGAGAGACGGAGAAGGCGGAAGGAGACAACGAGTTAGGTACGTTTGTTTTCCTGCAACAAGTTGGAGTCATTCGAGATCTCCTTGACTTAGTTGATTTTCGTTTGATGTGCGACGCCGGCGTTTTTTTGCGAAGTAAGCTAGAAAAGGACTGGCGGAGACCTTACGGGTGATGTCTGTCGGGGTTGCCCACTGGCACTGCCAATGTCCGCGTTTGCACCCCGCCGTTCCGAAGCGGCCGGAATGTGTAAAACCTTCCTCTTCTAGACTATTGTATGGACTCTATATTTATGACCAAGTCCTTTTGCTCTCTTACGGCGAGAACACTTTGGCATGCTGGCACCATCTATGAGATGACCCTGGAACTGCATTTCACTAGTGCGAAGCATGTGTAGTATTTGTGAGATAAAACAGATGCACCGTCTACAAGAAAAAGTTGTTTATAACATTCTCAAAATTTTTCGAGCAAAAGAAAAAAAGAATGATCCTTGGAAAAATATAGGATATACAGAAATCCCAAATGTTGCACTGCTACTGCAAAGATGGCGTCAGTGTAGTCTCTCGTCATAAAAGGTTGCAAGAGGTTTTAGCGCAGTTGGCCATGAACAGTTTCAAGTGTGTGAACCAGCATTTACAGTGGTACATACCGTAAAATACCGGGCAAGCGCCCACTTAAAATTTAGAAATAATCGTGAGAGAATGGGGGATGGGCGCTTGTCCGGTCATCAATTTTACATATAAATGTACTGCGCATATTTCCTCAGATCTTACAAATTTGGAAATGGACGCTTAATGTGGAATGGGCGGATGCACGGCATTCTACGGTAGGTATGCTCAGAGCAGAGGTCCCCAAAATTTTTTATCTCGAGGAACCCCCATCTGGCTTGACTGAGTGTCTTAAATACAATTGTTGTCTTAAATATGATTGTTTAACGCATGAAAAGAGAAAGACAAAAATGAGAGGACAAAGACGAAATTAAATTGCTAACTGCATTCACACAAACTGCCGGGTGTGGAAACTCCATGACAGAGGTGGTGGATCCAGACACAGGATGGACCTTCTTGAATACGGCTGAACAGATGACTGAATTCCTGTGGGGATCTTACGCCCCTCATCTGAAAAGCCTAAATACTCCTAAAATGCAGCGGAAGAGTGAGTCTGTCACCCTGTTTGGCAAAGAACCTCTTCCAGAAGATATAATGCAAGGTGCTTGAAAAAGGCCCTAAATGTTGTACAGAACCTAAACAGCAAGGAGTTTATATGTTGTCCAACGTCCACGACATTGCTTCTAAAGCCCAAGAAAATGATAGACAGAGATGCGTAGCAGACTGCTTAGCAGCCTGTGTAGCAGATGCATAGCAGATGCATAGCAGACACCACTTTGGATAACTGGCAACCATGGTTTTAAGTACCGAGATGGCTAGACTTTTGCTTAGATTTAGATTTTAAGCACCAACTGGCTAGATTCAGAATCCAAAGTTCCGTGATCACCTGTTGCAAAGGAGAAGCCAAAGAATCCAATCCAATCCAATGGCTGAAATGTCGTTACTCTAAAGCGCAGCCTTATTTGCCGGGTCTAAGCGAAACTAAAGTCACTCAATTCCTGGGAAGAATTCTAATAAGATGCAAATAGATACCAATGCAAAGACAGCCGAAAAGCTGCAAAGCAATAGGTGAGCGGCGTTTGGCAACTTCCGGTTCCTTAGGAAATTTCGTTTCACCGTCGACAAATGACGACAATGAGCTGCAAGCCTGTGCAAGGATAATTCGGATACCTCCAGACTGTATAGCTTTCAGAGCCATGCTTAGACAGGCTTCCAGACCATCGTCCTCGTTTGTCAACAGCGAAACAAAATTTTTTAAGGAACCGGAAGTTGCCAAATGCCACGCACCTATTCATTGACATTTGTTCATTACTACGAAAATTTCCATTTTGGCACATTCGTAACTTTAAAGGCCCGTTCACACTCTTGCAACCGAGTACGACTGAGAGAGACGAGATCTCTTAAAACTTGTTAAATGTTTTTAGAATGAGGGAACACACTGGGCATTGTGGAGCCATCTATGCGGTGACCCTGGAACTGCATTTCACAAGAGCGAAGGTTTTGCGGGATTTCATAGGTCAAATGTGCGTAATACCAATAGAAAGGGTCGTTTATAACATTGACAAAAGTTTTTCGAGCCAAGAAAGAAAGGATAATGCGCGAGAAATAAAAAAAATATGCTGGACCGCCGAGTTTACACTGCTTCCCAATAGATGGCGCCAGTGTGTTTTCTGGTTTAAGAAGTTTTAAGGAACCCAGGTTTAAGAGGTCGCAAGAGTGTGAACGGGCCTTAAAGCTTCGAAGGGATCGTTCTGAACCGACTGGACAAAACGTCCAAGCCCTAATGTAATTCCCTTGTTGGGGCCCTTGGAGGTCAATAAATGAATGAACGAACAACGCACGCTAGTACTAGTAAAAAATAGTATCATCAATTAGCCACATTCGACTCTCACTACTGGAAGAACAAAGTCACCTAAATCACCCACACACTCCACTTTCTGAATTGAAAATGACCCCAACGTGCTAATTTGTAAGAATCCACACTCAACCACCTGTTCTACCTTCCGTAGATGCCCGGCGTGGAGAAGCCGTTTTACATGGCCATCCCAGTGTACAGCTCCGCTCTGGAGAGATTGGGTGGCAAACTAGGGGAAGGCATGTCTACTGACGCCATCATAGAGAGCTCCTAAAGCCTTCCAAGCGAGCTTCTCAACCTGATTATTCTTCGTCTCACCTTTCAGTAAACTAGAGCCATAGCTACAAGTCACCAGGTTCAATCGAAACCCAGCTACAAACCATGCAGTACATTGCTCTGCTCCGATAGGCACAGCCGAGCAATGTACAATGTGGTCCCTAAGTGACCCGTGATTGGACCTGGTAACTTAGTAAATGGCAAAGGCTACGATCTGAGTGAGCCGATCGGCACGTCGGAGGGAGACACGTGATCATGTTCTCTCACTAGTTGTGCGCAGTGCTGTCGAAGCCACGGGCAAGGAAGAGAGAGAAAAGCCGCTTTGACTGGCTCGAGGGGGCTGTAGCAGTTGCTCTTTGCCAAGTTACGGCGAAACAAAGTATAATCCATTATAAGGCAAGATGAAGTAGTACTGCGGACAATAGGAGGTGAAAAAGACCTCCATGCTTATTCGGCTAGCCTGTCAATTTTTTAACAAGCTTCGGTGCAAACATGTGTTGGAACGCAAAGCTTAGGGCTCACCCTTTGAAATTTTTCGCAATTTCAGAGATTACAAAACTTGTGGAAACTGCAGGCGTAGCGAGGGTCGAGATAGAGTGTTTTGGCTCGTGTCGTCCGGGAGTGTACAACCGGTCGCAAGAAAGACTCACCAAGGACGCAACCTGGGACTCGACGAAGACGAAAGGCAGCTCTGCCTGGGTCGCCAGCACGTCCAGCACGTTGAGGAACAGCGCCCCGACCTTGCGCAGGGCGTCGGTGCCCGCCAGCAGCTGGCACGACTCCCGGGTCATCCGCGACACCCGCCTGAGCGACTCCCGCAGAAGCCGGCTCAGCGCCTGGAACAGCGTGGTCGTGTCTTCAGGAGACGCCCCCATCAGGCGGTGCACGCTCGTCCGCCAGGCGTCCTCGGCGTCGTCCATCAGCGGGGCCGCCACGCCCGCCAGCGGCGAGAAGCTCGGCGACGTGTTGCTCAGCGTCAGGTCCCCGTCGCTGACGAAGCTCTGCGACGAGCCCGACACGGGGCTGCCGGGCCGCCGGAACCCGCCCTTCAACGGCAGCGAGATGGCCGGAAACACGAGGCTGCTCGTGCAGCTCGGGAGCTCCGACTGGTCATAGAGTGGGGAGACGCTTCCGGCCTCGTCGTCTGAGGACTCCTCGCGGCGTGGCGTTGTGACACTGTAGCGAACCGTGACACTCGAGTCGGATCCGCAGGGGCCGCCGCCGCCGTGGCAGCCGTTCTCGAAGTTGGACGGCGACCGGCGTCGCACGCCCCAGTTGAAGTTGTCCATGCTCTCCCCCTCCTGGCTCTCGAGTTCATACTCGAGGAAGTCAAAGTCCTTGAAGACACCGAACTGCTGGTCGCTGTGTGTGCCGTCCTCCAGCTTGCTGTCTGCCGACAGGTCGTTGTTGCCGGCCGACACCTCTTCCGTGCTGCTGCAGCGCGATGACTGGCGCTCGGCCACGTCGCTCGTCTGGCTGAAGATGACCGACGGGCTCTTCGGCAGTCCCACCCGCTGACCGCAGGCCGTCAGCAGGCTCATGAGGTGCTCCCGCGTCCGTGCCTGCGACAGCCACGGCCGGCGCCAGCCGCCGAGAGAGCCGTTCTCGCTGAACGACTGGTTGTGCGAGAGGCTGCGCCGCGGCGAGCTCTTCTCCTCCCTCGCGTCGGAGGACGGCGGACCGTCTTCCTTGGCCTCTGTGTTGAGTCCGACGACGGGCGTGACGGAGAGGTCAAATGTGAAGTCAATCGTGCGTCCCGGCAGCTCCCGCTTCGACGAGAAGTCGGAGTCCGCGAATGACGTGCTCGACGCAATGCTGATGCAATCCGATGTCGCGACGCCGGAGAGCGACGCGCCGGAAGACGACGGCGGTGCAGCGAGGCTCGACGAGCGCGTCACAACATGCTTCAGGATCTTGAGCACGTCGCGCCATTGGGACCCCTCCACATGGCGCGCGATGGCCCGGAGGAGGTCCGAGTTGATGGTCTGTGCCGCCCCCTGTATGTCCATGTAGAGCAGGATGCAGTAAAGCACATTGAGCGTCTGCTGCATCAGCGACGGCGGGCCTTTCTCCACCATCTCGACGAGGAACGACACGATGCCCATGAAGACGTGCGAGTACGCGTCGTAGAGGTACTTGACGACGCACTTGGTCCACTGCGAGTTCTCCTTGCTGAAAGCACGCCGGCTGTACAGCGTCATGACGGTGGCCAGGTTCTCCAGCCGCTGAGACCGGTCCATGCAGACGTGGGCGATGGCTTCGGCGGTGCGCACGCACAGAGGCGCCGGGTCGTCGTAGTTGAGGAGGAGGTACGGCAGCAGCGCCATCACGTGGAACGGAAAGGCAAGCGACTCTGTCATGTCGACCACGGCGACGTCCAAGTGATGCGTCAGCTGGGAAAGTATCCCTATTGTCTGTTCGAAGGCTGCGGGACACGTGCAGCCCTTGAGGAGCAGCGCGTGGATGCCCGGAAAGCTCGGCCACTGCATCTGGTGAAGGATCTTGTCAGTCTTCTCGAGGAAGTCCACGTGCTCCAGCGGCTGCTTGCTCAGCACGCGCTCGAGGAGCCGCAGCGCGAGCAGGAACTCGTGCTCGTAGTCAGAGTCCAGCAGCGAAACGGCGATCCAGAAGAACTGCGCCAGGAGGGTCATCTTGTCCTCCTGAGCGTACTGCTCGTCTGCCGCCTTCAGCGACAGCGCACTCCGCGAGCGGCCTAGACTGTTTCCTCGTAGCCTCGCCTCGTCGTCGGTGTAGGCACGCGACCGGAGCTCGCGGCACTCCGACGTCGGACTCTCCGGAGCCCTCTTGCCAGAGTAAGACACCGAGTAGGACGTGCTACGGACGTGCGAAGCCGTCTCTGGCTGCACCGGCATGCTCCTGCGGTTATCCTTGCCCGTAAAACTCGGCGCCGAGTGGAAGATCTCGTGCATCAGGTCGCCAATGTTGATCGTCGAGTCCAGCGAGTCCACGCCTTCTTCGAGAGTGAGCATCAGCTCCGTCACGTAGCCTTGCATATCTTCGCCTTGCTCGGCTACGGTTTCGACGAGCCGCGACAGGATGTCCACCAGCATCCGCGTCGTGATTGGCACGCGGAGCGCACGCAGGATCTGCAGTGAGCGGCCCGCGTAGTGTCGTGACGAGCAAGACAGCGCGAGCTGTAGCGCAACTTGTGCCCAGCGTTCCTCAACGTGCGCCTGCGGCATCGACTCCTTGAAGACCGCGAGGACGTGCTGCACGAAGGCGCTCAGCTGCTCGACGCTCTTGACCGTCCAGACCTTGGCCGTGATGTCCTCGTAGGACCACAATGGACTGTCCTTCTTGGAGGCCAGGAAGTCCACCAAGGACTTGATGACGTCCTCGATTGGCCGGGACGACGAGTGTTCCATGTCGCCCCCGCCGAGCTTGATGCGCACTGTGGTGTCCGCGCTCCCCTCGCTCGCCAGGGTCGTGGGAGCCGGTGAAGCTGCAAAGAGTTAATCTCTCATGGAGTTTGCTCCGAATGTAAAGGAGTATATCACTCCTTTTGAAGCAAAGCAATACTTTACTTTTTTGTTTAGGTAAAAGCAGCACTTTACTCTTCTCATCACTCTAAAACCCCTGTCCGATGGGCACGTTAACTCTTTCCTGACCACGGGAAAAGCAGCAATTTTCAAAGGATACGAGCGAACACTTTTATTTTCCCAACTAATTAGCATATAGAGCAGTATGACACACCAAAATGTGGTCAATTAGTTGTTTTTTCAAAAGAAAGAATGGTCAATAAAATGAGAAAAAAATATTTTAACCCATTCACTACCGCGCGCGTCGCGCTCTGCCAGGCCGTCCGTACCGCATGATTTTTCCCTAAAGCAACCACATTAGGCGTGACTGTTTTTACCGTAAAACTCGGTGCAGAAAACAAGAAAACGTGTTTATTTACATGCTTAAGTGGTTCGTTCAAGCCTTTAAATCAATAGGCCCTCACAGATTCTTCCTCGTATGAAAGATCTCGAAGCACTCCATTCTCGGTCGCTTAGGCGTCGCACAACCAGTGCGCTCTTTTCGTGATCCAGACTCGCAACTGCTGTCAAGATCGCTTCCGTTGTCGACAAAAGGCTCCGAAAACTTACTATCCTCACCAGACAGCATCGCTGTCGAAGAGGATATCTATGATTTCATCGTCAGAAAGGCCACACTGTACACTGGATCCTGCCATCTTCTCCAAGCGGGCAGCGATCGAGCGGGAAAGACGACGCACGAAAGAACAAACTGAAACAGACACAGGGAACAGAACGATTCTCGCGATCTGTTGTCAATGTATCTAACTACACTACTACAAGTTAGAGTTCCTGTATAGGCTCCGTATGGGAGCCAGAGTTTCGCGTTCATCCCCGTAGAGCCGTCTTTCCTGCACGGCATGTTGATCCTGTTCCTCACGTGACTGAATTCGGGGAATAGCGGCGTCGAGCGCTCGAGGCGCGTGGCGCGCTCAAAAGCAAGGGTACGTACGGCAGGGCACGTGCAACGTCTACTTTCCTGCACGGCACTTGATCCGGCTCCTTATGTGATCGGATCTCGGCGAATAGCGGCGCGGCGGCACGTGGAAAACAGAAGCGCAACCCTGGCTCCCGTAGGAAGCCTATACAGGAACTCTATGCCAAGTCTACATAGCGTGCCATCTATGAATGGCTCCTTAAAACAGAAAGTCATTCAGCCCGGCGAATCGCCGGCTTTGGCAGTATGGCCCCTGATGGCACGCCCGGCGATTCGTTGGCTTTGGTAGCGAATGGGTTAAAAGTTTATTTCTTGAAAACGCTGAAATTTCTACAGCTATGTCAAATTAAACGACAAATAAAAGAAATTCTGCATTTACAAAATGTGCCCCATACCCACGGCTATTACTTTGAAAGTTAGTGTACTCTAATTGATGCTGTCTATTTTTGGTTCATTGCCCGTAACACGTATGATTTTCAACGAAGGAACGCTTATATTGGTGGCAAACAGATAGTATGCCTCACATCCCCAGCAGAATGCTTTCTTTGCATTCTACCTTGGTTTTGTCCATAGCCTCCTTTATTTCCATCAATCTTGATGGGGGAGCCCGAGGAAAAAAGCTGTGATAAGCAGCTTGACTGGTCCTCGAACCCCTTACAGTGGTCAACGGCAAGCATCGAGAAACAAAGATGAAAATCACATTCAGTAGCAGCTGAAGGTATTGTTCACAACAAACAAAAAAAAAACAAATAACGTCTTATGAAAAGAATGCATCATGTACAAAAATATCCACGCAAGTCTTTGAAAGTCAAGTTTTCAAGGGAAACATTACTACTGCAAAAAGTATTTAACAAATTTGGAAGAGTAAACTGAAGCACCTAAAAGCCATAGTTTGTTCGCTGAGTAACCATCTTCCACTTCTCCACGTGACGAGTAGAATACACTGGTGAATTTTCCTTCAACCAATGCAAGATTTTCTGCAGTTCCTTCGTATTTAGCAGTTTTGTGCGCCTTGAACATGAAACGTGCATGCTGGCTCAGGACAGCATTGGACATTATAATGAGGTCTACCGACAACCATCTGTTAAGCGACGCCTATAACGTCATTCAAAGTATCCCCAGAGCTCTTGAGGTCCAAAAAATAAGCCACAGTAGAGCTGAAGTATGTAAATAATGCCATCTTTGTTGCAAGGCTGATGCAAGCAGTTAGCTATGTTAGACAATTGCAACCATCCCATCGCAGGACTAATCTTGCCAGCCCGACATCTTTCGATAAAGCTCAAACCTACGTTGAAACTGAAACTACAGTTTTTCCGCTATCCACGAGATTGTGGAACATAATTCTCCGCACTCACTTTAATTTCTTGACGGCACTTAGAAACTATCGATCACCAGTGATTGATGGCCTATGGACAAGGTCAAGAAAGAGTTAAAGGCCTTGAGAATTAACTCCTTTAAAGGGGCACTGACACATCAATATCATTTTTTTTTTTTATTATCCGAAACGATGGAAAATGATTCTGGAACATTCCCCTCAAAATTCGAAACTTGGGGATTCAGCATTTGTGAAGTAAAAAAACAATTTCCAAATGCCGATTTCAAAGTTCCTGTGCGATCCGCACCGGTGCGTTGACGTCAAACCTTGCGGAGTCCTGAGAGTTCACTTTCTTTCACGACTCCGTGCTGTTGCCATGCTGACCCAAAGCCAGGAGGAAAAGAGCGAACGCTGGCGGACCGAAAAAAAAAAAAAAACGGTTTTGAGCGGTGTCGCCCGTTTTCCGAGGGAGGATACAAATCCAGGAGGCGGCACCACAACGGACTCTGATTTTTGGTATTTCAGAAAGGGCCGCAGTGCGTTCGCAATTGCGTTAAAAACATGTTTTACGGTTGCCGTTATTAAATGTTATAGAAAAGTCACCTACAAAGCTTCTAAATTTCATGAGTTTTGACGTCACGAATTGAAAGAAGTGAGGAGCGGCAGAGAAGGGCGCCAAAAATAAAAAAACGCACGCGCGCGTAAAAAAAAAATTTTTTTTGCGATGCGTTTTTTTTTTTTTGCATGTTTATGACTACAACTTGCATCGTTTTAGCCAATAAAAAAAAATTCGACCCTTAGTGTGTCAGTGCCCCTTTAACGAATCGGTGAATCAGCTAGCAATATTGCGCTTAGTGGCAAGCGTTGGTTCGCCAACCCTTTAAAATAGTTTGTTCCGAATGCCTCTAACGTGCCCATCTCATAAGATTATAATACCGCAGTTCTGTGGAAAGCTGGCTGAGTTGGTTGAATACGATTATGTAGACTGAGCGGCATGGAAAAAACGAAGGGCAAGAACATGGGGTACGCACCACTGACATATTTTTGAGAAACACGTATCGACACGAAACCAGAGCAAAACACAGCCGTCTGTACCAGATACGTGCCGAAACTACAACAAAAAGTCACCTCTTCTCTGAACAATGGAACCGAAGGGGTCTTGATGCATCTATCTAGGACGTCACAGTCTTCAAATGACATAAGAAAATTTTGAGGTTTTTTTTTTTTTTAATTTTTAAGCACAAAGTGCCACTACGGTTCATTGTTCAAGAAAGAGGTGGCTTTTTAAAGTGCTTTCAGCACATAGCTGTTACAGATGACAGTGTTTTTCATGTTGTGGTTGAATGTCGGTTTGTGCTTCTTCAAAATAAATCAATTGAAAGTCAGCGCTCTGTCTGCACGTCCCATGTTCTTGTCCTTTGTTTTTTTTGGCACTGTGCACCTTTTGTGGCCTCTGCTAATCTCCAGGCCTCATTTTTTTTATACGAGGGCTGATGGAGGGGGAACGAGACTGCTTCTGTTTTTCTCTGCAAGGAGGGATACAGGCAGTGTTATGCATATATGATTTTCGTGAAAAAAATATACATCCATATGTCTGAGCCTGCGGTTGGACGATCATAGACTTTAGCGTTCTGTGGCAGTGAGTGAAAGCACCTCATACGTGTCATCGTGGCAGATGACAAAGACATGCTAGTGAAAGTATGGCAGAGGTGCACGATTGAATTTTAAGGAGTGGTGTGGTAACCGCTCTGTAACACTTTTCACGTTGTCCGAACTCATCGCTGTGTGAATTCTGGGAGTTTTCAACACTGAAAAAAATTAGTTAAGGGGAGATCTATCGCTAGATGCTTAGGGAATATGTTATCATGACGATTGGGAAATGCCATACATGTCTCCTTTTGGGAAACACTGACCCAATCACTTTTCTGTTTTGGCTTTCTCTCTTGGCTTTTTATTTTGCTTCCTCTATTTTTTTGCTGCCTTTTTATGGCTTCATTAAGGGGTCAGTGTTAGCATTTCCCAAAGGGGGAAACGCTAACAGTGTTGGCATTTCCCAAGGGTCATGCTAATGCCTTCCCCAAGGATCCACCAATGGGTCTTCCTTTAGTTTTTTCTGGCTTCCGTCTCACGCAGACTTGCGTTGGCTTGCCGCTTCTTGCACAGCATTTTGGCCTGGTGAGCTAGGCGCCGCTTCGCACGTCTGTCTCGTTTGCCCTCCTCGCACGCCTAGCAGCAGCATCAACTGCCTGACGCTGCTGCAAGTCCAGACTCACCCCAGCATTCGCGCGCGCATTGGCTTCCACACCATGACCTTCCCTTTCCACTGTTTTTTCCACAGATGTACGCCGTCAGCTTTGCCCTGTCATGTAGGTACTAATGCTAATGCATTAATAAAAATTGCATGAAAAGAAGTTCTCATGCGAGGAGGTGAGCAAAGTCAAACTTGCAACGTTGAAAGTGATGCCGCAAAACATTTTTCTGTTTCTTTGAATTGTGTTTGGAAACAACCTAACCATTATATTAAAAGTGAAGTATGTTACTTTGAAAAGGAAAAAAATAATCAGAGTCTGCACTTCCAGATAAAAAGATCTGCCTCTTTACTTTTCGACTGGCCCCCATAAATTAAAAATTAAGCTTCACAGATTAAATTTTTTTTCACTTCCACACCTTGTAACCCTTTCATAATCATTGCTGTACATATATGGCAGCAATTACACATTTGGAAGTGCCTGCACATTAATGCAAAACTGCACGCGCCACGGGAAGTATTGCTAGTTGTCACGTCTTTGGCGAACTATAAACATTATATCTGCACAATCTTTCACTTTGCTAGGGCTGTCTGAAATTTTGTAATTAGACGCTCCACGCACGTGACACGTGTAAGATGGTCTCCTTGCATGTCGGTTGCTCTGGCGGTAGTGGCAATTGGAGTGCTGGCTCTTCCGATTCAAAATTTGAACGCTTCAGAGCATTGAATTTAGAGGATGAGACTCGCTGTCTATACTCGGCGAACCCTTTTCTTGGCAATGCAGTGGAGAGGAGGAGAGGCTGCGCACAGCTTTCTTTAGCGCTCAAAATGGGAGAGGGAACGCGTGCCGGTACCCTCCACCGCATTGCCAAGAAAAGTCGTCGCCGAGTATGATGAAGAAGCTCTCTAAGGTACCTCCGGTTTGGAATCTGGAACCGCCGGAATGTTGGAACAACCAGAGTCGCCAAATATAAGACCGAATGGAAGGAAAGTGACAACTTTTCATTTTCCATATTTTCATTTGATGCTTCTAAACATGAAGAGCTTCCAAGCATTGTACTACAGTGGACAATAGGAGCTGAAACAGCTCTCAGTGGTTTTTTTAGCTTATCTGTTGTTTTTATAGGCAGCTTCGGTTTAAAAATGTGTTGGGACGCTAAATTACAGTCTTAAACTTTTCCTTATTTGACAACCTGAAAGATAATAGAGCTTGTGGAAACTGTAGACATAGCAAGGGCAAGAGTCCAGAATGAGTATTTCAGATTATATCGTCTGGGAGGTGTACAAGTTCTGGCTAGATGGTAGATTGTCTTCAGAACTCATTGCCGTTTCGAGGAATAGCAGTTCGATTTTTGTCATACAACTGGCGGACCTGAAAAAGCATTTCGTCGGACACCGCCGCATTCGCGCATCAACGGTAGATGAGAATCGGCTGTTTCCCTCATAGCCATTTCTAGATTTGTTTCAGCTTCGATTGTGTGAAAGGAAGACCTGGCCACTACAAAGTTACGGCCCCTAAACCCCGTGAAAAAAATTTCCATCACGGAAGGACTTGACAGCCGATTTTGTGCCAAAAGATTAATCGGACCTGACTCTGAAATAAGGGCCGACAGCTCGTGCCTAATTTGTGCGTTGCATTGTACGTACTAATGATGCATTGTACTCGTATCCTCCGCCTGAGAGCAGAGACGTTTTCCTTCACGAGCCACTAGAAGGCCGCCATTAGTATGGCACAGAAGCCAAGACTCAGATGACGACAGTCCTCAAACAGGCCAGACTGAATTTTGGGGAGGTTTTGTTACGGAAAAAACTGGCGCATTGGCCCTTCCTCAATAGCCAGTGGTCTCCATATGGGGGTTCACAAACCCCTCAAGGTCCCCGAAGGCCTTCTTGGGATCACCGAAGCCCTCAACCCCGAGTCAAACTGAGCAAGAAACCTTTTTACAGCAGAGCTGTTGAGGCCTAGTTTCCCCAGTTTCGTGTCTGTCACAAAATAAATGTCGACACAGAACTCTGGACAGCTGGCGCCGTCGCTCATAGATGGCGGCAACTTTTCCAGCCTTTCCACTTCGGTTTTCACCAGAGTGGAAAGGCTGAATTTCTCAAGGCATTGTCCTAAAAGTCGTACTCGAGGTCGCCCTAGATGTAGTCTTTGAGGTCGTCCTACATTTCGTCCTTGAGGTCTTCCTCGAGGCCGTCCTCGAGGCCGTCCTAGAAGTTGTGCTTAAGGTCATCCTAGATGTCGTCCTTGAGGTCGTCCTAGATGTCGTCCTTGAGGTCGTCCTAGACGTCGTCCCTGAGGTCATACTAGACGTTGTCCTTGAGGTCATCCTAGACGTCGTCCCTGAGGTCATACTAGACGTTGTCCTTAAGGTCGTCCCCGAGGTCGTTCTAGACGTCGTCCCTGAGGTCGTCCTTGAGGTCGTCCTAGACGTCGTCCTCTAGGCGTCGTCCTTGAGGTCATCCAAGAAGTCGTCCCATTATAGTACAGCTTCACTGGTCTTCCTTTTTCACTAAACTGGAAAGGCTGGAAGTTTTTTTTTTATTGATGCTGGTTAAAGCTAAGTAGACCCAACCACGTGCGCTGAGCGAGTAAGGTTGACTATTCTCCGTTTCAGAGCTTCAAAAACGGTTTGCACGTACTTAGTTTGCTTCATTTACCCTTTTGTCATTGTAAATGTCCCTCCCCTCCCTCCTGGTGGACGAGGCCCTCCATCCCTTCTGTCAACCCGGACAGGGTCCTCGAATCATCGCCTGGTTGAGAAGCACTACTTAATACTATTTCTTTGGAAACAAATCCCCACTACCGGGAAACACCTTTTGGAGAAACAGCTCGATCACCTAAGGACGAGCAAATCAATCGATACATACCCTTGGGCGGCTGTAGCAGGTTGAGTCGGGGGGTACCCAACGGGTGCGAGGGCAACCCGTAGCCCAGCAGCTGCACCCGGTTGTTGAGCAGGATGCGAGCCACGCCCAGGTGGTCCCGGTGGCAGGAGACAGCCACCAGCAAGTTGAGGAGCAGACGGCTGCAGTGGTCGTGCACCAGGGGCCGGGCGTGGTCCAGGCCCAGGAAGAGCACGTGCAGCACCACGGGCAGGTGGGGGCCCCAGTCCAGGGGCACCCCGCTCACCACCACCTCTGAGAGGAGCATGACCGCCAGGTTGCACCTGCAGCCGACCGGATGAAGCCCTCAATTCACCGTCTCGATGTGTCTCGAATGACAGAGAAAAAAAAAGAAAGCCGTTTACAACTCCCTGTAACACCGAATTAGAGCGCAGCTCTTGAGGAGTAGGGAAGGGTACTAAGGGAGGGGTCGCGTGACCTCGAAGGGGGGGGGGGGGTCACGTGTGGGTCACGTGACCCCCCCCCCCTCCCCGGGGTCACCGAAGGTACCCGAGGTCCTCCTGAAGAAACACGAGGTCGTCCCGAGGTCCTGGGGGGGAGAGGGGGGGGGGGGGGGGGGGGGGGGGGGGGCGGGGTCGCGGTTACGCCGACGGTGATGCCGCTCGAGCCGGAAACGGGCGCCTAAGAGCTGCGCTCTAAAATTTAACAGCCCTGTGTTCATTCACAGCACAGTCAGAGAAATAGCTGCGACACGTTATGGCGAAGTCGTTGGGCATTGGCGTCCTGCTCACAGACTGTGGGGTGTGCGAACAAAAGTGTTTGGAACAAAAGAGACATCTGAACATTTTGTTCTGGACACTTTTGCTTCTTTGTTCCGAAGCGCGTGAAAGCGCTTCTCCCGGCACAACCTCTTGGCATTGACAGTGCTACAACTGCATTTTGTTATTGGCTATTTCTTCGCATTTTCCCAGAAAACGCGTGCAGTGGGCATCGGGTACTACAAGAACCCTAAACAGAGAGCGGGTTGTTAACGTTGTGCTAACGCCTCCGCTTTGCATGCGGCGGACCCAGGATTGATTTCTGCGGGCAGCGATCAATCTTTCTCAAGGATTTGGCAACGTCGATGACGGCACGCCCTTACTACGCCAACTACAACATTAAAGACAACAACATCGTCAACAACTACAACATCAACATCGGACGTCATTTCCAGTGATGAGAAGAGCCCTTTACGCCACCACGTGAAGGCCCATTCGCACATTTGCGCCTGCTTATGATTGAGTTCTTGCACTCTCTTATGACAAGCAAACACGCAGGCATGCTGCTGCCGTCAATGAGGTGGTCCTAGAACTGCATTCGACTACGATAAAGGTTTGACAGTATTTGCAAGATCAGATGCACATACCATCTACGAGAAATGGTTGTTTATAATGTCATTAGAAGTTTCTCAAGCCAAGAAGAAATCATGTTTGAAAACCTAGGAAATACACGAAAATGGCGAGTGCTCCATAGCTACCCGACAGGTGGCACCAGTGCGCTTTCTCGTCATAAAAGATCCCGAGAAATTTTAAGGCACTCGGTCGTAAGCAGTTGCAAGTGTGTGAACCAAACCGCAAACAACAAATCCGGGGAAAAAAAAAAGGCAAGACGGGTTGTGACAGCCTTGAACAAGGTATGTGCATTTGACTCCCCGCCGAAATTTACACAGCCAGGATGTACACAAGTAGTGCAATTTATTGGGGGCCAAAATTTGTTTTTTATCCGAGAATTTAGAGCCCCCGAAGTAATGCCGCCCAAAAGGCGAGGCCTGGGGATGAACGTTGTCATCGGCGGATCGCCGACCTGCACCGAGCAACAAACGAGCCGAAGCCGAACAAGACGAGACACGACGTGACAAGACAGCAGACACGTTCGTCTTGGCATCGCGCTCGTTGCGAGACGCCGCCATACGTGCCGGCGACGATGACCATGCAAGTCGGGCAGCACTGCGAGTGGATCCTCTCGTAATGGCGTTTCGAAAGGAAAATGCGAGCCTCGTCTTTCAGGTGGTATGCGGAGAGCAAGTCGCCTGCTTCTTGCGCGGGAGTTGCGGTGACGTCAGAACGACGCCGAGTTCTGATTGGCTTTGATTGAGAGGATAGTGGGTAGACCTCAATGCTAGATGCCCTGAGGTCTACGCACTATTTTTCTCAATCAGGCAATAAGAACTCGGCGTTCTGTCATTATCGCAACCCCTGTGCAAGAAGCAGACGAACTTGCACTCTGCATTGCTTGAGGAACCCGAAGAAGTCAAGCTAGGGCCAAACTTTGCCTCCTCTGGCCTGACTCTGGATACCTTGGACCACTAAGTTGCCAAATAAGTGTCAAAGTTAGGCTTCACTGCCAGTAATTGGGCTTTCACGCGGCATCTCTGGGCCTAAGTCGGCGAATGAGCCCCAGAGTTAGACCTCACTTCTGGTCGCTCGGTTTTCACGTGGCAACTTGGGGCCTAGATTGTCAAACGAGTGTCGGAATTAGGCTTCACTGCCGTTTGTTCGGTCGGTGCATGGCATCTTTGGCTCGCATCTGGCACTTTGGCAAGTATGTGGCAATTTAGAGAAAAGGTGCAGAAGTGCCAAATCTGTGGCACTAACTAACGCCTTGGAGCAAAACATTATTAGGTACGAGTCAGGCTCCTGGGATTGTCAAACCTGGCTCGAGTTGGCTTTGTCTCTGGCATGCTGCATGGGTAGACTTTCCGGAGTTAATTTATAAAAAAGAAAAAGATTGGCGGATGTTTTTTGTCGTTGTTTAATTTTTCAGACATCGGTGTATATTTTCATGATCCGTTTCGGATGGCGTTTATCGGTGATTTTCGGTTAAAAGTGGTTTTGTATTTTTGGCACGGATGGACACTTGAAGTCACCGACCGATTTTTCGGACTTCGCAGGGACCAGAAAAACGTCTGAATAGAGCGGTCCAAAAAATCAGCACATTAAAAAACTTGCCTTTATTACGTCAAAGCAGGCTTAAAAAAGCCGTAAATAGTTACTCCTTCGTTTGCATTTGGCAGCTTTCTATTAGCTTGAGAACCGCTGCCTTCTTTTCTAGCATTATGGTCGATTACTTTCTGCGCTTCTTAGCGACGCATCGCAGCGGCGGAAAAACAGATGAGGCAATAACGTCCGAGCCTGCGTAGTCTGAAAACACGATTCACCAAGACAAGATCGAGAAGAGAAGCGCAAGTCCCCGCAACTGCAATGGCGAATGAACAAATCAAAATGGTAACAACAATGATGATGATAATGACACGCAACTAGAGAAAAAAAGCCATAGAGCATCAGCTAGCAGTAGGACTAAGCAATACTCAAGTAGCAATGCCAAACCAAGCCAATCCATGTGCAGCCAACTTAGAATCCAAAATGGCAGCTTCTCGGTGGTGTTTCCCGCTAATCGCTCACAACTATTTTGTCTGAAAAATAGAACTTTCGGACTTCAAACTGTTCGAAACATTGTTCGTGAATATGCACTATTTCTATCGGGTAGGTCACAGTTCCTCCTTCAAGTTCGAATGATCGGCAGCCAAAAAAAATCGGTCGGCAACTTCATTAATGTTTTTCAGATAAAACCGGCTTTGCATTTCCGACACCGACAGAAGTTTTTTGTTTTTTTTTTGCAATTAAAATTGGAAAGTTTATGGCCAACACATGACCAATTACTATAAATGAAAAAATGACCGTAGTAAATTGCGGAGCTCAGACGCCTGAACATTTTATGCGTGCAGGAACAAGGAGCATGTGAAACGCATATTGCACATTGCAAAGCGCACATTGCAAGTAGGAAGATAGCTCGATGTGACCTACCAGCTTCCGAAAATTGAAGAATTCTGAAGTTATTAAATCTTTCTATTATTTTCTCATCTCGAAGAATTTACCTTCAAAATAAAGTGTGCAATCAAAGTCTGCGGGCAACTGGGTGATCAGCAGCAATCGACCAGGTTGCTTGCACGCTAAATCGTCTCTCGTGATTTCTACGATGAGGAAGCGTAATCGGCCATGCTCCGCTGCTGATAAAAGGAAAGCGCAGAAGTATGCACGGGGCTTTTTGGGTCGGAGGACACGGCGTGAACACTCAATGAATCAATACATGCTGTTGTCGTACTCCGAGGCAGACAGCAGCAAGGAAAATCCCACAGGTCTCGTATTTTTCTTCCTCTTTGCACAAAAACAAATCGCTGTCCTCAAGGTAGAAGGAGTCACCAGATGCGAGGACACCCAATAAAACGGCAAACACGACGTCGCGCAAATACGTCCTAGATCTTCTCACCTGTGAAAGCCGGCCACAGGCTGCGAACTCTCGGGCAGGAACTCGGAGAGGGGGGCATAGTAGCCCCCGTACTCCGGCATGGGGAGAGGGTGCGGCTGCGGCGTCTCGGGCTTGCGCTCCTCCATGGCTGCCGCGTGGCGCAGGAGCGCAAAGTTGTCCATACCCTCGGGTTCATCGTCCTTCTCCTGGTGGGACAAAGCCGGTCCGGGCCGATCAAAAACATATTCCGTCGGTCCAAAATGTAGTTTGTTAGGAGACAAAGCACTTGTACAAAAAATGCCTGTACAAACTGCAACTTGGTACACATTTTAAGTCTGGAGGGCGCGAGAGCCGTCGCGTATTGGCGAGATTAAACCATAGGGTGCACTCTTTCCAGTTTGTTTTCTCCAAAGCTTGGTGTTTACCCAACGCAAAGGCTGATGACTTTATTCTTTAAGTAACAAAAAAATTGTTGACAATAAATACAGTGACATTGGAGGTACGCGACAAGTGGGATCTCTCCCGAAAGCAGACGTCAGAGGATGCTAGCTTAACCCACTTCGGTCTTTGTGCTGTGCAGGTGCTGGTCACATGAATGGTGCACGCTGCATTTTTCATGCAGGCTGGAGTCGCTATAAAATAGCCCCTTCTCGAGCAACGGGAGAACAGAAATCCTTGCCGAACGCTCACGCGCATTCAGCTACAGCAGCTGAACACTGCGTCCTCATTGTTATTGTCTCTATAGGTTTAGTTCTAAAGTTAGCCACTTGGGGAGCAGCGGTCAAATCTCCTCCCCAATAGAATCTCTAAAAAAAAAAGCTAAATCACAGCGGAAAAAAACAAAACATGTCTGCATGTTTGGTTATTTTGTTAAACCATTTAAAGGGAGACACTGCTCTTTGAGGCAAAATTTTACTAAGAAAACACATTTTATAAATTGTGTTCTTTGAAGATTGGCAAACACTTATCATCTTGTCCTGAAGAATTTTTGTTAAATAAGTCTCTCTTATCTTGAAGTATTGTCTTGGAAACAAAGTAAAATGGGTGTTTGTATTTTTTTTAATATTATTTCTGAGTGAACTATTTACACCCTTTACTATTTTATGCAAGCCATATCTCCACTTGCACATAACTAATCTTCATATACTTTTCTTTCTCTGCTAGCTGTATGAGTGAGATATGCAATAAGGGGTACAAATATATTAAATAGGCTGTCAGGCCTTTTAGGCATCCTGCAAAGTGCCTCTTAGGCATCCTGCAAAAAATTATTTTGAAACTGAAACGTTCAAAAGTGTCTTACAAGTTCATAAATCATCCTAGAGCTTTCATTTGCACCTTATTGGATTCCACATACCTCTTAGTTCACTGATATATGTTTATTTTCTTATTTCAGTATTTAAATTTGTTTTAATCCTTCCCATAATCTTTGCAAATTAAATTTTTAATACTAATGATGATGGCGCAGTATGGCCATTGATGCTCTTGCGCCATTAAAACTGCAAACAACAAACAAACAACTAATGATGATGATGATGATACTAATACTAACAAAACTAATTAGGTTACATCATAACCAAGTACATATTTGTAGTCAGATTGTAATGGCAAATAAGCCACGTAAATTCCATTTGAATTGAATCACAAGTTATATAAAAAGCTCTAGAAGCAGTGTTCTCCCTTAAATGCGGTAGGCTTATAGGGTGGGTGGAGCTCTTAGTTTGGGTGGTGCCTAGGATAAGGTTTTGTATGGAAGCTGATTGTGTCGCACTATTGTCTATTCATGATGCTGCACACACTTCCCTTCAGTAGCCCCCAGATACAAAGCCCTTGCACTGAACTTCCTGGGTCAGCAAGAGAGGGAAAGTGTGCTTTCCTTCCCTCTTCACTCCTCCTCGTTCCAATCTACACCACCTGTTTTTGCTCCTCTCTTTCTTGCCTTTTCTACCCCTCTTTGCTCCGCACACTTTCTCACACCACCTACACCTTCTCCTTCCATTCCTGCGTACTGGGTCCATAGCTCAGTCAGCAGCGCACTTGGCTTTTACATCGGTGACCGCAGTTCGACCCCTGGCGCCGGTCGCTGTTTTTTTTTCAAGATCGTTTAGTGGTTACAGACTGACCGACTTACACCATTTCATGCTTACATTTCATTGTTATTGTTGATACTTACATACTTCATGCTTTCATGCCTGAGGTTGGTTGGACCCATAAAGCTACCGTTTTATGCCAGAGGGCAGCATGGGGTACAGCTTGGACACGAGTGCTGTGTCAATGTTCGGTCGGGATTCGTGTTCAATGAGTGAGGACACGAATTTGAGCCAAACGCTGAAGCAATGCTCGTGTGACACTCTTCTGTCGCAAGAGTGTGTCACTGAAAACTGCGAGGAACTGGCCCATGACACATTTGGTGTTAAGATTTAAGCATGTCTTGATCATATCTGATCAGCTTGAAGACGCAGAGAACCTGTTGCAAACAAGCTGAACACATGCTGCGTATGTGTGATGTCATGAGGTCGTAAACTCTGTGACATCAGGGTATCACATGAGATGCGACGTCCTGGGATGTCCCGATATCACGTGATATCAGCCGTCTTCTGACCTCAGCACGTCACATGATCTGAAGATGTTCCACGACGTCATGGTGTTGTGTGACTTCATGACGTAATGTGACACCCTCGTAGTCATGTGACACTGTAATGTCAAGAGGTCAGATGACGTGCTCAGGTCATGCGGTGTCATGAGGACTTCACAATGTCACGTGACACCCTGACATCAAGGTCACAGAAGCAACATAGACCTACGGGGATATATCGCTTACATGACCTTGGACCGTGTGTTGCTCGAGCGTGATGTGTCGCTTTTCTCATAAAATCCAGCCCTATAACAAATTCTGCATAAAAAAAAAATAATAATAGGGAACTTGCCGCCACCCTCGGTCCGGTGTCTCCTCCCAGCAGGAGCGTGCGGTCTGCGTGCGAGCGCTCGCTCGAATTGCTCCGCAGGGAGCCCTTGCCGTTGCTCCGCTCTTCCGACGCCGCTCCGTCCTCCGTGCTTCGGCGCTTGGTGTGCAGCGTGCCACGCTCCAGCGTCTGTTCCGAGGCCTGCGTCTGTGCATGTGACACACACTTTGAGCAACAAAGAGAAAAAAAGAGGCGAGTATTGGAAGAGGCACTCGAAGGAGCAGACTGGAGCCACTAGATTAGCTACGCTTCGGCGTAGCGACACTTTGGCCATTGAACTGGATCGGATTGTGGTGGCTTAACCTGCGTAACGGGCAATCATAGTGCAAAAAATTTTTTATCTAGCCAAAACAAGACAAAAAAAAGAAAAGCCTGAGCATGATCGTTATTACTATATTCCTTCCTGTTTATGGATTTTTCCCACAAGTCCCCTAATCCATAGGTCCTGAAAATGGGTTCCTAGGAACCCAGGAAATTCGTAGAGCACCCTCCGGGGATTCCCAGTGCACCCTTGGGGGGATTCCCAGAGCACCCTTGGGGGATTTCCAGAGCACCCTTGGGGGATTCGCAGAGCACTCTCAGGGCATTCCCAGAGCACCCTCGGCGGATTCCCAGAGCATCCTCAAGAGTTCCCCAAGCTCCCAAAGTTCCTCTGCCATTCCTGCTCCCAAATAAGACATTCTTACAACTTAAGCACTTCTTTCCGAAGACGTTAGCCATCCATTGATGTATACCTATGTGACAAAGTTTGCAATGTCTGTAGGCTTATCTGCACTGCTTCACTGCATCAATGCTGAGATTGGAACCCTTGTTGTCAACCTAAAGATATGACTGCTCCTCAAGTTTGAAAAGATTAAGAAAAGGCTCTGATCTATGTTTCGTGATTTCCACTGCCTCGAGGGCACAGGCAGTATCACCATCTCGGTGCTCCAGATCTATTGTTGCCAGGTAGCCCAAGCCTCACATGATATCGGGGGTAACGCTTTTCTGTCCTCCAGAAACGTTAAAACGGTCCGCAACTAAGCAAAACAATATCGCCTGAGCTTCCCGATGCTGTGTCTAAAGCTCGGGAAGCTCCGCCCAGTTTTAGGCAACAAAATGGCGGCCTCCATGAGACAGGAAGGAAATGGAGTGTCGACGCTCTAAGCCTAACCTATGAAGTGGCTCCAGGGCAGACTACTTAACAAAATCATGGTGCGTACATGGGTCCGAGAGGATTTTGGCGGTAAACAAGATTCCTCTGGCAGAAATATCTGCAAGTGCAAAAGAAGGGGGAGAGAAAGACAGGAGAGAGGGTTAAAAGAGAAGAGTTATTGACAGTGCAGTGCAGAAAAAAGAAATGGAGGAAGTGCGTCCTTTGACAAAAGTATTCACAAGTGGAAAAAGAGAAGCGGAAAAGTTGAAGTAAACACAATTTGGCTACTCAATATTTTATGATAATGCCGAGGTGCACAGAAAATTAGATGGACGTTTTAGGGGCGAAGCTCCTTAGGGTCTAGCCTTGTCCGTCCGTCCGTCTGGCGTCTGTGGTCACATAAAAAGAAAAAATGTTTGCGCAGTCAACAGGATTCAAACCTGTGCGGGAGGATCCCAGTGGATTTCTAGCATATCGCCTTAACCACTCGGCCACGACTGCGGCACGAGTAGGGGGCTCCGAGATGTGGTAGTAACTCAAGAGCTGGGGTTTCTGTCATAGATGAAACGTTGCGTGTAGCCGCTCAACGTCTATACAGGAGAGGGTGCTGCGGTCAAATGCGTATATAATCGCGTTAAACTTTGCATGCATCGGCTCAACGTTTATAGACGAGAGGGAATGCGGTCAAATGCTCAAATGCGTATATAACCACGTTCCATACCACACATTCTCTTTCTGACATGGACCGTTGACTTAAGCGGTGGAGATGCGTTCCCACGGCTTCCAGCGGATCCAAGCTGATCCGCTAGAAGAACCACTGGCTCTGCATTTCACCGACCATAAAGCAGTGATAATGAAGTCGAAACGCAAGCCGGAATTCAGCACTACCTATGAGCAATAAAAAGAAATCAGCACCATCAGCACTACCTATGAACAATAAGATCAGTATCATCAGCACCGCCAGAGCTTCGCCCCAATCAACATCATTCACCACGTGGAGATGCGGTCATTTTTTTTGTGCTCCTTAAGTTTTCATGTATGATTTCTTTTTTTAATTATTATTTATTTGGTGTACAATAGTTATACATCAATACAGGTTTTCCTGCTAAATTTAGCGATAAACATAAGTCTTACACTTTTGCATTGCACTTTTTTCTAGGAAATATTTTTATAAAAGCCTATCCCTAAACACATTTCGTGTAAAAAAAAAATAAAAAAAGGCTGGTGTCCAAATTTATTCTTTTAGTCAAATTTTTATCAGCTTGTTAGTTTTCAGAACACATGCCACAAGACGGATTGCAACAAGAAGGGGGGTCGGTGGCTGAGTTAGTCAATTGTATTTTAATGGTGCAGAAGCTATGAAGTGCCAGTACTATAGCTATTTCAGGAAAAGGGTCAAGAGGAGGAAAGAGGCTGTGAGCATCGGTGAACAATTGAGCTAGTGCACCACAGCTCAGAGTACATGAAGCAAAAGCTGGTGCATTAACCTATAACCATTTCTGGGAATTTCTCAACCTCAACTGTTGTCTTCAATATTCAATCTTGTTACATTCTAACACAAATCTCCAGTGACAAACGAAATGGAAGCAAACCCTTTAAGGAATCGATGCTACCATCTCTTGGAAAAACTGCAAACTAGGTCATTAGGTAGCCTTGTACGTGCAAAACGGTCGAGTGCATGAACCGGCGAAAGCACTACGCTCGTCCTGAACGATTTGGGGATGTTGACGAGCTAGGCTCGTATAGAACGGTTACGGGTTCAATCCCCAGGGATAACTTGTGGGTTCCATCTCTGCCCCAACCGTTTCAATGCAGCCTAGTTCGGGCATGCAGTCTTGGAAATGCTAGAGAGCGATGCACATTAAAGAATCCACCACCTTAGCCGCCACACTGCGCTGGCTGAGTTGTTCCCCTGCGGCAATGCATCAAGTGTCGCCCTATCTGGAGGACAGACCTGTCTCTGGCTGCATAAACATTCCCAACACTGCAGTTTGTCTTTTGCAACCAGGAGAAAATGGAGACGTCCCCACAATGTAGCACATTGCAAAACAATGGCAACAGAAGAAAGAAACGTTGTGTAAAGGGCTGTTCTAACAAAAGACAACAAACATTGTGTCTCGTAGATGTGCAAACAGATATAGAAGCTGCTGAAATATCAGTCCTTCCACCTAGTTATTCACCATTTCGTGAGGCCAGATAAGCGTGGCCACGAAGCTCGATGCTCATTGGTTGATGGGCGGGAGAGGAGTGAGGTGCTCGACGCCGATTGGTTAACGGGAGGTCATGTGACCAGAGGGGTAGGCGAGGAGTGAACGGGGCAAGGAAAAGCTCGACCACTCGTGTGCACCGAGAGGAGCTCGAGATTATGAAAGGCTCTGGAAGATCGCCAGGTTTATCCGCCTGATCAGCGGTGCTATCGCTTCATTCTAGGAACAACTATCAAGTGCGCATATGGTATGCGTTCAACTATCTGATGAAGAGCATCACAAGAGTATCGCTAAACGTCTTGTGATGCTAGAACGTTTCACGTACGCAACAGAATTGCTTAGCAATTTGCCATGAATTTTTTGCTCTTTCAGGAAAGGCTGTCAAGTTCAACCTTTCTATCTCCGTCTGCACAGCCCTTATGGGCAGAAGACCTGGGAGAAGGACTGACAAAACTACCATCTTTTTTTCCAACTAAGGATGTGCTGCGCAACCTTTGAACGACATCTGCACGTCACAGTTCCAAAAAATATTGGGACCGGAGCCTGCCCTGCTATTAATATTGACCTTGGCACGTCTGTATACCCTATGCCTGGCACCCTAACTCGAAAACCTGTTCTTGCATCGTCTCTGTATCTCAAATCACGTAAGCATGTGCCAAGCCAGATGCACCCCAATTTCAACCAATTATTGGAAGAGAGACGTTTGAGCAATAAAAGTGTTTTCCATCCAATGCAGCCTCACCTGTCCTCCGTCCTCGGAGTGACTGCTGCTGCCTTTACGGGCACTGGTGAGCCGGAAGAAAGGCGGCGTCTCCGTTCGCTCCACCGAAAAGTTGAGCGTCTCCACCACCTGCATCGTGCAAAAGTCCCCAGGGAGAATTTTTGGCCGCTCTCGCAAGAATGCTTGCTACTTTCCCGCAGCACAGCCACTTTCAACCATGACGTGTAAATGGCTACGTTCACATTCTACCATTGGTTGGAAGCCAACTCCAACTAAGCAACCGTCTGTGCATGTGGGGACGCTTCATGATGACACTTCCCCATACTGCATCCTTGCACAGGGGAAAAGTGCAATTTGCAGCAGCTTCCCCACATTGCATCAGTGCATGAGGGAAAATTGTACCTTGCAGTGGCTTCCCCACATTGCGTTGGTGCATGGGAGGAAAGTACACTTTGCACCGGCTTTGACGCAGCATCCTTGTCAGTTTCGATTCGTAAGGACGTGCCCTAATAGATCCTGGTTTAGAAATTAATGTCCCTTAAAAGTCCTAAGTTAGCAGCCACCTTCGAAGAGTTAAGTAACTCTCTGGAGCCTTTGAAAGAAAAGCCCTATATCTCAAAGAAAACTGAACTCACACTGTACAAACATCTGTACAACAAAATTCCTCTACTTATTTCCGTGGCTCTCCAGTGTTACTTCTCTGGAAGACACCTGTCGACGAAGAATTAAATGTTTCCTTCAGAAAGGCCCCTTGCCTAGCTTGCCCTGTGAACTTCAAAATGATAATAACAGCCATCATGCTACCACGTCCCTTCTTAAGACACCAAGTCCTAGATAAACAAGAGCGACAGTTCCAACGAAGCAGCCAGAAGTACCATGTTTCTCATCATCCGTTGTCATTATTCAACATAATTCATGATTCACTATCATCGCCTTCGACGTGAAGGTTTTATTCCAGGACCCGAACTTCAGTAAAAATAATACATGCCACGCACAGCAAGAACACGTGGATGTCTGCTGACCAAGACTGTCCATCACTCTAAAACAGATACTGATATTAAAAGAAAGAATTAAACAAAAAAAATTATCGGTCCTGCGTTAATCAACAGTAAAGTCCAGCAATGGCTGTGACACCTAACAATAAAGTCGTCGTGCATCGGCGTCGCGTTCATGCACAGTAAGGTGCATGAACAAAAGCTTTTGGAACAAAATAGACGTTTGACCATTTTGTTCCAAATTTTTTTTTTTTCTTTTACGTTCTGGAATGCGTGAAAGTGTGTCTCCCGGCACAAGCTCTCGGTATTGACGGCGCTACAACGGCATCTTGTTATTGGCTACCTTTATTCCGGAGAGAGCGTGCAGTGGGGATTGGGTATTACAGAAACCCTAAGCATAAAGTGGGTTGTTAACCCAATGGGACCCAGGTTTGATTCCCGCTAGCGATGGGCAATCTTTTTCGAGGATTTGGCAACACCGATGACGGACACCCTAAGCCCTACTATGCCAGCCACAGGGTTCTCCCCAGAAATTTCCGAAGGGTGGACATTACCGGGGAAGGGAGGGAAAAAGAATGCACCTTTGTCCTTTTTTTTTTTTTTTTTTTTTGGTATGTTGCATTTTTGTATTGCCACCGCCGCCGCTGCCCCCCCCCCTCGCCCCTCGCCTCGCCTCGCCCCCTCCCCCCCCCCCCCCCCCCCCCCCCCGCATAGCCGGCGGCGCGCCGCTAAGATAGAGAAGGAAAAAAGGAAAAGGAACACGCTTTTTGTTGGACGCAGTGTGGTAGTGGCGGCAGTCAGCGATGCAATAGCGAACAATAACGTGGCGATGGGCGGACCTGCTGAGTACAAAGGTGATGGTCTGCAGCCATGTGCGCAGGCGAAATCGCATCGCCATCTCGCGGCCTAAAAAAATAATGAGCGGTGGGCGGCAAAGCCACTGTCGCCCACCGTAGGAAGTATTCTGGCCAGCCACAACATACATTAACAACTACAACGGACGTCATTTCCAGTGCTGGGAAGAGCCCAGAACAGCTATCGCCGCAAAAGAGAAAGCAGACGGCACCTGCAGTTCGGCCATCATCTCGTCGAGAAGTCGGTCGGGGCAGGCTCGCACCATGTAGAGGACCACCCGCTTGGCAAACGGCAGCAGCTCATTAGGCGCGAGCCCAGTCACAATGAAGAGGTAGCGCAGCACCACCCTCAGGTTGTGTGGCCAGCAGCTACATAGTGATGCCCAGAGGTCTTCTATTTCCTGCAAATGACACCCGACGTCCATGAGAATCCAAGCCCAGCGGGTCGTGAAATTACACGTGAATTTTTTTTCTCAAGAAATTCATTACCCGTGAAACCATTTACTTTTGAAATCCATTACTCATGAAAAACACTATTCATGAAATCAGTTACTTGTGAAACCCGTTCGTTACTCATGAAACCTGTTACTCAAGAGATGTGTTACTTACAAACTCCATTAGTCCTGAAATCCATTACTTCTGAAATCATTTACTCAAAAAATGAGTCCCTTATAGTACCCATTACTACCGTAATATCCCGAGTCATCACCCACCTCGCTGCCGCCTGAAATTCATAAAAACAAGTGGGGTGGGCCATGCTCGGTGGGTGAGCACAAAAAGTAAAAAAAATCAGAAAAAAAAAGCCCATTTTTTTTGGCCTATCTAGCGCAGCTGCAGAAGAAATACATTAAACTCAAAACTCGAATAAAGGCCCGTTCACACTCTTGCGACCTCTTAAAACATGGTTCCTAGAGACCTCTTACAACACGAGGACACACTGGCGCCATTTATTGGGTAGCAGTGTAAACTTGGCGGTCCAGCATATTTTCTATTTCTCTCCAGCATTATCCTTTCTTTCTTGACTCAAAAAACTTTTGTCAATGTTACAAGCGAGCCTTTCTTATAGGTATTACGCACATTTGACCTCGGAAGTACCGCAAAACCTTCGCTCTTGTAAAATGAGGTTCCTGGGTTACCGCATAAATGGCGCCAGCGTGCCAGTGTGTTCTCTCATCTTAAGAAATTTTAAGAGGTTTTAACGAGTCTCGTCTCTCTCGGTCGTACTCGGTTGCAAAAGTGTGAACGGGCCTTTAGTTTTATTTTTTTACAAAAAAAGCTCATGAAAGAATGCTTTACAATTGCGAAGTCCGCTGCTTGCATACGCGCCATGAACACCACCGATCGGCATACAGCGCGAATGTTTGTTCCGTGAAAGCACATTACACCGCGATGTTTTCCTCGTGAGCTAAAAAAAAAAAAAACTCTCAGCCTTTCCACTTTGGTGAAGAAGGAAGAGCAGCGGAGCTGCAGCTTCTGTTCTCGGTGGTGGCTCTCCAGGCGAGCAATCTGCTCTTCTTTCACAAGGGAATCTGAAGCGCTCGACGCAGTGGAACTTTAGGCGATAGCAGCCTCGCGGCGGTTGTGAAACCATTCACGCTGCTGCGCACATCGCCACTCATTCCGTTCCCGCTCTTCTTCCTCCGAAGAAATGTTGCCGCGATCTGAGTGACTGCAGCAAGCAGACAACCGGCAAACACAACACTCTGGACAGCTACCGCCATCTATGAGCAGCGGCGGCAATCAGAGTGTCGTGTCGACCACGGGTGTTGACATTTGTTTGGTATTGGACACGATCCTGGGGAAACTAGCCCTTAACAGCTTCGCTCTAAAAAAAACATAAGAGAATAAAAAAATTAACCAGGCTAAACGAGCGAGCGAGCACACCAAAGAAGCGACGAAGAGCGACGCTGGGAAAGCCAGCGATCATGTTGGCAAATACTTTGGCGTTGGGCCAAGTCAGGCGCCGAGTCAATCGCAAGCTCTTGCGCAACTTTCTTGTTTGGTGCATAGATGTGTGCGCTCGTGCACGGCGTGCTATCAACGTTTCTGCGTGGCATGGATGGCACCACGAACACGAAGCTCAAAATGGGACGCTCTACAAACGTTTGTGTGCGTCGTTCCAGCAAAGCTTTATTGACAATTGGCTTTGTCTTAAACATTGCAAAACCGCCGTCGCGACGTGTTGGGAGAACAAGCGAGCTCGCGGCGACCTAACTTCTGCAAAGACAAACTTTGATCTTACACTCCGCAGCTACATTCTAGGATATGGGGCGTTCGCTTACCTCACAATTTCTGAATGAGTTACTGCTTGTGTTATCTTTCCGTTTTTTTTTTCCTTCTCGGGACGATGTTTTTGTAAGCAAAACAAACTTTTATTCTGTTATCCCTATCGTTTTCTTTTTGCATGCATGCACTACGACTTCGAGGTCGCTCACGGAGGAAATGCGTAAAAAAAGAGAAGTGTCTTTCTCTCCTTTGTGTTACTTTGTCACAGACGTCCTCCAACTGTAAGGTCTGCGGCTACATCAAGGGGTGTCCCAAACAGGATACTACAAAACGCACGACTCCAACGAATCGTGAAAATTGAAGCGGACGCTTCAATTTTGACGCTCCTTTGCAGGAGTCGTGTCGCCCGACGATCTTTGTGGTCAAGCCAACATCACGGCTTTTCTCCACGCCTCCTCCACTTTTCTTTGACGTCGGAGCTCGTTAGATTTGATGTCACACACCACCTGCGTCTGGCTGACCTTGCCAACGACCTTGCGTACCTAACCTTTGTGTCGTTCCCTTTCCCGTTGGGACTTGAAAAACGACGGAGGCCTTGAGCGATTGACCGACAGCCAACAGAGCGTGTGAGTGGCTCTCCGGACCCACGTGATGAGCAGAGCAAGGCCGCCGCGGAGAAAGCGAGGGGGAGACTTGAGGAGGGGAAGTTTCACCCCCGGCAAAAAAAAAAAAACGGCTGGAAGCGGAGCATTGCACGATTTGTCGGGGTCGTGTGTTACGTAGTATCCTGTTTGGACACCCCTTCATTCAGGTACGATGAACATTTGCGGATCGCGGAGTCAGCGTTGGGGTGTTTGAAGGCGTGGGGGATGACTCTGTTTTTTTGGAAATCAATATTGGCCCAAAAAGTGGGGTGGGTGATGATGGGGATGGGCGATGACTCGGGATATTAAGGTACTCAAGAAATCTGTTACTTATGAAATTAAATACTCGTGAGATCCATTTGCTATTCATTACTCATGATAGCCATTGCTCATAAGATTCACGAGTCGAGTTTCATGCATACCTCAAGTATATTCTGATGAGTAGTAATGACTACCACCTCGATGAAACTAGTTATGCCTTACTTACCAGTTTTCAGGGGCTTATATATTGAACCAGACATTACGTGTATGCGCAAAAGCCATCAGATAAACCGTAATGAGTAGGTTCTGACGGATCTCCCGAGCTGCTTCGTAACTGCTTTACTCCTTTCCCTCGATGCATAATCAAATGAGCAAGTCAGATACAATGAGTCATAAGAATCAAATGACACAGTAGAGTAACTGCAAAGCGATAACAATTGCTTTGCAAGTGGTTACCCAATCAAACTTGCTGTCTAATCTTGGAATGGCCACTCAATTGAATTGGCCGTAATTGGTGCCAACAATCAGACGGCAGTTTGGTCAACAGTATCGCTATGGTGCCGAGAATAAGTCTCTGACCGCATCCAAAAAAGTAGACTCTAGATTTCTGCCCGACAATGTCACAGCACTGTCATGCTGTCGCTGGGTGCGATCTTGGCGGTGGCATAGCAGCAGCGGTGGATGTGGCAGGTTGCTCTCCAGCTTGAGCGTCCATGGAAGCTGGAGCACCAGCACACTCTCGTGTGCCCGTGCTTGTGGCGGAACTTGTACGACCAACCACGAGGATCGCACCATCCGACCACACGACGTGCCGGCTTTTGCTACATCATTTGTTGGCACTTTGGGACCCCTTTCGATGCACGGGCAGAGCGGGACGCCAGACGCGCCAGTCCGAAATGCGTGTTGGCCACTGCGCCGTAGCCGCGTGGCAAGAAACAACGGGGACGGGTCGCCCACCTTGGGGTGCTCGTCTCCGAACTTGGCGGTGACGTAGAAGAGGTTGTTGAGCACCATCTCGGTGGCCTCAGCCGAGCCCCAGCCCTCGCGGTGCTCCGCCCCGGCGGGCTCGAAGGGCGCCCGGTGGGGAAGCTGGTGCACCAAGTGCGGGTCCACCAGCTCCATGTTGCGCAGCCAGGGCAGCAGGCAGCGGAGCAGGCTCTGCCGCACGGCCGGACGCCCCGTCTGGAACCGGTCCGTCACCTCCGAGAAGACCGGCATCGTCAGCTCCGGGTGCACCCTGGCCATCTGGCTGCACAGCTCCATCTGCGGACGAGGCCGCGCACGGATGAGCTTTGCTGGCCTCAAGGATCCGAACGTGTACCGCGCTCCACTTTTGGCACCAGCCATAACTGGGAGGGCAATTTAAAATGTTATCCGCACTACGGTTATCTTACAACTTCTCTTGGCTGCACTGTCTTAAAGGGACACTGACGGGGTGTCTATGCTTACCGAGGTTTTTATTTGTACATCACATTTGAGACCCCAGCTACCCAAAACACAATTTCTGGCTCAAAATTCGGTTTTCTTTCTCCCGAAAACCGATAATCAAGAACTGGCCGGTTTGAGTTGCACTCCCTCTTTTCTCTGTGGTCACGTGTCCTACAGACACACCAAAAATAATCGTAATCAAAGTCGTCAGTCACCGAAGGCACACACTCAATGTTAAAAATAAAAAACATATGAAACCAATTTTTTGTGGCTTCCAAGAAACTGAAAATACGCTCATTCAAAAAGAAAGTTGCACAGAGTACCGGAAGTACATGTACTGCATAATTCTCAACATGGTGTCGTATCAGTAGAGCCGCAGGCTAGATGTCTGGACAAAGCGGACAGGAATCTCTCTACCTCCGAAAAAGAAAGTTTTTATAAATCAAAACAATTAGGATTTATTCCGTAGGACATGCCCAACCACCGAGCTGATTCGCACGAAGATGTCGCCGAGTCGCCGCCCCTTCTCTTGGCTCAAGACATTGCTCGTCTAAAGGGCTGGCTTAGCGTGCGTCAGCATAGCTCACATCGGAATTGAGCATGCCCTATTCGCGTCGTCGACAAGCGCAGACCGACGATGGTGGTTATCCCAGAAGCCCTTGCACAAGCACCCCATTCGGGAAGTCGGGGCCAGTAGGAGTGTGCGAGACGCTCATTTGTGTAATCTGAACCTGCCGGTTTTTGCCGTATGTTGTTCCTGTGTTCCCGCGTTGGTGTGCACATTTAACGTGCGTGCGCTTGACTGGGCGAGAGTGTGCGTAGACGGGGACTGTTCCGAGCATGTGCTACATTGCTACCCTTGTTAAGCCTATCGATCAAGCCGCTTGGTAATGGGGTGCCGGGCAAAAGCTGGAAGCTCGATGAAGCGCCAAAGGCAGAGTTAATTAGAATTAAGGTTGCTCTGTATGGTCATGTGCTAGTCTTACATACCGGATGCCGTTCCCAATTGAAACAACAAGCGCCGTCGGATGTACGGGAGCGGTGGACGCAGGGAAACGTCTGAACTATTTAGCCAACCGGGAATTTTCAACTGGGGTGTCTCAGCTTGCAAACAATAGTAGTGGTATGCAATGAAAATGGGACTGAATCCTGTATTGGTCGCATAGGTTCGGTAAAGTGCGCTACAATTTCGAACGCATACATTGAGTAATTTAGGCATCGTCTGCTCTCTTCGGTGTCAGTTTCTTGAGTCAACGTAAAGTCTACTATGATCATAACACACTCAGTGGTGGTCCAGCCATTTTAGGTTTTGGAGCAATTTTTGGAGCAAGAAAAATCCAATTTTGGAGTAATTTGTATCACATAAACTCCCATTTTGGAGCACCTTGATATCAGGAAAACTAAACACTTTGGAGCAGCACGAACAAATAGCAGTTCTGTGCTGTCTTTTATCGGTGGTACCAATGCTCATTCATTAAATCAAATCGTGCAACACATTAAAAACCGCAGGTTAGCAGCAGTTCTGCCCTTCAAGGTGTGCCTCCACAGCTTTCAAACAAGTCCACAACATAATATATTACCACTAACCTCTTAAACATAGAATAGCGTTTTGTTTGCTGCTATTTATGCTAGCAGACGCCCTCAGTAAGCGGTTTACAGGACTGTGGTGCAAAGAAGTTATCAAGGTTTACACAATCATTATATATATATACACCGTAAAATCCCGAGAGATGCCCCACCCTTGAAAGATAACCCACCCTGTTTTTGGCACGATTTTCAATTTCTTCAAAAACACCGAACCCTTGAGAATGACAAACCCTTGACAATAATGCCATCCAAGCCAGAAGTGACGTCCGCGAAAACGAGGTTAGCTGGAGTGGGAGATAACCTCACAATAGAGACTGGCTGAATGGACCCCCTTGGGCCCATTCCTCTGGGTTGGCCCATGGGTTGCTGAACCCTGGCTGCGATAACAGGTCACAGGATCTAAAAATAACACGTGAGCGTTTGGGTTGACAATGCAGCCAGCACACATGTAAAACCGTAGCGAAATATTTTCCTCTTCCACTTATCTCCTGTTCGGAAAATACCTTCGCTTTTCTGCAGGAATCTGAAACTTGACTACCACGCATCCCTAAACAATCCGGTCATTCATCTTTCGTTGCGAACCAAGAACGGAAGGATGCGGCAAAGCTTCACCGTGGAGCAGAAAGTGGAGGTTGTCCGGTGGTACCGAAAGGCTGGCAGCAAAGTGAGTAAGACCGCACACCAATTTGGGCTGGATCGTAAGCAAGTAAGGCAGTGGAAATCTACGTATGAAACTCTCCTTCAGGAGTGTCACGGAAAAGGAAAGTTTAAGCGGTCTGTGAACAGCGGTCGACCTGTGTTTTCCGAGGAGATCGACGATGGACTTTTTGAATTTCTACAAGAAGAGAGGGCGGCAGGCAGGGCGGTTAGTAACCGTCTGCTCCGGGAGCAAGCACGGAAGCTCGCACCGGAAGTCAAGGTGGGCAACTTCAACGCATCGAGCCAACACCTGTCCCGATGGAAGAAGAGATTCAATGTGTCACTTCCCGCTGCGACCAACAACAGCCAGAAGCTCCCGATTGACTATGAGGAGGCAGTATCAGCCTTCCAAAGGACACTAGGCACGCTGCACCTCCAGCACGACTAGAGTGACTTCTCCATTGCCAACATGGACCAGATGATGGTGCGAATGAACAATAAAACCTATGAACAATAAAATCAGTATCATCAGCACCACCAGAGCTTCGCCCCAATCAACATCATTCACCACGTGGAGATGCGGTCATTTTTTTGTCTATTTTTGGTGTTGTTTATCCAGATTCATGATGAAGAAAACAGGACAGAGGCACAGGATTCTTCAACGTCCGGAGAACATGCGTGTTATGAACAATAAATAGTGCTAAGGACAAACAGGGACAAGAAAAGACATTGACAGGACAAGCGCTAGTGCTCTCCATGTGGTTTTGTCCTTGTCTGTCCTTTGCACTATTTATTGCTCATAATGCTTATATATACTTTGTTTGTGCTTAAGGGAGGACACTACCCAAAAGGGTCAACTTTTGAACCGTCGGCTGAATATGAATGAAATTTACAATATACAGTGGCAGTTGCGAGGCAGAATGCACGGCAAAGTTTCATCTGCATACATGAAATGTGAAAGAAATTATCGTGGGTTTTATGAGGAACACACTGACATACCTGCCAACCTATGGACTTTCAAATTTGTAAAACTCCTGCAGTTGCATGTGGGCCGAGGGGAGGGGGGGGGGGGGGGGGGGGGGGTTACGCGAAGTGTTGTGCAGCTTAATGTCAGCCTCGCCACCGTGCGAAATGCTTACATCACACGTGCACGTGCTACAGAATCCAAACTTCTCTCCCTTTTTGGTCGGCACGAAGCACGGGAATTCTGACGTGTAAGACTTCAGGAACACCTCAAAGTACCTCTTCTGAGGTTTGGAGTTCGCCATTGCGCTGCGAAGCCACCGCGACCAGGGGAATGCTACGCTTACACGTGCAACAGACACACAAGGACGCCACATTGCTCGCCTCGAAACTGGTCGAAACAGAGAGGCCCAAACACGTCTAAACATGCCGAACCAACGTGCGCCGCCGAACACAACGTACCAAACACACAAACGAAGGCTTTGGGTTTTAGATCCATTGGATAGACTGATACTAAAAACCACGACGCTGTCGTGGACGGTACCTATCGCCCTCTTGTGGCGGTGCAAGATACCGCCAGCAGCAATTTTACACAAAAAAAAAAAGTAAAAAAAAAAATTATATAATTTTTTTTGTAAAATTTGAAGCAAGATTTATAAAATCGTAAAATTAGTCCCAATTCGTACATTTTACGAAAAATTCGGAAGAGTTGGCAGGTATGCACTGATATTGTTTAGGGAAAATATCGTTAAAAGGCTAATGTAATAACCATAATTTTTCTTCACTAGATATGCAGCAGAATGCCTGGAGAGTGCAGCTGTGAAAAAGCTTCCAAAAGAGTATTTTATTTTATGCTAACATTGTGCTGAAAAATGAAATTAATTTCTTGCCATTTATCTTGTCAACAAAATCTTATATTTTATAAAAGACATCCACAAAGTAAAAAAAAAAACAATGCTATAGCAGCACTGTCAATTAGATTCCAGTTAAGAAAAAAAATTAGTGAGCCTTTCCTTTTGTCCCGTTGCCAACCGATAGTTTTCCTAAAGTGAAAATTATGTCAAAAAGTGGAACGGAGAAAAACATGTCCAAGGTGCTCGAACCTCTACCTTTCCTTTAGCATCAGTGAACCAAAAATAATTTAGAAAAAAATAACTAGGCTGCATAAACAAATGAAACTTCTTGTGAATACTCTCTAGATGTTGATGGATGTAAATATGACATTCTTCAAAATCAACTTTTTTTGCAGGAAATTTTTTTTCTGGGTAGTGTCCCCCCTTAAATCCAGATGCAGCCGACGCTATGAGGTAATGAAACCAATCAAGGAGCGTCAAAAGTTTAAGTCACTAGACCTTTTCTCTTTGCGATGGGTTTAGTGATGATAGAACACAAACAGAAGCATGAAGAACACCATGACGGTGCGCTTTTGACGCTGTTTGATTGGTCCTACCAGCTCGTAGCATTGGCTTCATCTGGATTTCGTTTTAACCAAAGGATAACCAGGCATTTTGGAACTCCGCCAAAATATGGCAGCCCTATGCTTGAGGACATCACAAAACATCACAGTTTCGTTAAAAGTATGGTGCCTAGACTGGGCATCTGACTTGCGCGTTTGACACACCCTAAAAGCGCTCTCTCGATTTCCGCCCGACGACATAGTACGAGTGTCGTAATGTCCCCTGCCGTGACCCCGACGGTGTCATAGCAGCAATGGCGGACGCAGCAGACGCATATTATGCTGCAGGTTGCTTTACCGTCCATGAAAGCTTCGGCAGCCAGGAGTCGGGATGCCTCGACGACAGCGACACTCGCATTCTCTCAAGCTTTTTCGCAGAACTACGAACCTCAAACCGCCAGGATGACAACATTTGACTGCACAACACTCCGGCCTCTGCGACGTCATTTTCAGGACCACATTTGATGCATGGGCAAGACAGCACGCTAAACACGCAAGTTGGAGACGCGTTCCAAGCGCCACACTTGACAGGAATGCAAGCAACAGCAGCCCCCAACTTGTGAGTTGGGAAATACCAACACGATGAGCACAAACTTCATGTGTGCGTGACCTTATAGGTCTCTGTGACGTCGTGTGACTCTGTGGTGTCACCTGACGTCAGTGTGTCACCTGACATCAAGACGCCATGTGATATCACATCACTGTGTGATATCACATGCCTTGTGAAATTACACCCTATGATATGTCAGTGATGTGGTGCATCATGTGATCTGTGATGAGTCACGTGATGTGTCAGTGATGTCACATGACACGCAAACTTGACGTCACAGAGTCAAGCGATGCCATAAGGTCACGTGAACCGTGTGTCGGTCACGTGTGTAGCTTTTCTTGTGAAACCCGGTCCCTCACACAACCTGTGTGAAGGCCTCAAGGGCCTCTTTAAGAAAGGTAAGAGCAGCACCCCCACCTGGGAGCTGGGGTAGCCCGCCACGATGAGGCCGTCCAGGAGCCCCGAGGGGTCGCCCTGCCGCAGCCTGGCCTCGTCCTCCTCCCCGATGGCCAGGGCGGAGCGAAAGAAGCGGTGGTCCAGGACGTGCAGCAGCTGCAGCGCCACCTCGGCAATGTCTGCCCGGGGGCAGCCAGCGCTCAGCAGGGTCACGTTGATGATGGACATGTAGTGGTCGCACGGGTACTCCCGCACACTGAAGACTGTCGCCAGCGCCTTGAAGCACCCGTCCGCAAGCTGCACCTAAGGGCGTTTGGCAACGTTTAGGTAGTGACGCACAGCGTACCTCCTCGACTGAATTCCACGGAAAAACAGTCAGATTTGAGCGTCATGCAATACTTCCGCAAACAACATTTCGCAAAACATTCAGCCTACTAAAATAGAGTCGTTTAAGCGCGAAACATATGGGCGGCAGAATTGTCCGATCCGACAGTCCGAACGCCGCTCCGGATTGCCGCACACGACAGTTTGAGACACACGCTTCCGACCTTGCATGCGACACGACGATCCGCACGGCTCTGCCGAAGCAAGCACTCTAGCAGAGGTCCGCGTTCCTATACAGGCCAGATTTCTGGTACCAGATTGACGGTTTGGCGAATTTGGGAGCTCTTTCTCGCTAGCGTGTGCACTCTTTGCTGGGGCCATCCTTCTCGAATGAATCAGCGGGATTCATGCGTCCGGCTTCCTGCCGCCCAAGTCAGTCCCGTTTTCTTATTCGTCCCGCCAGACCCAGTGCGTCATCATGACGTTCGCGCTAGCTGTGCTGTCATTGGCTGGACGCTTCTGACAATCCGTCCGCCGTGCGAACCTATCTGGCGCGTTGAACGCACGATCCGACGTGTGAGGCGACCAAATTTTTTGGATCAGGCAGTCGTATTGCCGGATCGGACGTCGGATTGGATGAATAGTTCTTACTTATAGCCACTATGAAGATATTACATCTTTTTTTTGCTTTCTCACCACCAGCTTCTAGATTACTTGCCATATAGCTACCGTAGAATGCCGCGCATCCGCCCATTCCACACTAAGCGCACATTCCCAAATTTGTAAGATCTGAGAAAATATGCACAGTACATTTATATACAAAACAGATGACCGGACAAGCGCCCATCCCCCATTTTTTTTCGACTATCTCTAAAGTTTAAGTGGGCGCTTGCCCGGTATTTTACGGTATTTGTCACAAACTCTGGCACTGGCAAACACTTCCACAAGCTTTTTCTTAGAGATTTTGTGCTGCTCGCCACGCTCCTTCACCAATTAGCTTGTTTTTGGGGACAAGACGTTCGTGGTCGCAAGGTGAAGTCGGCAGGAAAGGCAGCCCAGGCAACGCAATATCTTCTGAGTCTTCTTTATTGTCACCGCCGCCGTCTTCCTGCCAGCTCGCCACCGCCGAGAGCCCGACGATGCCCCTTCAACACCAAATTTGAATGAGACCCGTCCGTTCGCTTCGGATTTTACTTTGTTGGATGTTTTATTTTGACTTGCTCTCCGTCCGTGACTTTGTTCCATTGTCGTCTGTATTCTGAACCTTTGTATTGCTGTAGCGCGCTGACCGTTTTCTTTAGTGTTTCCTTCGATTTTAGTACCGAGTGAAGTTCCATGTGGAACCTTAGGGTTTTCTTTTTGTTGTGTACTGTCTGCCTATGTGCCAAACCTTGAAATTTATATTTATATTTTTTTTTCCCTAAGTAAATAGGTTATTCATTGTTCAAACTATGCGTGTCCGCCCGAGCTCATTGCGTTCTTCCCTCGACTTGGGCACACACGCCAACCGAATGGACTGACCAGCCTTAACAAAAATAAATGTGGTCTGCAGTCGTTGTAGAGGGCCGGTGGGCAAACCATTAAGAGGGAATCGCACCTCTAACCTCCAGGTGGCAGCGACTGTGACACTATTACTGCTGCTAGTAAGATAAATTATATCCGGACATGCGAGTGTTTGATAGTATGAAAGCATCTTTCTCACATCCATATTTCTCTCATAAGTCATATCTTGGAGTTATCCTGGAGTTAACCCTTTGACGGCCGTCGCTGTGCATGTACGGCCACAATTACAAGTCTGAACGTGCCCGCCTAAACGCAAAACCGTAGGACGTGATGCTATTTGTTACGTCTTTGGCGAACTATAAACGTTATATTCTCATAGTATTTTGCTTCAACGAGGTGCACGTGATACGTGCGTGATGGTCGCTTCGTGTTTCGGCTGCTTCAGGGGTAAAGGCAGTCGGAGCACCGCCATTTACGATTCTGACTTTTACTCTACTCAGGATTGAATTCAGAGGAAGAGAGCTCATCGCCCCTCCAACAAAGAAGCTCTATAAAGCACCTCCCGTTCGTGATTTGAAAATGCCGAAATGTCGGGGAAGCAGATGCACCAAAATTAAACCGAGTGGAAGAAAGGTTACAACTTTTCGCGTTCAATATTTTCATTAAATGCTTCTAAACATAAACAGCTTGCAAGCACTGTGCGTGCTCCCACTAGATAATGAAGAGAAACCTGCGCATTGACCCTTTCTTCAAACAATTCCTTTGGACAGAAAATCAAACAACTGGGAAACACCTTTTTGGGAAAAACCTTACCGTCGAAGGGTTAAAGTCGCGCCCGAAACAAACGCACCAGGGAAAAGAGATGCCCTTTTCTCACCTGTCCCGTGTAGCAGCGGTCGACGAGCCAGTCGAGCAACATGCCGGCGTCCTGGTTGAAGTCCAGCAGCAGCACCAGCGTCTCCTGTGCCAGGCGGTAGAGGCGCTCGTCCTGGGAGCTCAGCAGGCTGTCCAGCCACTGGTACATGACGCTCTCCTCGTTCAGCCCTGGCGGGTCCATGCAGGCCCCGCAGCACAGCACGGACGACATAGCCTGCCACGAGGTAACCTTTGTTGGTCCCACGGCCGGGCTAGATAGTGGCATTCCTTATGGCCTTTGCTCTAACTTCGGAGCAATGAGATTTTTTTCTAACCGCGTGGAGTCACGACCACACCAACCCTCCGAGTACTGCCTCAGCCACTCTGAACAACTGTTCCCTACACCGTGACTGAAACTATGTACTCAACTTAAACGACTGTGGTCCGCTTATTAAAATATTCTTTCGGCTTAATGTAAATAAACGCTAGTTTATGGAAAATGATTTATTGATAAGGTGAAGAGGTGTTCCGTGTAAGTCCCTGCAGGAAGCCTCACGGTCTTTAGGTCTAACTAGTATGGCAATCTCTCCAATTCAAGCCCGGAGCAAAGAAGAGCACACGGTGATGTTAGGGCATCTCCTCAGAAGGAGTTAAAGCGTCGTCGAAAGGGCAAGGTCGCAGCGACCTCACCGAGCTGCAGAGTCGGGGAGAAACTATCCTTTATGTGAAGGCCGTAAGAAAGCATGCCTTGTAACTGTAGCCTGGCCGTGGTCGGCTATGGCTCCCTCAGTGATAAAGGAGACAACAAGAAATGGGCAGCAAAACCTCAGCCATCATGAGTGTGGGCTCAATCCACAAAACATTGGCAGCAACCTTCATCTCCAAAATCCCGTGAAGCATGGAATGCAATGCAGAACAGGGCCAATGCAACTGTTTATATAAAGATCTAAGCCCAGGAACAGCTAGACACCGACATACGGTAGTGCTGACTACAGTCTGGTCTCGACACCTTTGGTGTCGAACACCCCGAATATGCCGTGGGGGCATACAAACGTATTAGAATCCCCCGTTTTGAAGCATCAGAAGTAAAACATGTGCTGCAGAATTCCAAGATCATTCCCAAGTTGAATCCCCACCCCTGCCTATTTCAGTATGAATGGGCATAACAGTGGGTTGCAGTCATGTAATCAATACTGTGTGATGTGCACATTAAAAACCTCGAGTTGGCCCTCATTTTGCTTTGGCCAGAATTGTCGCCCTACGGTGGTAAACCAGTGTCATCCGAATTTCAAGGACAGATCAACTACCGGCCGCAGAAACATTCATTGTCCCCTCAAATTCGTATCTTCAACATACAACGAGTAAAATCTCGATAATTCAATGCCCTTGCAAACTTCTGGTCTTATACCGTAAAACTCGGAGTGCAACCACTTCTAGAAAAAATGAAACAAAAAATGTCACCTGTAAGGCTGCAAACTCGAGGTCCGTCAGGCTCTCCTCTGCAGAAGCCCGCTTCTCGACGCCGCCAAAGGGAACCCCGAGGTTGCCGCTCCACGTCGCAAAGAGGTAAAAGAGGTTGCGCCTGAGGTCGTGCCCAAGAAGCAGAGTGTGACTCTCCAGTGGAAAGCTCTTGATCAGCTTGTGCACAAATTCGCAGAAGTGAAGCTTGATCTCCTGCACCGACGCATCCTTGTCGTTCTCGCTCTCCAAGAACAGTCGGGCACCCTCGATGTATTCGACAAACGTCGCGTTCAGCGTGCCCGCATCGCGGTCCAGGATGCAGGAGGCGATGCCGAATGTGCCGTACTCCGCGATGGACTCCATTAGCCGTGTCAGCTGCAGGCGTAGGATGTCGCGGCGTCTGCGGCGCCGGACATTCTCCTGCTTACGGTCGATGGCCTCGCGGATGTAAGGCAGCAGTTCTTCCATGAGGTCCTTGAGTGCCAGATGGTTGACGTGGGAGAGCCCCAGGACCACAGCTCCCCGAAGGTCTGCCTGCTCGCTCCTCAAGAAGGGCACGATCTGTTTGAACAGGTTTGAAGCACTGATGCCGCTGTTGCTGATGCCCGTGTAGCGGTGTTCCGCGCGGTCAGAGGCGGCGTTCTCGGGCGAGGAGCTGAAGCTGAGGTCGGGGGATAGGTAACGGACGGTGATGTTGCTATTGGAAGGTGCCACGCGGCAGGCATAGAGGAGGTAGTTCCGCCACAGACTGAGGTACACGTCCCGCTCGCTCGGGACCTTCTTGACCGTCGTGGTGCGAAGGAGGGAAGCGCGGTTGTCGTTCACGGGATTCAGTTCAATGTTGCTGAAGAGACACGTGATACGGGACGTGACGATGGGCCAGGACAGCGTGACGGCCGTCGGGCAGTGCTTCAGAATGTAGTCCTGGTGGATGAAGCTCATAAGGCAGGCGCACCAGGCATCCATCTGGGACAGGTCCAAGATGTCCGCAGAGGCCTTGTTGGGGCCTTCGCCTTCGTGGGTTCCGGTGGCCCACGAAGAGCGCTCTGCAAGCCACTGAAGGTCCACTGCGGATGCCGCAAGCAGGGCCGACTTCTCCGACGTCGGCAGGTAAGGGAGGCAGTTGTTGATGGCCGCAGAACAGGCTCGGTCGATGACGTCAACTACTGGTTCTTCGGTCCGTGGAGGCAGTTGCAGCTTCATCACCGTCTTGGTCTCCTTGAGGATGTGGGCTGCCAAGCGCCGGGTGGATACCTTGCAGTTGCAGAGCATCACCAGAGCAATGCCCTCGACAAGGTGAAGGGCGCTCGTCATCTGCTCGATTCGGATCTCCGACACCTCCTTTTTGACGGAGTTAGTGTTGAGGGCGTTCTTCCATGTGGTGAGAAACTGGAGCAGGACTCGCAGAGCGTTGTCCAGGAGCTGCGGAAACGTGTCGTTGACCTCACGGAGGATGAACTGGATAAACCCCTGGATGACATCTTCCCTCCACTCTGGAAAGTCTAGCATCATGTTCTGGAGTGACTGGAATGCCAGACCCCGCAGTTCTTCGTCCATGTGAACCGTGAGGCGAGAGAGCAGGTCCACCAAATCCTGCCGTCGCATGCCATCTGGAATGAGACGTGGGACGGCGGCGACGCACGTCCGAAACAGGTCGATCTTGGGCTTCCGCTCGCCCGTGATCATGTCGTCTGGTTCCTTGTTCGCATTTTGAACTGTGGTCATCATGAGTGGCCGCCCATACTGGACGTCAAGTGCCTTGAGGATGTCATCAAATGCTTTACGAACATAGAAATAGTACTGGGACATGCCAATGCTTTTTGCAGTGTCCTCGGTCAGGACCTTGTTGATGAAGGTCTTCTTGACCCGCAGAGTGTTGCCCGAGGGCAGGACGCCAACCGTGCGTGGCATCGGCGGATAGCCCTCTTTCTGTTGCAGGCTGTCCGCGACCACCAGGAAGGCACGCAGGCCGATACTCATTCGTTCGGGAGTCAGGATGATCTTGATTGGCCTCCCCACCGAGATGAGGTCGAACACAATCTCTTTCATGGCGAAGTCCAGTCGTTCCTGTGCGATGAACTGAATGATTTTGACGAATATGTTGAGCGGCGTGTCCCGCGGCACGACCGCCTTAGAGCCCTTGGGGAAGAGAGAGTTGACGATGCTCTGGAGCCTAGTCTGGGTCGCCGTGTTGCTCTCACACTTCACTCGGATCATGTAGACCCAGAGAAGCCGGTACAGGGACTCGAGGGCCACGCGGCACATCTTCGGATCTCTGTGCTTGAGGTGGGACAGGCACATAGCCAGGAAGCAGTGCCAGTTCTGCAGAAAGAACAGCTTCTGGCTTACGCACAGCAGGCAGGTCACCAGGGGAAACAGGGCCAGGCTGTGCTTCTTCTTGGTGCAGAGGTCCAGCGTTTGGGAGTACAGCATCTCCACGAAGTTCTTGAGGCAGGGCACATTCACCTCTGTCTTGACCGTGGCCGCCACTGGCACCAGGATCTCGACGAAGAGTCCCGCAAGGGCGTGCTTGATGTCCTTGTCCTTTGCTTCGAGGAAGTAGCCAGCGCACTCCTGCATGAACTGGAAGGACGCCTCGAACTCCTCGATGGGGGCCATCTTGACCCGGAAGAACTTCATGCCCATCAGCAAGCTGATGATGCTCTGCGTCGTGTGCGGGCTGGGCTCCTTGGCTCGCAGTTCCTTCAGCTCCGCCATGAAGCACTTGCGCACCGACTGGAATCGGGACTGTGCAAGGACCCCGACCACTTCGGCGCAGAGGTCGGCGACTATGTTCACGTTCTGCGCGTTGGGTCCGGTCTGAGAGCTCTCGCGGAACCGGAAGTGTTTGAAGGCCATGGTCTCGATGTAGCCAACGAGGTCCTCATGACCCGGATGAAGGGGCAGCTGCCGCAGAACCTCGATAAGAACCAGACAGAAGATGAACTCGATGGCCAGGTCTCGCCTCTCGTGGAGGTAGTCCCTCTCGGTGCGCGGCTCTGGCTCGCTCTTGGCCTTGGAGTCGGCGCGCGCCCGTTGCACGTCCACATTATCGACGGTCTGGCGCTCGTACCAGGCGAACAGGGTGCGGAGCAGGGAAGGCAGGCAGTGCTCGGCGACGGAGCCGAACGCGCAAAGGAGCTGATCGAAGACGGCGTCCTCGCCTCTCTGAAGCGACTTGGACACGGGGCGCTCGAGGGGCTCGGCGAGCACAGCACGGATCTTCTTTTCGGCTTGGAGGGTGAACTCGGCGAAGAGTACTCGGAGCACGAACTCGCCCGGTTTGACGTCGGTGTCGAAGTGGATGCCCGACGGGAAGGGCTGCCTCTCTTTGCGGGCGCCCCAGGGAAGCAGGAGGGGGGCTTGTGCTGGCGGAAAACCGCTGGCTGGGCCGTTTGTGGAGTTGTTGTTATTCACGGCGGGGTTGCCGTTGTTGACGCAGCCCGGAGGATTATTGGGCCAGGATTTGGCGTCCGGACAGGGATTGTCCGCCATTTCGAAAGCTGGGCGATGGTTTGGTGTTTACATGGTTCGCGGACTCTCCGAAACGCGCACGAAAAACACGTAGGTAAACAAAATTTGGCTTGACACTTCTGACCCTTCTGACACCATCAGCGAGAATCTGCTGCACCGGAAAGAAGAGTGACGCAAGTTGCGGAAAAGAGGCTCACTTTGCTCATGGATGAAGAGTGCATAGAAGGCATAGAATGAAAAGACAAAACTGGACAAAACATAACAAAAAAAGACAAAAGTTGTACCCTTGGAATTGGGCGGCTGCGTGCGCCAATAATCACTAATTTTTAAAGTTATTTTTATTTAAATTATATTTTTTGTTCTTGAAAACTGTTGTTTATGTAGAAATACTCTTCCCTGAAGTTTATTTTTTACGTTGCACTGAATTTCTAGCCACTTTAGACAAATTAGGCACACTAAAAGCCAATCCGATACCTTTTTCGGATTCGGCAGTGTAATGGCGTCGATTCGATCAGTGTGTTTTTGTGTGTTTGCAGGGTTTGCAGTCCATCAACGACTTCATGCTGTTTGTACTCCTTCCCACATCTATCGTGATCTTCCATAATCTCTCCAAATGTTTTCTTACATTTACTCAAACAATCTGGTAACCACATTCTCGAGAGAATTCGCTGTCGCTCTTGCCGTTCAGTTTGACAAGTTCCGTGAGTCCTTTCCTGCACGATCCGTTCTCGATCGCTCGTAGTTGTGAAGAGCTTTGCGACAATAAACCAGGAATGGAGTTAAAGTGATTCCCCCAAGGCACCAACGAATCGCTGCATCATGCCGAACCCGGAGAAGCTCGTAGTCGTGAACCGACACCGGTGCTCGCAGGAGGGGTCGGCGCCCGCCCACTCCTGGCCAACCGCGTTCTCGATGAACGCGGCGAGGCACCCTTCGCGGCACGAAGACGACGAGACGCCCACACGTCCCCGAATCCCGCCCCAAAACGTTGTCCTCCGCCTCCTGTATCGCGAGGTCTACGCCGCCCGACAGAACGCGTCGCCACTACACGTCTCGCGACGCCTCCACCAGAACGTCTGTCCCAACTTCACGGTGGTGAACGTCGAGAAACCGCCGTGCTTCCTGCGAAAGTTCTCGCCCGACGGCAAGCACCTGGTGGCGTTCTCGTCGGACCAGACCTCCATCGAGATTTACTGGTACCGGGGTCCCAGCGCCGCCGCGCACCTCATCGGGGGCCTCACCAGTGAACACATGGGCAGCGGCGCGAGTCCCGAGTCGGGACATGTTCGGAGCACCATCTTCGGCGAGTTCTTCAGGCTGCGACACATCGTGAACGTCTCGGGCAACGGCGGCGAGCAGTTGAACCGCGAGTGCAGCCTGTTCACGGACGACGGGCGACACGTTATCGTGGGGTCCGCCGTGTACGTGCCGGAGGACCCCCACCCGTTCTTCTGGGACATGCATCGGAACAACGAGTCCGTGTCGCCCAACCCGCGGTCCCCGCTCGAGGACTACTCGCTCCACCTGGTGGACATGGTGACGGGGACACTGAGGGACAAGCGCACCTTCAAGACGGACAAAATCTTCCTGTCCCACAACCAGGGGCTGTATCTGTACAGGGACACGCTGGCTGTGCTGTCGGTCCAGCATCAGACGGTGCACATCTTCAAGGTACGTCTGGGGGAAGCAGACAGGTACTCGAACCTGGTAGGAAGTACTTGAACGGGTCTTGGAGTGGCAGAAAACGTTTCACTAAGAGACTGACCTTTCCAGAGAGCTGAAGAAGTCGTCTCTTCGGTATACTCCAGGTGGCACGGATGTCCTGTGAACGTCCACAGGACATCCATTGAGAGTTAGGACATCCTGACGACGTCTGCAGAACAAGGGTAGGAAGGACTTGAAAAGACTTGCAGCCAACTTTCCTCTAAGAGACGATTTCTTCCGCACCCTAAGGAAATGAAGTCTCACAGTAAAATGTCTCTTGGCTCCCACCCTGAGATTTCCAGGAAGTTCCTTTTCAAGACTTTAAAGCCGTCTTGCCTTGTGTCTCTCTCTCTTGGCATCTTGACGGAGGCCATGACGGATGTCGAGATCGCTGCCAAACGCACCGTTGAGCAGATGAAGGATTGGGATGGACATCTAGATTTTCCGCTCAACATTTGCTTTGTTCCGCCGGCCTAAGTCATGCTGCTGTTCTTTCCTTCCTGCTACTTGCTGAAAATGACAAACCCTGTGTCAGAATGTTGAGCACGTTGCTTAGCAGGCTGTACATGAACGAAAGAAATGCACAGAAGAACAACAAAGATGGCACAACTTTAGACTTTCAACCGTGCATTTAGTGACCCCGTTGCAGCCAGCAGAAGACAGTAAATGTCATGTGTTGAAAGTCAAACACTCTGTTGTCTCTGTAGTCCTATGCATTTCTTCTGTTTATGTATACCGTAAAATACCGGGCATATGCCCACATAAAATTTGGAGATAATCGCAAAAAAAAAAATAAATAATGGGGGATGGGTGCTTGTCCGGTCATCAATTTTGCATATAAATCTACTGTACACATTTCTCTGATCTTGCAAATTTGAGAATGGGCGCTTAGTGTGGAATGGGGCGGATGAGTCATATTCTACGGTAGTCTTTGTTGTGGAACTTGATGTGCTACAATTGGAAATCCTGTTAAGTGTGCCACATCGGCAAGAGCAATTTAATTAGAGCTGGTCAAGTCTCCTCGGTCTGTTTCCACTGTCCAAACTTTTGCTAGTAGATGAGCGTCACCTCCCTAATAGAAATGCAAGCTGCCCTGACATGAATGCACATCTAATGTTGGGGCAGAAACTGCTGTTCTCAAATCCACTTGAAGCATGTACCGAAGAGAAAATGGGCTATCGGACATTTCTGGTAATCCCAACATCATAAAATGCTAAATTGGGCAGACACAATCTCATGTGAATGTATGCACACTTGGGTGTTTGCCCTTCCATCTGGGCAGTTATACACGCTCGCCAAACCAACAAAAAACCTTGACCTAGCCGCAGCTGCACCAAAATTTCTCTGAAACATCAGGTCGCTAGACTTTTTCCCAAATTATCCAAGAACCAAAGGGAATGCTCAGAGCATCGGTGCACATGCTGCATAAAAGATTCAAGGTAAACGACTGAAATAAAGTTGACGAGTGCATGTGCAAAGTGCCATTCATTTTAGACTTTTGCTTTGCAAAAGCTACTGCTGTAGAACTCAGCACATACAAGTGTAAGTAACTGCTCTTGCAACATGCTCATTGGCGCTTGGATAATTCATCGAAAGGTCCTGAAAAACATTATTGGCCGAAAAACAATTTTGTTTTCATGAAAAGGACATGAAACATTTACACTAACTTGAATGACGAAAATAATCCCTGGAGAAAGTGAACATGAGGGACAAAGGACAAACACAAATCTCCAAACACAGCTAGGTGACTGGTGCGCGGCCGAAAAAATCCGCCTGGTCTGGGTATCGAACCCGAGACCTCTCCATTACAGGTGGAGCGCTCTACCAACTTTTCGGTCGCGCACCAGTCACCTAGCTGTGTTTGGAGATTTGTGTTTGTCCTTTGTCCCTCTTGTTCCCCTTTTCCAGGGATTATTTTCGTCTCTCTTGTCCAGCTCGCTTGCACCTTTGCATTTAATTGCATTATAACCATACACTAACTCGCTTTCATAGGTTCTCCCACAGCTCATAAACCCTTATTTTATTTTGTTCCTTGTTGCTGTGTTTTAAACAAGTGGCAAACGGCTTTAACGGAAATATTTAAAAGATCTTACATTGCTATAATTTTATAATTTTACGAAAGGTTTAAGAAAATTGGAGTAACTAGCTTAGTTACATTTTTAAGGTAACTCATAACTTAGTTCAGTCAGCTACTTCTCTAATGATATTGACAAATTCCTATCAATCTAGTGCAACATTTTTCGTTACCTCAAATTTAGCCATGAGCACAACGCCAAGACAAAACTTGAAATGTCTTTCTCGTTTTTATTACAATCCGGAGGCAGCTTGGCGTCGCAGGATAGTTTAAAAGCGTGTAATTGTGACGTAACTTTGGTACTTTTTTAGAGTACAGGCCTGCTCATACATACAGTTCAGTGCTAACTCAGCAGCACAGTTCTCTGCGGCTTGTAACCCAGCCTTTTTCCTGTTTATACACACAATGTAGCAATGAGTCAGTGCTGAGACAGCCCCGACTCTTCAGTATCCTAGTGCTGCGCTGCATGTGTGAACGGGCATTCACCGTAAATAGATAGATAGTTCTAAATATGACCGTAATTGTAACATTATTACATTTCAACTCAAGTATCTGTAACTTAATTACTTCTGAGGAGTGAGTTCTCCAGCTGTAATGGCAAGCGCCTCTGCGTTTGCTGCACAGCTTCTAACCTGACTCACCAAGGACGTGCTCAGAGATGGGTGGTAACAGAATGCCGGACTTGTGGCAACTAGTAAACAAGGTTTATTCTCTCTCTCTGCACAGGTCACAAGGGACGGCCAGTTTGTGGACGTGCGGACGGTTGGGCGGTTCTGCTATGAAGACGATGAGCTGCTCGTGTCCTCGGCGCTGCTGAGCGAGGAGCGCCCTTCCTCCCGGCGTCGGCCCTACTGCGAAGCCACCCTTAATTCGCTGAAGCACCGATTATTAACTCACTTGTACCGGCAGGTAAGGCTGTGCGAATAGTAGTTTTGTTTTACGGTGGTAGCTGTTAGTTCCCCTTTCTGGCGAAATTTGCACCATCCGTACACAAAATCTTGCGTGGTCGTAAGGCACGCGTCCCCCCATTGCAGCTGTACTATCACTCTCTCCTTTACCATCACCTTTTCGGGGTGAGAAACCTAGGAAACATCGAACCGTAGAAGAGAAAGCAAAAAGGTGACAGGAGGACAAAGTCTCAAACTCAGCTCTGTTTTCTGGGTTTCTTGCCTCAGTCTCGGGTAATGCAGCAAAATAGAAAAGGTGTCTAGTGTCATTTTCTTACCAGAAGCACATCTCGAAAAAAGCATTCCACAGAAGTATGCATCCCCTACAACTGTTCTACTAGGAGCAAAGCTCCTAAGGCAAATATCCTAAAGTGTGTCAGCTAAAAGCAAACCACCGAAAGCACATCTTTCTACAGGTGTCCTGTCAATCGCAGAACACTTTGTCTGGTCATTAGCAATTTTTTTTTAGATGAACCGCAATAATTTTTTTTTAATGTCGATGGAGGCAGGTTAGCCTTGTCGAGTGCGCTTCTTAGGGAGCACTGGTGCGCCGCAGAGAAGCACGGAAAGCCCAACTTTAAAATGGTATGGCGCTGACGTGTGCATATTAATAAAGTTTTGGAAACTTTGAGAATGTTGATATTGACATCGTTGTGGTACTTATAGACCAGAAAGTGTGGTACATGATGTTTGATTTGTGAATACCTTGCCAAAACCACCATTCCCTTCTTGGAACTCGAAATGATCCGTTGGCACACTGACGCCGGCAGGCGACGGCGGAGGGCACGCCAACGGCGCTGCGGCAGTTCCACCGGCACTTTGAGCAGCTGTGCGACCTGCGGCTGTGGAAGATGCAGCTGCTGGACGAGCGGCACCTGCTGCTGAAGTACGCCAGCGAGGAGGTGGTGTCCTTTCGGCTCTCGGACCCCAACTCGCAGCCCTCGCTGTTCGTGGTCTACAACGTGGAGAGCACCGAGGTGCTGGCCGTCTACGAGAACACCTCGGAGGAGCTGCTGCGCCTCTTCGAGGACTTCAGCGACCTGCTGCGCAACGCGGCCCTGCACGCCCAAGCCCAGATGACCTGCTCGCCCTCCAACAACATCCACGCCAGGCTCGTGCAGCAGAGGTGCTGAAACTCGCATTGCGACCACCGTGACTTGTGTATCTAACCAAAGCTCTTCTTCGAGATTTTACTATCCACAAATGAAATAACGTATACAATGTAACCTTCGAGAGTTTGAGTCCCGGCCAAGGTGCCTGCAATCCGACGGAGGCCTATTGCGGAGAAAGCACCGCGTAACCGAGATTTCGGTTACACGTCAAAACAGCTCCCAGGTGGTCCACATTAATCCTCGGTCCTCTGCTGGGACGTGCCACATGCCCTTTGTGGGTTTAGGACGTAAAACCCTTAAATTTGACTTTATCATCGTCACGAAGACGCAATTTTCGTGGAATTCGCAACTCGGAAAGTATTGCGAAAAATTGTCCTAACCCATGGTAATGAGCACACGGCATATCGCTCTAAATCTGAAAATTGTGAACCGGCCGAATATTCCCGAAAATTCACCGTTTGCAAAATGTCGAGCCTGCGAAACTAAGGACATTCTCAGTATGTGCATGATCTGGATTCATAGCCAAAGGCTGTACTTGGCGTCAAACTTCTTTGTGCTAGGCTGTCAAAGCCAGTGTAGCTTCTTCAGCGCTCTCAATGCTGCTTGCATGTGCGCTCGCGAATGTGCTGTAAGGTGAAGCCATTTATGCTTGTGCAGCATACTGTGCGGGACTGCAGCAGTGTGGAAAGGAAGCCGGTTATGACATTGTAGTGCAAAAAGGCTGATGTCAAGTGTAGCGAGGGCTCTATCAAAAATGAAAAAAAAAAGTAAAAGTAACAACATTGATTTTGGTTAACACAGTCACTAGAGATCTTATAAAGAGGCAAAGCAGAAACAATTAGATCACATGTTCCGTGACACAGTGAGATTGACAGTCAATTGTAAATCCCGTGTAAGGAAGTTAATATCGGGTCGCCCACGACACACAAGGTCTGGCGTTTCAGAAAGTGTCATGATGAAGAGTGGAACAACTCTTATCAAGGAGGCGCATCACAGTTGTGGTCATTATCCTCTTGGTTTCACAACCAAAGCATTCCTTTCTCATGTCTCATTTCTAGTTCTTGCGTGCTACTTTTGACCACGCTTCTGCATCGCGCGAATACCGTTAGCAGTGCTTACGCAATTAAAGCATCAGCAAGGGCATCAAGCTCATAGCAAAACTCTTATCTGAAATAAACAATCTCTAATTTCTAATCACAAACTGACTATCGTAGAATACCGAGCAAGCGCGCATTTAAATGTTGGAGATAATCTAATAAAACTGGGGTATGTGCACTTTGCTTATTAATGCAGAATTGCTTCCTCACTGCAGCTGGTTTAACCTGGAAAAAAGGGAGAGAAGCGGGCTAGGTTGAAGAGAGTTGGCCGGCTGCTAAGCACCTGAGACACAAGCTCTGCCGGCCACACAAGGCAATGACAAAAGAGAGAGGGCTCCAATACGCTTTGAGAGGACTGCCAGATATGAAAGCTTCGAAAACGACAAGAAGAAAAAAAGAAATGGTCCAAAAGGAGGATGTGGCGGCCTTGATACGACATCGCTTGCCTGGAAGGCCGAGATGGGTTAGCACCCACTGCGTTCCACATAAAATGCAATTCCAAACATCTCGGTTTAATTAATAAATTAAAATAAAAATGCAAATTCTTTTTTTAATTGCTTTAAAAATAGTGACTGGACGCCCATTGTGACATGGGCGTACGCTCCTTATTTATGGTGGTGCCTATACAAAATAAAGATTGGCTCAAACTATGGATGGTTGTGTTGGCCCAGGTTCAAGCAGACGATAGTGAACGCCCGGTATGGAGGCCAGACGGAGGCGGTGAAGCGTCTGCTGGCTCAGCTGCCGATCAGCTCGCAGTCGTACAGCAGCAGCCCCTACCTGGACCTGGCCCTGTTCAGCTACGATGACAAGTGGGTCTCCGTACTCGAGCGGCCCAAGGCGTGCGGAGACTACCCCATACGGTGAGGCCACCCCGCTCGTTGCCAGATTTAGCTGTATCCCGTCCAACAGGTTGCACGTGGCAGTATCGAAATTACAGGATCGAAAACATGGGTGTGCAAAACGCCCTGTTTGCGCAGCAACTCGCACGACAAAAGCCTGTTCTGAACTTTACACAATGTTCAACCCATTGCGTACTAATCTTTTTACTTCATGTATCGGCAACCCGCCCGAAAACCGGGGGAAACATTCACCCAGCCTCCAGATGCTGTTTGTTGCTCTCATTATTAATTCTTGGCCATCCAACGTGTCCGTTCGGTAGTTCTTTGCCGTGTGGTACTGTAAAGAGGGAGCTCCCAGCAAACCTCAGAATGGCGTGCTGACATTTTCCTAGGAGATCTAGCTTCTTCAGGACTAGATCTCCTAGTAAAACGTCGGCACGCCGTTCAGAGGTTTACCAGAAGCTCTCTCTTCACGTTCTCCTGCCAGCTTCGCTTCCCTCTGTGTTTTGTTTGTGCGGTACCGTGTAAAACATTCGAAAAGGTGGAGAACAACAAATAACACGCGGAGGCCAGGCAAATGCTTCCGCCAATCTTTGTGCAAATTTCCGTTTCTCACACTGGTGAAGGAAGGAGGAGAGGCGAGTACCAGCCAAACGCCGACGCGGTTCTAGTTTCTTCATTATTTGGATGACACCAAACGCCTTGCTCGAATATATCCGAGTTACTCCCGCGCGTCGCAACGCGTGATCAAACATAGAGCGACGCCATCGATGCGCTCTACTCCTAGCGTGCGCTAAACGAGCACGTTCCGGGCTTCCAGCATTGCTGCCGAGCATGCGCGCCCTTTTCTTTTAATACAGAATGAGTTCATTCCGCCGATTTTCATGGAGTTCTGAAAACGTTTGGCTGTAACAACCACTCATAACAGCTGGCTGTAACAAGAAACCGATACCGAAGAGCAGTACACCCGTAGGGAACCATATGAACAGACTTCAGTCCCTTGGCAGGATATGAACTCGCCACCTTGAAGATTGTGAGACAAGTGCTTTGCCGACTGAGCTATGCAAGGTCAATGGTAGGACTCGTTAGCGCGCTTCAGGGCCTTTCCCATCACGCTGTGCCATCTCACCGCATGCGTCAGAAATGAGAGTGAATCTTCGGCAGGCGGAGCCATTCAGACGCCCTTCTTTTCTTCCCTGGAAGGCCTAGGATATTCTGTGCTTGCCAGTCTCTGTCAGCACGGTCAAGCACGTATAATATTTTCACCTAGGCGCACTTTCTGGATAGGGCCATCAACAAAGAAGGCGTGGCACAACTCTTCCGTGTTTCCTGTTCCGGAGCGTCTCATTTTGCGGCACTAAAAACGGCGGCTCTTAACAAAAGTATATTTATAATGAATTAATTGTAATTAATTATAACGCAACACTTAATTATATTACAAATTTCTACAGAGTAGGAGGTTTTGTAATAGTTGGGGTTCTGGGTTTCCGGGGTTCATTTTTTCCCGCGAGTTCGGTGTTCTTCGGTGCCAACGTTTTGGGGTCGGACACAAAAATCAGGGTTTATCGAGGCTAGTGTTAAAGAGAATAGGACACGGGCACATGATTCCCCAAACTCCAGACAACATATGCACGACCCAAATACTTAGAAAACGTCCCTGTTCCGATAAGAAAGCAAAAAGCAGCCTCGCAGACAGTTCACTAAGGTCTGTTACGGGTTAGCTCAAAATGGCAGGCGAGGATTTTCTTCACGTGAAGCTTGGTCTTTGCTTATTCGAGGGCAGCTCCATTTTGAAGCTTTTTGGTTTTTCTCGATCGTGATACACTGGAATCTCGTCAATTCAAGCTCTCTTAATTCAAACTCGCAGATAATTCAAACTAACATGGAGGTCCCAACTTATGTGTTTCCAGGATGGAAACTCCCACTAATTGAAACTTTGCATTATTTAAACAGTGGTCTGGTCCCCCTCAGGTTCAAATTTATGAGATTCCACTGTAAAGCCGTATCGAAAAGGGGGGGGGGGGGGGGGGGGGGGGGCCTTAATTTTGAAATTCTTTGTTTTTACCGAAAATAGGGAACCGCAGCTACTATAATGCAATCCATGCATCACCATCTACTGCAGGTTCTACGCCCGTGACTCCGGCCTGCTCAAGTTCAAGATCTATGCGGGGGTGCAGGGCCGGAACCCCCCGCCGGCCGCCCGGCGCCTGGTGGCGTTCACCTTCCACCCGTACGACCCGTTTGCCATCAGCGTGCAGCGCACCAATGCGGAGTACGTGGTCAACTTCCACATCTACAACTCGGCAACGTGCAGCACGGCACCCGAACACTCGTCGCAACATGCGTGAGGATGCCGGCAACGGGCCACTCGAGGCGGAGAGGCTCGTACACTATGGGGTGCTTACGAGCACCGTTTGGGCATAAAAAAATGTAAATATACGAGCAAGCTTTCCACGAGGGCGTCTTTAGGCGGTGCATTTGTCATTACTCAAACCTTACGAGTGTGAATTTTTTTTATCTTTAATTCAAGCCTAAAAAGTTATTTTTTTTCTTCTCTTTTTATAAGGAGGAAAACTGTAAAAACCGTCTGGTTGTCGCTGCCGCTCAGAGATGGTGCCACACTCACTCGGATCTGCTGGAACTGCTTTCGAGCGTTCAACTTGAAGAAGCTTTCGCCTTTTTGTGTTACGTTGTGCCATCTACGAGTGGCGGCGTCGACCAGACGGTTTGTACCGTTTTCCCCTCTCTTTGTAGAAAAAAAACAAGATGTTTTAGCTTTAGCTTTTTTTTAATCTAAAACCTACTACACTCATGAAATTCGAGCTTGATGAATGCACCACCTAAAAGACACCTTTGTGAAAAGTTTAATCGCACTCAGTTAAATGGTCTAGTTATACGAATTTGTTTACGCCCGAATGGCATTCGGACACAGCCTGTAGATTGAGCAAGACAGCTCGTTTAATGGAAGTTTGTCGGCAGTGTTTGAAACACCATCTAGCGGCCGCGTGTAGTCTAAAGCCACGCACTTGCATTTGGTTGCAACATCGTGCGCGCTCGTGATTTCTAACGACGAAAGATCACATGGTGGCGCCATCTATGAGGTAGCCCTAGAACTGCATCTCACTAGGGTGAAGGTTTTGCAGAATTTGCGAAGTCAAATGTACATACCGTCTATGAGGAATGGTCGTTGATAACATTGTCAAAAGTTGTTCAAGCCCGCTCTGTGAGAACGATGCGCGAAAAAGAGAAAAGGGAAGTGTGCGGAAACCCAGTGTCTTCCACGTCTGCCCGACAGATTGTGCCGGCGTACTCTCATAAGAGATCAAGAGAGTTTTCAACACGCTCAGTCATAAGCAGTTGCAAATGTGTGAACTGGCCTTAACGGTCCGACTTTGGTGCCGTAACGAAATCTGGAACGATCACCCGTATTGTCAGGGTAGGTGACATGACCACCTTTTCTGATAAGGGGGACAACACTCTGGAATGTGGCGTGCCACCGAATTTGAATCCGAAAACTGCCACTAGCTGGTGGTGCATACCACTCGAGCAACAGCGCGCGACAGGCATTTTTTTAAAAATTTTAATGGGCTCTGCGGGAGTTTTGTGGGGGCGGCACATCTGCTTTTTGTTGCACAACGACTGCGCTCTTCCTCCGTTTGATCACGGCACAATTTTAGGTTTTGTACAGGATGTTTCTGCCTCTTGTGTGTTTGTATGTCACCTTGTTCCGAAGATCTCATAAGTGCGTTAAATTTGTAGAAATAATGTTTATTGATCATTGTCGAGATGGGAAAACGTGCACCGTTCATCGTGGTAATGGTGCCTTCAGGGAGCGGATGAAGGGTGTAATGGTTGATTGTGATTGTAACTCGTTTAGATTTGTATAGCAGAGGTTGCCAATGTGAGATTGATAGAGGGCCATTTGTAATTTTGCACCTGGTGTTTGCAACGACGTTTTGCAACAGGCATGGAGCCTTGAATTTGGTTTCTAACGTGTTTTCTTTTTATGCTAGACTAATCGTGGTGGAATATGGGTCCAGTTTAGAAATGTTGTGGGATATAGTGACTACGGTTCAGGAAGTTTTGCACGCATCAGTTCAGAGCATTCAGGTGAAGACTTGGGAATGCATCCTACTGATGATTGTAATATACAATACCAGTGAGTAGGCGTCACAAAGTAGTTGCACACATGTTAGTCTAGCGGCAAGATGATTCAGTGACTGGTAACGTTTTATCCCCGGCATCATTGTCGTTGTCAGTCTTATAAGGTGTCACAATCAATGTTTGTTGGGTTCTGAGGATGACGGATTGATCGCAGCGCGTTCTTCGAACAAAGTCCGACAAAAGGAGTTTGTTTCGGTGTGCCTACGAAGCGTGGCTGCACTATGATGCTTGTGAAGGCTTGGGAAGGAGAACCACTTGTGAGGGCGGGGTCCACATTGTATGCAAATTTTGACTTGTAGAGGTGTTTGTTCTTTTGTTTAGTTTTAGAATGTCAAAGTTGAAGTACCCCACCCTTGAAACAAATTTATCTTTAGTTTTGTATGAATAGAGTTTAGAAAAGACTAAGAATGCTCAAAGTTTGAGCTAGCAGTGACCAGATCGTTTCCAAGAGAGTCGTGTACAAACTGTAAATAAGCGATACAGATTGCCGTCGTAAAGGTACAACTCTTTAATAAAATGGGGTGGGACAAGCAACTCAGCCAGCGTCTTTGTATCACAATCTCGTTGTTCCAGGCAGGCAGTGCTTAGGATTGTGATGCTGTCACAAGCATCTATTACAATAGAGCCCATTATCATAACTTTGCATATAGTAAAACTCTGTTTATAGTAAAAGGAAACGTCGGTTCCGACTGAATTCTCATTTCCTCTATGGCTCAAAATTCTGATATAGTAAACAGTCAACACTCGGAATACTGGTTTTAGTAAAACACGGCGGTGACAATGAAGTGCTTTTTTCCCCGCTACAGCATAATTTCTCAGTGAGATCAGTGTAGATGGGCTCTTAGAAACTCTAAAGGCGTGCATTAACTACCAAAGTGCTACAGGTTACAGTGCTATGTCGTACAATGACAGCTTTCTGATTGGTGCTGCGGCCGCTCGTGTTTGCTGCCATTCTCGAGGGCTCGCAATCGTCTGCCATATCTAAATAAAAGGCCTAACAAAACTGAGGAGGTGCTGCTTTTTTTGGGGTGTGTACATCACGACTGATGCGCATCGTAAGTGAAATACGCTCCTTTAAAAAGCAAGTAGCGAACAAATGCAAAAGCAAATTGCAGATGAATTCGGCATTTTTGTTTCAGCAGTGTTGGCCTTGGTCACAGGAAGCATATTGAGATAATCACCGACGGAAAAAATGGAAATTGCGAAATGTTCCGAAGCTCCAAAAACGAGAACGTTGACACAGCGCTGCTTGGATGGTTTTGACACGCATGCGCTGCAAACGTGCCAGTCAATGGACCTGTTAGGAAAGAAAAAGACTTCGAGGCATCAAACAAATGGCCTGAACGTTTCAAGGCAGAAAACTAACTGCGTTAGTTTTCATCGCAAGTCTGGCAATAAAAGCGCCGTTTCCGACGCGTTGGTCAAATAATGAACCAAGCAAGTGCTGCCCAGAGGAAGATCCTGAACCACCCCTCCAAAATGTGAACTCTTGTTGACTTTGGAAAGTTGGGAGGGCTTAAATGCAGCAGATGCTGGTGGGCCACACTATGCCCACATGACAAGCCTCAGGAGCTCCCTTTAACTGAGTTCTTTACTGCAACGTAAGTGGTATTTTTTTAGAGTTGTGTTTGTTTTTGGACTAATGAACGTTTTATTCATTTTAATTCCCTTTTTATAGCTTCAACAGAATTTTTAAGGTGCTCTTGATATAGAAAAACTCTTGATATAGTAAAATTACGGTTTGGTCCCAACAGATTTTGCTATAAAGGGGTTCTGCTGTATTAAGAAGGTATTGATAAACATACCATTACCATTTCCACTTAGGTGCATTTGCAAGGCACACAGGAGGTAAGTGATTCAGAAATTAGTTTTTGTAAGATGGTAATAGGATGTGCGGGGACCATAGGACTATTCAAGCTTGGAAAAGCTCAAAACTCAAGCTTTGGGTTGTTGCGATGTGTTGTAATATATTTGGTATGCATCAGTTTGAACGGCACATGACCGTGGACAAGAGAGTGAGTGCACCCAACACTGGCCATTCCTCGACTGGCGGTATTCGGGCGGATATATGCATTTCGAGCCGTAAATTGTGTTCTGGGTAGTTGGGCTCTTGTCGGTCGCCTTCAAATAAAAACATCCGCGAGCAAGATACCCTGTAAGCGTCCTTTTAAGATGCTAGAAAACTCAGAATTACAATCATGCTTGTCCTTTTTCCCAATTAAAATGTGACAAAACATTATATGCCTGCCCCTTATTCTGAGAAGTATCTCAGAAAAAAGGTGCAATGCAGTGTTTGGTTGGAGTTTCAATAGGGAGAAAGGCCACGCATGATTGAAACATGTGGGTTTTCAAGGGTGCTTGGGGCACATAAATTTTGTGTGCAACATAAAGACAATATCAAAATCCAAGTTACTGCAGCTCTAAAGCGGTTGTAGGCAACATCCGGTGCATTTTCTGTTACTTCAATGCCACCTTTGCAAAATGTAAAAAGAGGGAGTGATTGCTAGCGTGTTTTTTCGATAGAGAGATAATCGGAGTGTACTTTTTTGTAGCTGAGCTGTTCATCATGAATGCAGAACACTTGGGAGATATCCAACAAACCCAAAATTTTCCCAGTTTGCAGTCAAGGAACCCTTTTTTGATCAGCCATTTCTAATCGGACCTAGAGCCACCAAAATCAGCTGTGCTTCAGAGCAGCAACACCTCAGCCATCTTGTGCTTAAAACTATGCTTGCCAATTATACGCTTTATTTAAAACTGTAGCAGACACTCTTCTGCCCTCCAGAGATGAAAAAACAGTCCGCCAAGAGCAAAATGATATCGGCTGAGCTTACAAATATCACATCGGAAGTTCGGGAATTCACATTTTTGAATTCCCAAACTTCCTGATATTTCATAGTTCTTCTTAATTCGAACAAATTTCAAGATTTTGGCTGTCCTGCTGTGTTTTTAACGTTTTTATAAGGTGCCTAGTTCGAACGGCGTTCTCGTGTCATTAATACCTTTTGTTCTCACGGCCCCGTTGAGTGCGCCGCTTACCGAGCACCGATGCACTGTGGAGAAGCAACACCCGTGGAGCTCGGTTCCGTGGGTGTTGCTTCTCTGCAGTGCACCGGTGATAGGCAAGCGCGCTCAACGAGGCTAATAGTCCACAATAGATAACTTCTTTTCTAGATAAACTTGATTTTGCTTCGAGGTGTCATGCGCTGTTTAAACAGTCCACGATAGACAATATTCTTGAGGGAGGAATAAACTTATCTCGTACATTTCACCGATGTTTTGTGTCTGGCATACTTGCTTATGATTAGGGTTCCAAGTTTTCGGTATTTAGTTTTCTTCAAATTCAGGGGTTATTTATCGGTGTTTATTTTTTTCTCCTTGAATCGGCGTTCTTCGGTGTCTTAATTTCAATGCTGGAGAGAAATTGATGTTTATCGGGCTTGTGTTGTAAAGCGAGTGTACTGGAAAAAATATGCCATAAATTATAATATTTTCTCCAGTAATGCTGGTAAAGGTAAGAGAACGGAACAGGGCAAGGAATGTGGCTTCGATCAAAAGAACAACCCCAAGGGCAGTTCAGTGCGACTGTGTTTCGGGTCAACAACAACAACAAAAAAAAAGTAGGGTAGATGATTTCTTTTTGTAAAGCTGGCATTTTCTTTTTCTCTTCAAGGACAGCTTAAAATTTGGGTTTTTCAATTTTATTTTATGCAGAAAAAAACACCTTGCGGGTTAATTTTCTGTGTTTAACTATATACAATCTAAGCTCATTATAACAGACCTTGATTTTGACCAAGATTTCGGTCTGTTATAAAAGAAGTATGTTGTATGTAGATATGAAGTTGAATCAATGGTGCATAGAGGGAAACCAACTGAACTTCACAAATTGGTATGTTATATCCAAATGTCTGTTGTAACCAGGTCTGTTGTAACGAGCTTAGGCTGTATATTGAAAACACAAAACCGTACTCGGGTGGTTTCATTTGAAATCTACACGCTTGTCAAAGTGGGTGTTTGGATTTTTTCTCTTCAATATATGTAATTGCCCCGTATCTGTAAAGAAAAAAAACGCTTTTCAAAATTAAAAAAAGAAAAAGAATTTCTTTCACAAAAAAAATTAAGTGGAGCAAGGTGAAAATCTGTTTTTTACTCCGCGATTTTTCTGCCCAGTTCTGTACGCTGGTATGAACACGGAAAGCATACAAAATTCACAGTAATTTTTTGTGTGCTTGTATACCATGCCGATTATTTTTTAGTTTAAAGAATAATATTTCAGTATGTTTTTTTACTGAGGTAAAAAAAATGCCAAACATTGTCTCTGACAATCCGGTGTCATATTCAGAGGCTTGGTAACTCGCAAGTTATTATATTTTTCGCTTACCTAGTACTATGCGGGTGTAGTCCTATGCATGGGCTATCGACGGCCGTAAGTTTAGTTTATTTTATTTTCACAGAATATTTTATTTAAAATGTGAAATGTCACCAAAATGGAGTTTTTATCTGATTTAGAGATTAGTGTTTCTGGTGTCCTCAATCTACTAATGAAACTTGACTGTAAGAAAAGCCCTGGCCCTGATGTAATTCCAGAATCTTTTTTTAGCCGATATTCAATTTGGACTTAAAATACCTATCTGTCATTTTCGAAAAAGCTATTTCTACTGAAACAGTACCTCGGTCAGGGAAGTCGGCTAATCTAATCCCCTTGTTCAAGGCGGGCAACAAACAGGTGGTTACAAGCAACAGACCCATTTCACTCACATCGCCTTCATGCAAACTTTTGGAACATATTGTTTATAAGCAGATATCCGAGTACCTCGAGACTAATTTTATTCTTTGCCCGCAACAGCATGGTTTTCGTCGTGGCGACTCCACCTCAACCCAACTTCTTGAATTCACTCACGACTAGCTTTAGCTTTAAATAAAAGAGGACAACTTGCCATCTTTGTAAATTATTCTAAGGCTTTCATTGAAGCGCCACATGATAAGCTTCTTCAGAACCTACAAGCAGTAATAATACATCATTAGTTAATTAGATTGAAGATTATCTAAAAAATAGATTACAGTTCATATAGGGATGTTCATTCTAGCAATGTCTCAGTTCCAGTGTCCCACATGGATCGGTTTTAGGACCTCTTTTGTTTTTACTTTATATTAAAAACGTCGCAAATGGTCTTCCAGTTAAAATTCACCTCTATGTAGACGATTGCGTTTTATACAACGAAATCAACTCGGTAGATGACCATGCCTTGCTAAATGACTCTTTTGAACAGTTTTTTAATTGGAGTCAGAAGTGGTGAGAAATCTGTCGGTATGATGTTTATACTAATAAGAGCAACCGTCTGGTTTTAGGTATAATACTGGTAATATAATTCTGCGTCAAGTCCATGAATACAAGTATTTGGGTATGTTTTTCATGCCTAGTCTCAAATGGTAGATCAGTTCTATTTGTTTTGTGCTCTGCAGGGGCAAGGATATGTCAAGAGAACCTTAAAATCTTCAACTAGGAAAGTTAGAATAACGGTGTACAAGACCTTGATTATACCTATCTTAGAGTATGGTTGTGGTGTGGGATCCATATCTAAAGGGTGATATTAAGCAGATTGACGCAATAGCAAAGGCAGCTAGATTTATTTGTAATAGATGTGACCGCAATTTTTCTCCTACATCTTCCATGACTGACATAGGACTTACGCCTCTTGATTCCAGACGCACTGTGAATAGCAAATAACTGCGCTTAATGGCGAAAAATATGTTCCTTTAGTTACTCAGTCACACACTCTAAGCTTCTATCCTTTAAATCTTGTACCGTACAGAGCCCACCTTAGATGATTTAAATATTCTTTTTTTCCTCGAATGATAGAAGACTGGAACAACATAAATGGATCAGTTTGTTATCTCGATTTTGATGAATTTGTATTAGAAATACAGTAGGTGTTCTGGTATGGTGCCTGTGAGTCTACTATTGAAATGCGTGCGATTGTTTTTGTACTCTTTTTTTCACAGCGGAGCTGTTAAGTGTCCCAGGATTGTGTCCCCCCCAAAGAAATGGAAACACCGAACTCTGAACACCTACTGCCATCTATGAGCGACGGCGGCAAGCCACATATCTGGTTGCCGCCATTGCTCATGGATGGCAACAGCCTTTCCACTCTGTCTTGCCGACTTGCAGCCGGCCATTACTTTCCATTGTACAGCTCCGTTGGTCTTCCTTCTTCACCAGACTGGAACTTTTTAACTATATTACATTTTTCACGGCTAAGTTTTGTTCCGTAGGGTGTGTACATCTTCAATTGTTGGCCTTTTTGAATGTATGGTTTCTTTCCACTCCTAAGATGACCTCATCGAGGTTGCAGTATTTAGAAATAAGTAAATTTACTGATATTTTAAACCCGCTTATAAAAAAAAACATTTTTCTTATTTTGTTAAATGTTTTTATTATTGCTGCCGATAATATTATCTTTCAATTGGTTTGATGCAATTTCCCCCTTTTTTTATTGTATCTTCTCTAGAAGCGATTGAAATTGCACCCATGTTTTCGGAACAGCCAAATGCAGCTTCCTCAGGTCGGCTTCGCTGCAAAGACTATATTGCTTATTTTTGTGTTAAAATGCAGCAGATAAAATTATTTTGATTGAGAACACTTGCGCTTAACTACATATTGTATTTTCTTGATTTTGTAATGATGGCAACTGACATTCCTTAGTCTAGTCGTGAGTGGTGCAGCGGATATTCAGTTATCTGGTGTTTAAAGCTCAGACACAAAGGGTGGAGAAAACGGAACCAGCTCTTCATGTAGCATCGAGGAAATCATTAAATATCTGCTTTGTATGTGTAGCCATCCATATGACAACTAAGAATTTCATCTCGCATCATATTTAATTTTTATCATTCAAACTTCGAATAATTCAAACAAAATTCGTGGCTTCCTGGAGTTCGAACTAGGGAGAGTCTACTGTACTGCCAATCATGCCACCCTGCCATAGGCAACAAAAGGGCAGAGCCCGCAAGAAAATCGGGGAAACGGAGCGACAATACTCCGAAGCGTAACTGGTTTAGCGGCTCTCGTTTGACCCATGCCAACACCACCTGGAATGATCAAAGCCTGTAAAATAGTTTGTTGTTGAGCGAGTTGGCGAACGTTTGGATACACGGTTTTGCGCAAAAAAGACGGACACGAGAGAGAGTAGATACGTGGTTTTGCGCTCGTGTTTGTTTCTCTCTCTCTCGTGTACGTCTTTTTTGCGCAAAACCATGTATCAAAGCCTGGTTGGTGGAATTTTGACGTCGTCGCAGCAAGATCGAGCGCAGATAGGGCAAGAGTGCTGCGTCGGCGTTCGGCCAAGCCTTGCGTCCAATGAACACGTCGGAGAACACTCGGCATCGGGATCGGGTCCAGTCGCCGGGTCGACACCGTCGGAACGCAATGGTGATCCACGGAGGCAGAGGGGAATGTTCACAGGCTTTCATTATTCCAAGGGGCGTTTAGAGCGCCGTTCGGGCGCAAGAAAATTTGTATAAATGAACCAATGAACTGAGTGCAATTGAACTTCTCAACGAGGGCGTCTTTAGCTGGCGCATTTATTGCACTCAAATATTGCGAGTGTAGGTTCCGGGAAAAATAGTGAAGTCTGAAAACACTTATTCCCGTGCACGGAGAGGAAAACGGCAAGAACTGCATTGTCGATGCTGCCACTCGCAGATGGTGAGCAGAGGAAAAAACAAGTTTCCTCTGGCCCAAGTTTTTTTCCTTAAGCCTACACTGAAAATATTTTAGTACGATAGATACACCATTTAAAGGCACCTCGGTGAAAAGTTTCGATGCACTCCATTCGTCAATTTATTTACGCAAATCTTTTTTATGCCCAAAGGCCGGAGTGCCCCATAGATGGTGTTACCCGCGCTCCGTTCTTCGTCAATTCAGGAGGGCGGCAGAAACAGACGGTCGCTTTCGGAACAACAGAAACAGCTCTTTATTCGGTCCGTCTTTCTCTCATTCTTGTAACGACACGCGACAAACTCGACGACGACGAAAAAAATCGGAACACCGACAGTGAGTGTTTGCAGAAATGGAACAAACGTTGGAGGATTTTTTTTTTATTTTCGTTCCTATTTTGCGAGTAGAGAGGGAACACTTAGACAAGAGGAGAGAATCACACCGGTTACAGAGAGAAACCACACTTAGATTAGAGAGCCCAAAAGAACTGGGTTTCACCGCTGAAGTGCTAGGCGTCGAGTCTAACCTGCAATGCTGCGCTGGGCCACAACTTCACACTCCGGTCCGCTCAGAGTCCAACCGCAGCCGGCGCTATGACCTCACGGAGCCAATTGGGCAGTGCCAAAAGTCCATTGTCCCGGTGCTCGTCGTCTTTGTGCGTTTGCCATCACCTACTGAGCCAATTGCAAACGAGGAAGGTGCCTTGGATCCTGCACTTCTTTCCGCGCACGACTGGTTTTGCCGGTGGTGGCGAACCTGCAAGAACAATGAGCACCGCGACGACGGACTTTTGCTCCCGCTCAATTGGCTCCATTGGGGATCGTGGTGCTGGCCGCGGTCGAACTTGAAGCGAGACGGAGCATGGCGGCAAGATTCGTAGCTTTCTTGAGACTGGAATGTGCGATCCCGGGGGACGCCTATCCAAAGAAACGGCGTGTATTGCGGCGTTCTGCGGACGGGTAGGGAGATGATTGAGGAATCGGAGTTTGCGCTACTGCATTTCTAATCCGACGGCGTGCCGCTCCAGATGCAGTTCTCCCATCGCGCCCACCCGGAAAGGTAAAACGGCCGGGCGGTCGCTGTCAAGACTCGGTCGGGTTTCGAGGAATTCACTCCATCGAAGGCAAAAAAATCCCGCAGAAAAGAGAAAACAAAAAGTGAAGAAAAGACTGCCCTTAGTTGCGGTAGGCGATATATGTCACGCGACTTCTGCCACAACTACGCTATGTTGTATTTCTGTCCCGAGCGATTCACAGATTCCATTTATTGCTGACTAGTACATATTGCTCAAAATCTCTTTAAGGTAATGTTGTGAAAACATCTAAACCTGCTTTTCACATGGAACCCCAAAACATTCCACAGCTGGTCGACCTTTTCCCGCAAACTCGTCTTTGCAGGACGCAAACCGAGTAGCTGGTTACAGCTTTCCAACGATATGTCGACGGCGTACGGACTGTCCGTCGCAACTGCCACACAGGTGAGGGGGGGGGGGTCCAAGACTCATCATTCGCAATCCCTTTCAAACGCTCCGAGCCAAAGGAAGGGTGGCGGGGGTGACCAAATTGGTTTGCAGATGTGACCTCATTTGTGAAATGTGTCGTGCGAATGCCAATAAGGCTGCATCGCACAATCCCTAAGGCAGGCTTCGCAGCAATCCTGGCACTAGTCGCCCGGCCCGGAGGGTATACGCGTCCGGACACCAATATTCGTGCGTTGCGACAGGGCGCCGCTTTTCGTGCATTCGTTTGTAGAAGACGCCTAGCCTAAAACCCAGGAGAGCTCGATTGGTGTAGCATCGGTGGCGCTTCGTCACGAGACGGGACAACCGTCGTGAAAGCGCGAGCTCGCGAGCGCGACCGGAAACCAGTGGGTGTCGGCGACTTTCGCTCGCCGGCCGTCCCAACTTCTAAGGCAGAGCAACGAAGGATCAATGTGGATGCGCAATCACAAATGAGATGACTCGTCGCTTTTCCTCGCTCCCATATCAGAGGCAACCTCTGGCTATCGTTTAGGGATGAAGTCGCGCAATCGAGTCGACTGCAGATAGCACCAGTTGATCGAGTTCACAACCATGCTAAAGCTAGGGTGATAGTAATACGTTCCCACGAGCGGAAATAAACGAGAAAAACACAGCCGTGCTCCGAGACAGCGCGTTCGACGCAAGCTGGACGTCAATCGCTTCACCGTTGAGCGGCTTTCCTCGATGCAACGGCACACTGCATTCGTGGCGAGGGAAGGACGATAAAACAAACGCAGACGATTCCTTCGATGAGTAAAATAGCGGACACGGGTTTTCAAGGGTCGGCTTAGGGCTCTAACCACTACCACATGGCAATCCTAAGTGACTACTACTCACGACAACAGCTGATTTCAGGAGAGAATGACATGAAAGACTGGTCGATGCATCGGTACGTGAAAGCTAACAAAAAAGAAAATAAATCCCTCGTCTTATTCCATAAACAAAAATGGATTATACTGTCGGTTTTAATAATAAATATTTTATGCAAGAAGTACCATGCCTCGTGAGCCATCAAAGCTGTTCGCCAACTCTGGACGTCTTTCGCGTTCCAATTCGTCTCCCGTGGCCACACAATCTCAACTCTCTAACAACCAAAAAAAAAAAATAAAATAATAAGACAGCTTTTGGAGTTAACGTAAATAACCCAAAGGTTTCTTTTAAAATATGTCCGTGGCATTAAATAACAAATATGTACACAATTCTGACGAGGGAAGAGACCCCCGGCTTGGGCGGGGGAGTGGATCATCGTGACGATTGGCAGGAGTGGGGGGAAGCTGACTTCGTCGCACAGACCCTCGAAGCGTGGTCTGTGCCGCACGGCTGGATCAACCCAGGGGCAAAGCTTGCAACACACGAAGCTCGCTTCACTCGCGGGGTCTGAGCTGAAAAAGAGAAACAACAAAACGGTATTGGAAAAAACACTTTTGGAAATCCCGACAGTGGCCACGAACGGGGCACCAGCGCTTTTTAATGTAGAATTGCATTCTGACGAAAGTAAACTCTGATTTTGTGCAAGTCCGTGGCAGGTGGGGCACGTAACGTGACCCAATGTCGTGTGACATCACATAGCAGGGTTGTTCCCCACGGTGGGCAGCAGTGGCTTTGCCGCCCACCACTCCAACCGACCGCCCACCACTCGATTTTCTTTTTTTTCTTTATGTTGCGGGGTGATGATGCGATTTTGCCTGCGCGCGTGACTGTAGACCGTCACCATCGTACTGAGCAGGTTGGCGCATCGCCACGTTATCGTTTGCCATCGCATCGCTGACTGCCACCGCTGCCACACTGCTTCAAACAAAGAGCACGGGCGTTCGGCGTGTTTCTTTTTCTCTCTTGTTTCCTTTCTCTATCTCAGCGGCGCGCCGCCAGCAGTGCTCCGGAGGGGGGGGGGGGGGGGGGAATAAACAAAAACAAACGAAAAAAAACAAAAAAAACAACAACTCCCCCCCCCCTTCTTTCTCTTTCCCTTGGTAATGTCCACTCCTCCGAAATTCCTGGGGAGAACCCTGCAGTGTCACCAATGTTATTGGATCTGGTAATGTTCAGTGTCGAATTATGGTGTAACATGATGCAGGTTATGTGACCACATCACATGATGTGGTCACGGTGTCACATGATGTGACGTCACAGCACTGCATTACATTACACTGTAACATGTGACATCATAGCATCACATGAAAATGCCACATGATGTGACATCACATGTGATATGTGGCAATGCCATGTGACATCACATGGCATTTCCACGTGATGTGACATCATATGACACTGCCACATGGTGTGACATCACATGGTATTGCCACATCTGATGTCACAGCATCACAGACATGATATCACAGCATCACATGACACTGCCACATGACGTGACTTGACAGCATCACATGACACTGCCATGACATGACATTATAGCAACACATGACATTGAAACATTATGTGAAATCACAGAATCACATGACATTGCCGCATGATGTGACATCACAGCATCACATGAAATTGCCACATAATGTGACATCACAGCATCACATGACAGTGCCACATGATGTGACATCACACGACACTGCCACATGATGTAGCATCAGATGTCACCATGACTTGATGCCGCAATGTCACACGACCATATTGCATGATATTGCAATGTCACATGGCGTCAACTGACACCACAATCTATACAATGGTGTCACCTGACACCATGACTTAACGTGACATGAAACCATGACAACAGTGTTTTGTGACATGATGCCACATGACAATCATCATGCCGACGTCACACTAGCACCGCGCCGTCATCCCACGTGGCACAGACACGAAAATGGCAAGAGCTGGCCTAAAGCCACCAAATGAACTACGCCCAGAGCATCGGCACTTTGTTTCCCACTTCTCTCGCGGGTGCCACCAGTTTAGTGTTTAGCACCGAGCGGGCACATTCGGTAATCGTTACCAATAAAAAAAAACAACTTCCTGATCTTTAAATACGGTGGGTGGGAATTAGCTCGGGCGATATCATACTACTTTGCTGCGAGCTTTTTCAAATTCAGGGAGGACGGAAGACCGTTTGCTGCTTGATGTAATGCAGTCATACTCTACAATGCGAACGGGCCTGAAGTCACAGTCAACTGGTCGTACATTGTATGAGACAAAAGAAGCGGTGTTGGCAGCAGACGCGACGGCAGAGTTGTCCGTGGACCAGCCTCAAGCATGTTTGGCTTCACACGTACGCTTGGAATGTGTCTGAAGACAGTTTTCGTATGACTAAAGTGACAGGGCCATCCTCCAAGAAAGAAACACGCCTCGGAGAGCGTCTGGAGACCGTCCTTTGTACGACGTATTAGCGACACGAGGGCAGCTTCAGAGAGCCAGGTCGGAGCAGACGAAACCAGAGGCGAACGCTCGTCTGGCCATTCCTCGGGGCAGCCAGATTGTATCTCAACATAATGTGGTCAGACCCCGCTGCATGAATGATCTACGGCGATCCAGGCTGCAGCAAACGAAACAAAGGCGCAAAGCACTCACGTCCGGTGCCATCCCTTAGGGCAGCGGCACCACCACCTCGACGTAGTTGACGGGGAAGAGGCCGGTGCGCCCGTCGTGGCTGCCCTCGAACCAGTTGTCGTCGACGCGCCGCACCAGGGTCACCAGGTCGCCCTCCCGGAAGCCCAGCTCCCCCTCGTTCTCCGGGTCGAAGTCGTACAGGGCCCGGCAGCAGGGGCCACGCCCGTTGGGGCCGCCACGCGCTGGGGACCGCACCGGGGAGGGAAGCGGAGACGCTGAGGCACCCGCAGCCTCGGTTAGTCCAAGCAACGTGCAACCTCGCTCGGTCGTTTTTATCCACGACCCCGAGCGAGGATAAAAATCGGTCCATTTCCAGCTGGACACGCTAGTGATCAGAACCAGGTGCCAATGTTTCAGAAATAGCCGTTGCCTTATTCGGAAGTTACGAATTATTTTCTGAAATTTTCATTGGAAAAGTGGTAGCCGACGGAGCCCTATTTTTCCACTGAAATTTCAGAAAATCACTTATAACGGTTAGTTTTAAAACTCATCTGGTTCAAACGGCTAGCACTATATTTGGGCAGAGGCTGAGCATTCGGCGATGCATCATTTGTTTTTGCACTGGAAAAAACTCTGACATTCTTGGGGGAACACACTTTATATCTTGGTAACTCCCACCGAAATATTTTTTTACTTTTTCTGCCCGCCAAACTAACAAATGCAGGGGGCAGAGGCCCTGTCAAGCTGCATAAATGCAGCTCCCCCCCCTCGTATTGTACTCTGGCCGCAAAATAAAAATTGAATTGAACTGAACTGACTAGGGAACAAGTTTTAGCTGGATACAGCTGGAACCAGTTCCATAATCCAGCTGGAAATGAGCTGACTTTTATCTGAGGGGTTAGTAAGGATCATGCAAGGATCATGCACTCATTTAACTGAGTGGACTAAGAACAAATTTATCGCAATAACATTTTATCCCGAGCCAGTGTTTAATTCCAAGTTGGTAAGCAGCGAAATACTCTAAGGAAAACGCGATACGCTGAAAGCATACTTACAACTGTGCACATTTATGAAACAAAAAAATACAATTGATGTGTCATTTTATAATAGAGTACTGCAATGTACTTTTAATATCTGAAGAATATACTTTTAGTATACTTTTTAGAGAACTATGTGGTTTGCTAGTGTTTTGCACACATGCACGAACTGTGCACTTGAAGTATGCTTTTCAAAGTGTACTCGTTTGTTTCAGAGAAGTGTGAAATTAGTACTCCATTAGTGCATCGCCTTTTACCAAGGAGAAAAAACATTGTTTGGGAAATTCTCAAGTATTAATTCAACAACCTTTTCAGGCAATCTTTCCACATATACTCAAGAGGTTTTCCCAGAGGCCCTTGAGATGTCTCTTAAGATGCCATCTAGGCTTCATGGTTCTAATGTGATTCTTCTAGAGGTTCTCAAGAGGTCCTTCAGAGTTTCCCAAGAAACCCTCCTAGAAGTTCTCCCTCAAAAGTCTTTAAGAGGTACTTCTTGAAATTCCCTAGAGAACCTTTTGGACATCTTTCTAGAAGGGCTCAAAAGAACTGACTAAAAGTTCTTTGAGAAGTCCTCACAGGAATCCATTGGAAGTTCTTTGAGAAGAACTCAAAAGATTCCTTTATGAGTCTTCGAGACATTCTTCTATAAATCTTCAATAGAATCCAATTAAAGTTATTTTAGATGTTCTCAAGCGAACCCATTGAAAGTTCTTTCGAAGGCCCCAAGAGCTCCTCTACGAAAGTCGAGTTAAAAATCTTTGAAAAAGAACCCACTGAACAAAATTATAAAATATTTTAAGAGAACAGAAGTTTTTCCAGAAGTACTCGAAAGAACCCCTTGAAAGTTCCTCCAGAAGACCCCAAAAGGTTCTTTTATGAAAGTCTTCAAGATATCCTTCTAGAAGTTCTCAAGGGAACTGAATAGAATTTTTTCTGGAAACCTCCAAAATATCCTTTTGGAAGCTCCTTCAGAAGAAGAAGACCTGAAAAGGTTCTTCTATTGATGTCTCTAAGATATTCCTCTCGAAGTTCTCAACAAAACTGATTAGAAGCTTTTTCTAGAATTCCAAGAGCCCCTTAGCAGTTTCTCCAGAAGACACCAAAAAAGCTTTTCCTACGAAAGTCTTCAACAGATTCTTCTAGAAACCAAGCTCTTCCAAAAGACCTTAAAAGGTCCCTTTAGTTTGATGAAGCACTACTGTAACAAAGATGTCAACAATATGACTACTTTTCAGGAGTGTGTAACTCTGGCCCCTGGCAGCGATTTCTACAACTTTCCCATTAAATCCTACTGGAGATCCCCAATAAACCGTACTCCAGGGGCATTAAAGAACACCGTAGAAGAGCGTAAATTTGGGCGAATTTGTGATGCACAGCGAAATGAAAACAGCGCACACAAAGACAAGGGACAATAAGTCAAAGAAAGGAAGACTTTCTAGCACACGTCCTTAGGAGGACTGGGAAGGGCTTGCAGACAGCAGGCATGGAAAAACAGGAACGCCAGTACCGTTGGGAGACCTAGAGGGCGAGGCCCCCGTGCCATGCGGATTGGGGAAGCTGCCCAGGAACAGGTTATTGCTGGGCCTCGGGTTCACGGGCGAGCTCAGGGGAGAGCGGGCAGGAGACGCTGAAACATCGCCGGAACAGCTGCCCATCACCACAACCGCCACCACGACCACACCACCGGGTCGACTGCCACCCCTCTGGGCCGCCGGGTGAACCCTCGCCCCAACCCCGGTCTTTGATGCCAGGACAGCAAGCCAAATCCAGTTCCGCGAAGACCATACGTCAACCCTTGAGCTTAAAGGCCAGTTCACGCAAGCAACGAAGCACAATGCGGGCACTGTAACTAGCACTGAATTTAGGACTGATTGAGCACCGTATTTCATCCTCACAACTTGTTCACCACAGCAAAGTCAATTTTATGCGATTTCACGTTGGCGATGGAAGCACTTTCAATGCCGAGTCTCGTTCCTACTGTTGTCACAGTGTCGTAACTTTGTTCTAAGAAAGAGAAGATAAATGGTATCGGGGCAAGCTCGGTGCATCGACTGTATTTTCTGCGTCCACCGTTGAACATGCTGATCTCGAGTGAGAATAAAGGCTGGTTTACACAGAATGATTTTCTTACGTTACAAAGCTTTGTACGCTTGCATCCAGATACGACCACAAGTTACCGGCACATCAGTGCTTCGTACGAAGTGTTGCAACCAATTGAAGGAGTAGCTTGGCATGTGGAATACGAAGAACGGATGTGCCTGTGACTTGCTGTCATACCCTGACGTAAGCTTCGTAACGTAAGAAAGTGGTGCTGTACGAACCAGCCTTAAATCCCCGGAGTCACAAGCCCTGCGACACATCCTCGCGACCTCTCAGGTATGATACATGAGACGGTGCCAATGAAACCTTTCACTTCTGCCACATTGCCACGTGTACGACCGAGAGGGAACGCTACTCTATATTCCTAGAAGATTCCCATTTATAATGTTCTTACCCCAAATGTTTGATGCTCGAATATTCTAGGCCAAATGTTCGAGGTACCGAGAATTGTAGATAAGGAGCCCAATGTGGCCTTGCCGACTCCCTTTTGGACTCCCACGGTAACCAGGTGTCACACCAACACCTTGATGCTCGCTTCGGCTTTCTCGACTCTCGTTTTTTTCTTTTGTTTCTGGCAAAAGTTTGCCGATGAAACCTTTATTTTCAGCTTTACCTTTGTCTAGCCTTTTTCCATCTGCAAGAATACCAGCATTGCATTAGCAAGTGCTGCGTCAGTGCTAAGGTCAGCACTGTTTGCAGTGCTGACCTTAGCTCTGGATTAGTGCTGCGCTGTACGTGTGAACAGGCCTTTATGGTCACATGGAGATGTGGCCATTAGCCAAGCAAACAACCCTTTCCTATGTGGGTCGCTACTGCTGCTTCGCTTTTTTGTGATGTAACCGAGCGTGCGGGACAAGCCCTCTTTCTGGACAAATGGATACATGTGGGCGATAGAATCGAACGTTTTACCTGTCCAAGAGACAGAAATCTCAAGCTTTTTGCATAATATGTATGTGGTGCCTGAATTGATAGCCTTCATCAGTTTCTGGCTAACTATGTTATGCTTTGGGAGGTGGATTAATGTCTTGAGCCAAGGATTTCCACAATCTACTGATAGCCAAGAGAGGATTGAATGCTAAAAGTGACATCTCAGGTTACACAAATAAGATTCAAGAAAAGAGAAGCCTCTTGTTAGTTCAAAGGACCAGCGACACAATTAGTATTTTCTCGTGTTAGCCACAGTACAGTCATTCATGCAGTTAAAGCTAGAATGCTGGCACTCAGTTTTGCATGCAACCCCAAGCACAGAAAACACCAGTTGAAAAGACAGAAGATCATGCACAGAAACTGTTCAACACTGAAGAATTCAGTTCTAAAATGCGCGGCTATTTTAGATCTGGAGTCGCCAAATGACAGTGAAACAACGCTGCAGTTGCTTCACGGCCACGAATATGGTAACCCCGTGGCAACACTGCTCGTTATAATCAGACAAGCGGCTTTGCCATTTGCCGTGCTACTCTAATCCAGTAGAACACAGCCCAATCGAGAGACCCCGCATGCTGTGGTCAGTTTGCAGCATGGTTATTTTGAGAGGCAGAGCAGCACACGGCACGGTTCTGTACAAAGCCACTAAGAAGCTACGCTCAGAGCAGCGACACTCCGTCCCCCGACTGGGTGCCGCCAATTCGGTGCTTAGTGCAGGGCGGGTGCAACTGTCCTTTGTTGCCACTTTGGGACCACTCTTCGATGCACGGGCGGAACGGGACGCTAATGCACCAATCGGAGACGCTTTTTTAGGCGCCGTAACTATGACGCCGGGAACGTCAGGCGACGCTGCCTCGCGCTCCGTCGCGGACCGTCGCAACGTTTGTGGGGGATGGAAATCCGCTTCCCACGATTCCAGACGAAGCTTCGGATAACCGGACAAGGCGGCCGAAGTGTTGCGTTTCCGAAGCGTAGCTTGTTTGGCGGCTCGAAAGTCGGGAGGCGGTCCGATGACCCGGGGAGTGGCATTCGACCCGGATAGAGGAAAGGAAAGATTTGTCAGACGACAGCGAGGGAAAACATGCGAGAGGATGGCAAGACTGGTGGTGGTTCCTTCCGTCCCGTCCCACTCTCGCGTCAGAGGCTCCCGTCCCCGTCGAGTTATGCACGATTGAGACTTGGATGTTCATAGACTGCGTTGGAGCTTGTAGTCAGAGCAGGAATTCTCGAGCTTGTCAATCTTGAAGAACCCTCTTCTGGGCCTCAAGTGTCGGCCGAGGGTCCCCTCCAAACGCCAACCGTACCTCGTTCCCACTCGAGTCCAGACGCAGCCGACACTCTGATTGAGCAGCGTCCTAAGCGCGAGTCGCTGGGCCTTTTTCTGTTTATGGTCGGCGCAGTGCGACGACAGAGCACGTACGGAAACATGACAAACACCGTGATGGTGTGCTTTTGACGCCGTCTGATTGGTCCCGCCTGCTCGCAGCGTCGGCTGCGTCAGGACTTGAAGGGATACTCCGGCGATTTTTGTAGCTACCCAACTAACTATATTGAAGGTAAACATGTTCGGCAGATATCTGCCTGGTTGGGTGAATTTAAATTCTTTATTCTTTACAACTAACTATATTTTCTGAATCATCGGTCTTCCCTTTCCGCTACGCTATTTAGCATTGCGAAATTCATAATGGTTATTGTGAAATCAGTAAATGAAAATGATGCAAAATCCAAGATTCAAATATACCCGCACTCTTCAGTGCTGCGACATCAGCGGCAGGCACGCTTGCCAGTCGAGCAGGCAGTAAAAAAATAGACTATGCCGAGCATTTGTACTCCGCTGGTGCGCCGGTACTGGGGTGAGCTTCAAAAGCATTCAGTTGACACTATGAAACTGCTTGGAGTCAGGTGGGAACAAATTCTATGTTCCACTGGCATCACTTTTCCGTTGTTGCCAGTAGAGACTTTCAGTTTGAAAAACACGACGAGGACCAAAATTGTAAAATCAACGATTTCACGAAAAAAAAAGTATTTTGACCTAATGTTTTGGACACTATTTCAGCGATGTTTTTTGGTGTGTAGCAAATTTTCAAGCAAATCGGGGATCACGAAAAATCGCGGGAGTACCCCTCTAAGGTGAAACGAAGTATAATACGAGCATTACTGCTTATGAGGTCTGTAGGCTTTTTAACTGTTTTGCCGCATTAATGCCTTGACAGAGAAAGGCTATATATGGTGCCAGAAAGGCGTCCCTCAAGACAGAAAAGTTAAGAGATCCCCTGATCTAAAGGGACCTCAAAAGAGCTCTTGTTCACTTTAGGCTAGCTACGGTGCTCAGAACTTGCGCTCATAAACCGTCGAACGGGCACCCATCGATTCTTGTTTCCGGAGGGGAACGAAAACCGACTGCAGAAAGTGTATTTGCGAGGCTTGTTCTCTTTTTCCTCCCAAGCTTCCCTGTCAAACAAATGGGAAAATGAAAAGAGACTATCTCTTTGAGCTTGCGACTAAGCGGATTATCAATCATGCTGTAAGATGGGGAAGCGTGTAGCGAGATAGGGGGCAAAAATGCTACAGTCAGTAGTCACTCGAGGACTGCGATAGTCACATGCGGCTCTTGGTGACGATTAACGAGATGATCCCATGCGAGAGAAAAGGGCCATCCAGTTCACAAATGCCCCATTCCATTTCATAGTCTCTGGGACACAACTTTTAAATTTTACATTTTTGAGAAAAAAATTATTTTCCTTATTTTTATTTATTGTGGTTCAACAACTAATAGTGCACACTCCTTAAAACTTTACTGCTATATCTGAAATATTTACAGAGAAATAAAACATTTTCGGTAAGCCAACGATGCAAAATCACATGTTTTTAAACGTGAAACTTCCGTTTCCTGTTTTCAAACTGCTGTAGCTTTGCACCGGTACACCCTGGAACGATGATCATACTCTCGTTGGAAAGAGCAGTTCTTCACAGTTTCAGTACACTAAACATATTTGTTTGAGAGTAAACAATTTGGGCAAGAACACCATAGACGTCCAGCTTTCCCATGGAAAAGGCTATGCACATGGCCAAGAATAGAGTTACCTTTGTGAATCGGCGTGAAGGCCATCCATAGTACTACTTTGTGTATTGGAGGCTTTGGCGTTTGGACTGGTTAGAGGTTGCCCCTTTGTGTTGGTGGTTGCTGATTGTGGGCTATATAAGGAGGCGGACCAGATAAACCTGGTAGCCGAGTTTGAGACGTCATCCTGTCCTTTTCTCCTCCTTCGACTTATTTGTTCACTTCTGCCTCAGTCTCAGGTTATTCAACATGGTTGACATTTCACCAGCTTGCCTGCACCCTCTCTATATTATCTCCATCCTGACTAAACAGAAAACAAACTAAAACCAACATTCGTTTATACAAAAGTCCCATAGGTTTGTCTGCTTTGTATTTTGACCTCGCCCTGCCAACAGAATTGCTGATGCCGGTTCGTGTATGGCAAGCATATCCGATTCCTCAATCGTTTCATAATCAATGTCCACATGTCGACAACAAAACGACAGTCTAAGAGAGTGTTTTAATTAAGCTCAGACTCACTCAGCGAGGCCATGCAGGAGATTGGGTAGAGGCAGAATGCATCAGCCATGCTCTTGGTGCCTTTTAGTTGCCACCACCACCAGTAAAATCAAGTGTAGTGGTGTGGAAACTTCAAATGGGTTTCTCCTCAGTTTCCCTTTTTTTGCAGAAACTTTCGTTTTAGGAAATCTATCATTCCAATGAGTTGCGGAATTTATCCTTCGCTGTGGATGTTTCCGAACTGAAATTTAATGAGGAATGTGGCTAGGCAATTACTTTTCCATTTAAATAAAGTTCTTATTGCCAAAAAGTAAAGTTTTGATGAGGAGAAAATGCCTCATTATGGGGAATGCTTTTCAAATTGTCATTTTGTATAAGAAAAGTGCATATTTCAGGGTAAAAAATACAGTCTAAGCTCATTACAACAGACATTTGTATATAACATACCGATTTGTGAGGTTTGGTTGGTTTTCCTCTACATACCTTTGACTCAACTTCATATCTGTATACAACATACTCCATTTACAACACACCGAAATCTTGGTCAAAATCGAGGTCTGTTATAACGAGCTTAGACTGTAGATGGCCGCACGCCCCATTTGTTCTAGTTAAGGCTGACGCTTAGAAATGCTCAATATTTTGCAGCAAATTTATACGATAGATATCCTTGCCAAGTGAGGCGACATACATTAGTAGCTGTAGCTTATCCGAAAACTGTCCTACGAAGAACAAGCGTCACACAGTGCATTTAAACAACGAGATACGTAGACCCTTTAAATTTCATCAATATTGAGCGACTGGTTTAAAAATCGACAGTTGAAGGTGGTGTTTGAAATCGTGAGGAGCCAAGCAAGGTGAGAAGAAAGGTGGAATTATGCGACAGGAAGATCACAGTCAAAGGTATGGACAAGAGACGGAGGGGAACTGAAAGGCTCTGTTCCCCATAGTGACCGTTTCGAAAAGGCAGTTTGTGGTTTTTTAAGTTTTGATACGGTAGGCTTGAAAATAACAACTAATTGCATGGATCACGATTCTCATTCCAGAAACTGAGGAGAAACCACATGCCTCATTATTCAATTAAGAGGTTAAAAGGCGCCAACTGAAACAGGACGAAAAAGGGCACACATACGACACGGACAAGCGCCGTGTCGTATGTGTGTTTTCTTTCGTCGATATTCAGTTCACGCCTTTTAACCTTTTAATCGATATGTACCAACTAGCCCCAACCAAAGTTTTATTCCATCTCATTATTCGGTAGTACTATCTGAATTGACTAAAGTAAATTAAGCAACTTGCTGGAGCTTCTCATAGCCTCAACTACTTGGAGAGAAAACTGAAATGTAGAGTTTGTCACTAAAATGGGATATGTCTCTGAAGTGTAGTCTTCTTCCATTTTACCAATCCTCCACTTCAGCCAATCTTGGTCTCAGACGGCCAATCTTGGTCTCAGACAAAAAAATGTGCTAGCAAGTTTAGAGCAAACGAGAAATTTAGCCAGTGCGGTATGACTGCTAGCCTGGGGCCTTCAACGTTCACCACACGGTGGCGATACACGACCGCATTGCAGTACGATGCTCATCCAGATCGAAACGGTCAGGGGTCGGAAGTGGACCCGGAATCGCTAGGTTCTGCAGCGCAAGCTTTCTCTTCACACGCTCCAAACTGCGGTGCACTAACGCGCTCAGCCATTACAAATGAGGGCAGCTCCGTTACAAACGATACAAAGAAAGTTGGTAAACGAAATTTCTATGCAAAGTGTTAGGCAGACGAGGCCTGGTTGAAAAGGCATTTCAGGTCAAGAATATTTACCTGCCAAACACTAACATATCACTACAAACTGTTAGGCTAGTTGGGTAGTCGTTCAATTACCGGGTCCTTTGCGTGCAATAACGGTGAATAAAAAAAAATTAAGCTATAATCACTGAAACGACGAGAACGGCAGGGAGGAGCTTCAGTTTCCCCACCTCCTGCGCGAGCTTCCTGCCTTCGGCAATGCTTCAAAGCACTGCAGAAGGCGTGGAGCGTGTGCTGGACGACAAACGTCCAAGAGACATGTCCGGACGTTTTCACCTCGGCAGTGGTTATGATAATACATGCAACCTGTCACCAAAGCAAACCGCACAACCTTGTGTCACTTTCAGAGCCCAATTGTCGCAGCCACTTGATAAGTGCATAAAAGCAACAAAAAGAAACTGAAAAAGACAGCATACAGAAAATGGCTACAATCGTATGCACGACATGCAAGACAGAAAGACGCAAGTGCAGGAACCCAAAGGTTTGGCCTTTACTCCCATCATACTCCTGAAACCACCCCAGAAAAAGCAAATGCCAGAAATGTTGCCATTTTGCTACGTGTCTCCGTCTTAAATATATTCATTTTCATATTATATAACCTGACCAATTAGGTCATTGAATGGCTAATGATAACATACAGTCGCCGACCAATTTTTCAGACGCCGATACCGTAATTCTGACTTCTTTGATATTTCGGACCTAAAGGAGGAACCGTGACCTACCCGATACGAACAGTATATTATCACGATCGACGTTTCGAACACCTCGAAGTCAGAAAGCTAGATTTTTCAGACAAAATCATCGCGAGCGAGCGGGAAACACCAGTGAGAAGCCGTCATTTTAGATTTTATGTTTGCTGCACATGGATTAGCTTGGTTTGGCAGCCCTACTTGAGTACCGCTAAGTCCTACCTCAAGGTGACGCTATGCTACGGCTTTTTACAGCAGAGCTGTTAAGGGCTAGTTTCTCGAGGATCGCGTCCCCCGCAAACAAATGTCGACAAAAAACTCCGGTTGCCGCCGTCGCTCATAGATGGCTGTAGCTGTCCAGAGTGTTGTGCTTGCCGGTTGTCCGCTTGCCGCCGTCGCTAAGAGATCGCGGCAACATTTTTTCGCAGGAAGAAGAGCGGGAACGGAATGAGCGGAGAAGTGCGCAGCAGCGCAAATGATTTCGTAACCGCCGCGAGGCCGCTATTGGCTAAAGTTCCACTGCGTCGAGCGCTTCAGATTCCCTTGCGAAAGAAGAGCAGATCGCTCGCCTGGAAAGCCACCGCCGAGAGCAGAAGCTACAGCTCCGCTGCTCTTCCTTCTTCACCAAAGTGGAAAGGCTGAGAGTTTTTTTTTTCTTTCTAGCCGCACAACTTTATTATCATCACTGTTACTATCTTGCTTTGTTCATTCGCCATTCATTAGTCGTGGACTTGCGCCTCTCATCTCATCTCGGTGAACCATGTTTTCAGACTACGCTGGCTTGGACATCATGAACCCAATTGTTCTTCCAACGCCGCTTTATGTCGCTAAGAAGCGCTCAAAGTATTCGATCACAACACTAGAAAAAAAGGCAGCGATTCTCAAGCTTCAGGTGACGAAGGCGTAACCTGAAGCAAGGCACTATTGCCAACTTTTTCTTAGCCCGCTTAGATGTAAAAGAAGCAAATTTCTTAGTCTGCTGATTTTTTGGACTGCTCCATTATTCTGAAGTTTTTTCGGTCCCTGCAAAGGCTGAAAAATCAGTCGGGGATTGCAATGAATCCTTCGCCCGCTTCCTTTTTAGTGCAAACAAGCTACGTTTCACCCCTTCAAATGTATATTACACAAGCTCTGACCATGAAACCGAAGCCCGTGTGCAATCAAACGAGGCGGAGAGCTCTTTTGCTTGATGCCGTGCAACATAAGGGCATACAACTGCAACAAGCCTGTAGGTGGCCGTGAAAGTGGCAGAGAAAACAAAACAGAGGTCTGTCCCGTGACCATCTGGTCAAATCTCCCATTGTATGGACCACCTGAGCGAGTGACCGAGACACAACTCCAGGCGAGGCTCGCCAGTGCACGTGCCACGGACAAATCAGTCTCATGCAAATGAAGAAATGTGTCCGACTTTTTAAAAACTGTATACTCTGGTGAGCTTACAATTTCTCAGAGGACATCAGCCCCGCTGCCGAGGCACAAAACGGCACGATTTTCGAGGGCCATCAGTGCGTCGTCGGAGGCAAAGGAGAGGTGCCTACACCGACGTCAACTCCTTTTTTCTTGTTTTCGGGAAAGACGACAGCCGTGGAGGCCTTGACTGACCGCCAGGTGAGGGAGAGAATGGCTGCGTCCCCAGGCCCATGTCACGAGCCTCTTTCGAGGACACAAGTGTAGGCCCACTCTCCCCTCTCACAAAAGTCGTTCCAAAGCAGGCCGTTGAATCTGAGGGGCAGCGAGAGTCGGGCACAACGCAAGTCGGAGCAAACCGTGTCCTTTGTGAACGGGCCTTTACAGCAAATCTGTCGCGAGGCATCTCGGAATCGCCGGTACGATCGACCGTGGCGCCCCCCCCACCCTAGAGTGTCGAGAGGACGGCGCCCCACCACCAGGCTTACCGGGGGCACCGGTGGTGAAGAGGGCACAGTGGGCGGGACCGCCGTTGTAGAAGGCCCCACCTGACTCCACCATGGGCGAGATGTCGTCGTGCATCACGGGCAGGTTCAGCTCGCACAGCTTCTTGGGCTCGTACGGCTGGCGCTCACGGCTGGCCGCCTCAGCTTTCCTGCGACGCACGGGCGACGTTGGCTTTCGTGCAAACCGGCTCTGCCGCGTAGGTCATTGTTCAACAACGTTCACTTCTAATTTTTTTTTCCTGGATCCCCCCTCATGTAATGCACTTCATTTGAAGCTCTTTTGAGAATCTCAATTCTGAGCTGAAAGAATCTGACCAAAAACATTTAAAAGAGGAGGCCTCTGCATTATGAAAACAAAAAAGGCACATACAACACAATACAGACGAAGAAAGACAGTATCGTCTGTGTCGTCTTCTATGTGCCTCTTTAGTTTTCGTATTCACCGTTAGTGAATATCTGACCCACCCTAACTGACAAAAACGCTGACGCTTGGCAAGTATATGCCGCAAAGTGGCAGACGCGTGTGTATTTGTGTCGCCATCTGCTAGCATCACATCCGTTGTAAGACACTGCAAGACGCACTCGAAGCGACATGAACGTAAAATAGGTGATGCTGTGTGGACCCACTGTTGACGACGTTAGGAGAGGAAAGGGGCAGGCATTGTAAGCTTCTAGGTGGTGTTCATCTAACCTGCCTCAAATAAATTGCAAAAATCGGTTTTGCTAACTGGCATGCGATGGCCGTGCACTGAAACTCTTTACTCGTATGCAATGTACATACAATGCAAGCGTTGAGAGAATGGCCACACTGATTGGCCCTGCCAATCAATCAACAAAGTTCACCCGGTCGCATGACTCAGGGCCGACAACGAATCAGCCCCCTCGGCCAATCGTTGATAGGAAGAGTCTAAAAGCACTTGAGATTCAGGTTTTGCGGGCACGTCTCAAGTGTCGCAAGTGGCACTCAACTGTTCGAGGAGCCTCTCAGTGAGACTCTGCAGCACTTCAGCACACTGCTGGTGATACTCGCAGAAGGCCTCCGCCAGAGCCGCCAGCTGCGAGATCTGCTCTACCTGGAAGAAAGAACCCACAGAATCGCATCACTCTAACCCAAAGCGAGAAAACTCAAACAAATGATCACAAATCAAGTAAAGCAGGGGCTCCAAGTTGGACTCCAACAAGAAAGTCGACGAGGTCGCCAACTGTCGTGATTGGCCAGCATTGCGCTGTGATTGGCCAGCACCAAGGCCAAGCACGGCACTCACTGGCCAATCGCAGCAGTCAAAATACTTTTTTGCCAACTTTCTCACCAGGTGTCGCACTTAGAGCCCCAGTACTCTCTGAATGCGCTCCTAGACTTTCCAAACATTCATTTTTTATAGCAGAGGGTGTCTGACTATGGAGACAGAATGCGCAGTCATCGGATCTTTCTCAACATCCACGAGTAGGCATGCGCAAACAGTGGATTTTGATTTTGATGCGAATTCGAGATGAATACTGTAAAGTTCCAAGGGAACGCTCACCCCCGAAAGATCGCCCATCCCGTGTTTCTGGCTAAATACCTGTAACACAAAAAATTCGAAGCATCGGCCACCCCTCGATTTCTGTCGAACGTCACGCGACGTTCGACAGGAATTGCATTAACCTCGCAATTTGCTGTACCAGCACGTCTGACAAATGAGTTCATAGCAAGTTCCCGCGTTTTTGTCCGAGATCAGTCCGCGCAATAACGGCTCCCGCAACACATGAGTTGTTCCCGCGTGTATGTTGCACCATAAAAGGCGAATCTGCTGCGTTCGTCTACGGTATCTGTTTTTGTGACAAAGTTTGTAGCGGATTCCCGCGTTTTTGTTTGCGATTTGCGTGCGCGATATTGTTGCCCGTGACAGGCAAGTTTGTAGCGGGTTCCTGCGTGTTTATTGCACCATAAAACTTGAATCTGCTGCGTCCGTGATTTGCAGTATTTGTTCCCGTGAGATGCGAGATCTCGGCAAGTTTCCGTGGGTCCTTCGCACCGTGAAACACGAACCTGCTGCGTCCGCAACATGCGGTAGCCTTTCCCGTGGCGTCTTTATCCCATTGTAAAACGCAAATCTGTGGTGTCTGCGATCTGCGATATCAGTTCCCGCGTCACGTGGTTTGTAGCCCGTGCAGGCTGTTTATCATAAATTTTTAAAAATGTTTTGCTGTGGCATCCCCAAAGATAGCCCACCCCATGTTTTTCACCATTTATCTCCTCATTTTGGGTGGACATTCTTTCGGAACTTTACGGTAGTGGTTTTGGTCGAATATTTTTTAGACGAATATTGAATAGTTTCTTCAAGCCTTTCACTCTGTTGCACCAAGCTTACTCGAAAACCCACTCGTGAAGGTCTTTCACAAGCTTCCACTTCAGGTTCATGTGTTTTGTTAGTATAATGATTTCTCTAAAAATTCTCCAAGCTTGACCTATAAATTTTTCAAAAATGACCGACCTGAAAAACTTTTCTTTTCCCTGGAAAAGCTTTAGGAGCTACTCAACCTCCGTTTTAGAGCAAAAATCATCCACCCTCTAAAGCACAACTGACGGAATTTAATAACTTTTCCTGACATAAATTGGACTATTGCCTTCTCCTTACTAGTACAAAGTAACTTAGAAAGGCATCAGCCTGTATGATTTAGGGTTGTACGACCTTCACATTGATGGCCGACATCTCTAAAAAAAGAATGGCTGCAAGAATTCAGTTCAGTGTGTGACATATTGCGACACATAGCACCCCTAACACAAAGTGCCAGTGTGCGTGACACACTGACACATAGCACCCCTGACACAATGCATCAGTGTGTGACACATAGCACCCCTGACACACTGTCAGTGTGTGACACACTGACACATAGCGTCCCTGACACAATGTGGCACACTGAGACGCATGTGCGTCGCAACGTGTGTGACACACAACACCCCTGACACACTGTGATACATAGCACCCCTGACACACTAAACGGAATTGCTGCGGCCAGTTTCTCTGCTGCAAAAGTGAAGGCTCGAGCCAACTTGGCAACACTCACGTCGTTCTCCAGCAGGTTAAACATCCCCATCGACGCTAGGTTGAAGGACTCTTCGAACTTGTCCTCGGCCAGCTTAATGTCGTCCTCCGTCGCATGAGCCCCTGGATGCAAAGCACTGGCTGTGCACGCAACAAACTCTGAAAGGCTGCCCACACAATGAAAGGCTGCTATAGTCTGCTGCAAGTGCAGGACAGCGGGACAAGGCCCTCCCACAAAGCCCTCCGCTCGCCACAATCGTCGGTTTCCCGCTCTCCGCTCACCTCCTCTCCGGCGTTTGCTCCGCCAAAGTGGAAAGAGTGGAGGGCTTTGTGGGAGGAGCTTCTTGTCCTGCTCCTCTTAACCGGCAACAGCCCATAGCACACTGAAAGGCTACCGACACACACCAAAAAACTATCGTCTACGGCACCTGGGACGTGTCTCCAACTGGTGCGTTTAGCGTCCCATTCAGCCCATACACCGAGAGTGGTTTCGAAGTAACGACAGACGACGTTGCAAAAGCCGGAGTGTTGCAATCCCGGCGGTTGGCCGCGTAAGTTCTAGCAAAAAACACAGGCAACGCGGCTGTCGCCATAGTTGCGGCGTCCCAACTGGCCAAAGTTTCTGTGCACCGTCGAGCTGGAGAGCGAGTTGCAGCGATCAGGCATCCGCCACATACGCCACCACTGCTGCGACGACGCCATGATCGCGGCTGGCGACATGATACTTCTATGATGCCGTCAGGAGGAAATTAAGAGACCACTTTTTAGGACGCGGTAAACAGACCAGTTGGAGACGCATTCCAGGAACCATTCTATCAACGCGAGACCTTGTGACGAGGGTTCCGTGTTTTCTTCTTCTTCAAATTCAAGAATGTCTTTTAAGGGTTTATATGTTTTCTTTCTTTTTTTTTTTTTTTCTTTTCCACGGATATTGTGTTTTTTTATGTCCACAAAAAGACTGTCATTTATCGAGGCTCGCGTCAAAGAAAACGGGGCACGAATGCTGGTATTCCCCAAGCGTTAGCGAACGTTCGCAAAGACCCGAAAATTTGAAAAATGTCCCGGTGCCGAAGGAAGTGTAAAAAGGGGCCTCGCGAATTTTGTTTTGCGCGAGCTGTGTTCTGGGTCAACACAAAGTAAGGCAGAAAAATTTCTTTCCGTAAAACTTAGGCTGTCTTATTTGGGGACAGCTCCAATTCGCAGCTTTGTTGGTTTTCCCCTTGACATTAATAAAACTTGCTCGGGGGCCGTACTTTTCAAAGATTTAAAGGCACGCGCCAAAAACGCGGAGCCTTATTTCATAGTGTGCAAATATTTCTTTCTCTAGAGATTCCTCCGGAGCCTGTGATTACTGCAGTTGTGAGATTTACCAACAATAAAACTTTCTGTGCGAGTAATATATTTTTTACACCTCGTTTCGTAAGATACGTGCTGTGCAATGATGTCAGAGCTACTGACGCAAGCATGTGGTTCTATCTGGCATTTTGTGCATGTGTACTCTTGTACAAATGGAATGCTTGATAAAGTCCCGAACTTGCACTAGCAGCTTTGACATTGTTGCATATCATGTATAAAATGGAGCACAACAGAATACCGCTTGGAAATATTTAAAAAGCAAAAGATGAACGGTGGCTTGTCTTCAATGTTAGACATTAAATGTACAATTTTAAATATGAAGTGTCAACACCTAGCACATAAATGATGCCACTTTGATGCCATTTTGAAATTGCTATATTCCACGGTGTGTAATAAATATCTTGTTTAAATGCTGCAAGCTATAAGCAGTATTTAACTACTATAAAATACCGGGGAGTGGCCACCGAAAGCATCTAGACATGGGGGCTTATTCGGTCAAATCAGGGGTTTAACGTATAACTTGCAGAATTCCCAAGTTTGGGAAATTTTGACAGTAGGCACTTGAACAGAGTGGGTGCTTCCATTGTATTTTACGGTCAATCTGTTTTAAAGTCAATATTAAAATTTGCATATTTTTTTCTTTTTATAACTACAGTACATTTCCAGTGATCAGAGTCAGGCTTTCTCATCTGCCAAGCTAGAAAAGATTAAAGAAAAAAAATCCACTACAGTTAATTACTGCTAGGGACTCAAGAGGCTTTTTTTAGATCTAAGGAAAGAATTGCGATTTTCAATATGCCGAAATTCTTCGGTTATCAAAACAACTGTAAGCTGACACCTATGTTGGTCATGTAACAATGTCTAGGAAAAACTGAAGCATGTAACGCAGAATCGAAAAATTGACCGATTCTCTGCATGCACACTTCCAAAGGTTTCCTTGTTGAGTGCTATGATATGTATATTTGCATGACTAGAAATTTAAAAAAAAAAAAAGATTTCAGAACAAAACATTTAGGGAAATTAAGGATAATCTAGGGACCTACAGACTTGGAACAGGGACACCATGATATCAACTGTTTTGGAGCACTGATAAAATTCTCTAGGCACCTCTTATTTGCTTCCGCTTTTTGCAGTCATAATCCAGTCGCCGTCCTTGAAGTTTCTTGCGGTGATGCTGCAGCAAACAGAAACATGTGCGTTTTAGCGGAAATGTCCTTCATTCAAGCTTTTACGGCAAAGTGTCCGTAGCCAAATGCCGAATAACTAATAAAACTCCGTCATATCCTTGAAAAGATGCGCAGAAATGCTTAGATGAGAAACCCTCTATGCAAAATGTCCGTAACCATACACTCGTGAGTGCACAAAAGCTCCGATGTTGAAGCCGAATGCTAGGGCAACTCTCTTCCAAGGCCCGCTTCAGACGAGGCAATTTTTCCCAACGTCTTGAAGTTGCAACATCAGCAACGCGGGCCTCGCATTCACACGCAGCAGCTCCTGAGGCATGAACTGCTGTGTTTTTAATCATTGCCATAAACTTTTTAAATGTTTCGCATCATTTAGACATAAAGTTACAGATTAATAATGTGTTTCTATATACTTTGATGGCATTGAAAGTATTATTTCATCTTCCTGAAACCATTTAGTTGCAAAAACTATCTATTTCATACCAAAACCAAGGTAAACAGCCTGTCCAGTTATCATCGCTACCACAAGGTGGGAACTGGGGGGAAGGGACACGCTAAAATACTGCATTCCCAATTGGCTGCTGCGCCGCTTCAAAAGTCTAAGAGTTGTTGGAGTTGCTCGTCCCTTTCGAGCCATACTCGATCTGAGCAATTCGTGCCACAGTGCGATGACCTAGCGAATTGTAGGAAACAACTCGCCAGCAACCCTAAAATTGCTAGAAAAGTTGCCCCGTCCGAAGCAAGCCTTAAAAACTGCCGCTTTAAGTGAGAAAAACTGCACCCGCCCAACTTCATCTTTTTATTTACATTAGGAGCACGCAAAGTAGCGTGTGTATTATCTCGAAAACAGGCTGCCTATTTATGGACACAGCCCTTGCACCGGCTTTGCCGCAAGGCCAATCTTTGAGGCTTTCGAATAAAGCCCAGACAGAGATAATGCATTTGTGTGTAAAAAGTCAACCAGCGCTAAAGACGATGAGCATGGCTTTCAACTTTTCAGGATTCAGTTCAGATCCTAATGTTAGAGGTGCTCCATTGTTACCAATGATTAGATTTATTGCTTTATTTGATTGGTTGATAGACAAATTAACTGCATGATTAGTTGATTATTGAATTGATCAATTAATTCATCTACTGTTTTTTTAGAAACGGGTAGATTGAGTGGCTGATAGAAAGATTGGATTTATTGATCAGTGAGTTTATCAGTTGATTGATTTACAGATTAATCCAGTGATCAAGCAGTTGATTGAATGAGTGGGCAATTGCTTGGTTAGTGAATTGGTTATTGGTGAATTGATACAGCATGATCGGTTGGATGATGGATAAAGTGATAAAGCATGATGGATTAGTTGAATGAGTCACTAACTGATCAATTGATAGATTCATTTGATTAGTTCACTGAATAGAATTGATTAGTTCACTGATGAACGGAATTAATTATTGATTGAATAATTGGTTGACTTAACGGTCAATCGACTGATTGGTTGATACATTGATTGGTTGGTTGATTGATTGATTGACTGGCTGAAGAGCCCACCAGAACGTCCTTGAGGTCCTTGGTCTGCAGCTGAGTAAGGGGCTCTAAGAAGTTCTGTTTGACGTTGTCCTCCAGGGCATACTTGATATCAGCCAGCTGCTTCAGCGATTCCCCAGCCTCGATCAGACTCTGGCCTGCGGTAGGCACATGGGCAGAGAAGGCAGAAGTGTCAACCAGTCGGATGTAAGCCCAAAAGCAGGATGATGTTACAGTAGTGCAATGTGTTTATAAGCAGCACGAGAGAGGCACCCGCCACGTCGGCAATATTTCACAAGACATATCAATCAATGCCTTTGCTGATTGGTTCACCAACATAGTGATTAACTGATTGGTCAATTGAAAAGTTTGTTAAACCTCAATCAGCAACTCGCTGAGTCGGCCATGTTGGAACTCAAGCCCCAATACAGCCCAGAAGTGGCTCACCAAAGGGGCTCTCCTCTCCGAGGTCGCCTCCGTACTTGACCATGGTCTCTCCCAGCACCCCTTCCGGCTGAGGATATGCATGAGTCTTGCCCGTGCCTCGGAGTTTCGTGCTTACCATCAGTTTTGCTCGAGATGCTGCGTCGAGACAAAACAAAAAACTCAGGCAAGATGGCCGATGACGATGCATGGGCATCCATACGACTGTTTTACATAGACGGTTGCCATGATGTATTGTGGCATAAAGGAGGTTGGGAGAAAATACCGCAACTGCTCACTGCACCGTAATTTGAAGGGTTCCCATCAATTTAGCGGTATTCTCCCCTGGTTATAGTACGTGAAATACCGGGAGGAGTGCCTACCCCCGTTTCACTAAAAACTGGGTTATCTAGACATGGGTGCTCGCCCGGTCAAATCGGGTGCTTAATGTATAATTTACGTTAATAGTGGGTGCTTGAACGAAATGGGTGCTTCCATGGTATTTTATGGCAGTTCTGTTGAATCTCTTTACCTTAAAACATTGAATCTCTTTTTCTTAAAAAGAGATTCAACGTTATTGGAGCCACCCAAACTAACTACATATTCGGAGTTTCCGGGTTTTACTTGTCCTGGCATGCTATTTATTATCTCAAAATTAAGAATATAGTCACGGAGTAAACAGCAGACGAAGGCGATGCCAGAAACCAATGTTCAAATCTTCCTGCACTTTCCACTGGCGCAACGTTCCTTACGAAACTCGCTCGTCAAGCGGGCAGTCTAGGAAATACAGTATTTTGCACATTTTTTTCGTCCTGCTACAATGAGCTTCCCCCTCCGTGACCCGACATTTGTTTTGCACCACCAGACATCTTACAACCCATTGGACACGGGTTGTGTTGCCCAAATTGCAACATCCGTCCGTCGCATTTTCAATGCTGCTAAAAAAAAAACTGTCGTATAAAAAAAAGGATGGTCGGGACCAAATATAAACATTTAGTAACTGCGAAAAAAAAAAAAGTTCGATTAAACCTTTTGTTAATATTACTAGTTTTTAAGCTATCTCAATGATGCGTTGGACTAGTCATGAGGTAAACCAGGGACCATCAAAATTTTGCCTTTGACTTTATTTTTCGTCGCCCAACTCAGATACACCAGAATTCAGTGAGGCGAAACAAGCGCATGGAGCCGAAGAGGACAGGAACTCAAGGTCGTGTCAAGTGACTGGCAGTCGACAGACAACAAACCAGCGAAACGTGAATGACACACTGCACAAGAAGGAGCACATAAAATAAAAAGAATAAAAACACGGAGGACATTCACGGACTGCATCCTTTCAATTAGCAACAACATATGTTTATTTCGGGGCATGAAAAGTTTGTGGGTTTTCCAGGATCTAGATAAAAACGAGAGAGGGTAGATAAAAGACGGGTGCGAGCATCAAAAGTATGCAACATCAAAAGTCGATCACCCAACACATACCATCACCGTATGTGCAAAAAAGTGCTTTGAATGCACACCGGAATTTGGCAGCGCCAAGGTCCTCAGAACACGTCGTCGGCGATTGGGACGTGAAATTATGGAAACGTTCTTTGTTGGAAAAGCAAAAAGAAGAAAACAATATCCCATCTGCATTGTTAACCCTGAGGAGACGTGAAATGAAATTTATGGGGCCACAACCAGAAAAATCGTAAACATGGACAGTCACGGTACAGTGGCTCAGTCCTTATCTGCCCTCCCGATCATGATCCCTTCCCTTCTGTCCTCCCCCGTTTTTATCTAGATCCGGGTCAACGTGCAAAGTTTTCGTACCCAGAAATAATTTTTCGTCGTTGCTAACTGAAAAAGTATGACTGTCCGTGAACGTCCTTAATGTTTTTATTCTTTTTATCATTAAGTATTCATAGTTACAACACGGTAGCTTTAACCAGACAAGAAAGGGCCGAAAAAGTGGACAGGACAAATGCTTCTTCGATTTCTTCTGCTCGCCGTTTCCGTAGCACCATTTGTATTTCTTTTTTTCTATACTTACCCAGCTAGCCCAGCAGTTGATTTTCGTACAGCTAACCAGAGCTGTAAAGTGTAACTACTATAGAACTTTTCTATAATACAGAATATATTTAAAAAATAGGGTGGCCAGACGTCCCCTTTTTGGTCAGGATAGTCTCATTTTAAAGGTTCATACCAGCCATCCCGTCTTTTTGTCTGAATAAAGCCAAATTTCCCTTTTTTGTGGAAATTTGCTTGCAAAATTAGTACCAAGCAAGGGGAAGAAAAGAAAAAAATGCTTACTTGTGAGAGCGTATTAGAATAAACATACTATAGTATTAAAGCATTATTTTCAGCTTGCACGGATGTGTTTACGGGGAACTTTTCTCTATTACTAAATTTGACATGCTTAGGTTTTGTAGAAAGTGTGCGTTTTCACCATGAACTAAACAATAGCAGGACATTTTCTTTCTCTCTTGCTTTGCCGCTCCGCTACGCTCCGCCCCCCACCCCTCCACCCACGTGCCGTGCCCCCCCCCCCCCCTTCTCCCCCTCCCTTCCTCTTTCCTCCCCCCCCCCCCCCCCTCCTCCCTGTCTCCTTCTCCTTGATGTCCTATTTTCTACTCTGAAGAGTAGGGTCACCCTAATCAAAAAGCTATGTTGAAGTATGCTTGTAACACCAGTACAGGAATTTAAAGCATCGATACTGTGAACATACTGTAACTATGGCAAAGATTTTTTCCTGAAAAAACTGACCTTACCGTTCAGAGACGTAATACACAGTATTCAAATTAAAAGTTCAATTAAAGTAATTAAGTAGCTTCCTAAGTTACAATCAAACTTTAGTGACCATAACTATTGTAACTTAAGCCTGCTGCAGGTTCAGAAAGCCCTCGCATAAAGCAACCCGCCACTTGCGACCTCTTCGTATAAACTTTTACACAAAAGATCATTCACAATTTGATCAAAAGCTACCTGTGTGGGTCCCCCAAAGGTCGCTTTGGACCTCACTACGAATTACTGCTCGTGTCGAAGTTTGTTCAAGGAAGCCCTGACATTTATGGCGTTGGAGGTAGCAATAAGGCTCTTTGAGAGGAGCTGTTCCTTGCACTTTTTAACCTGCAATAAACTACATTACTATAGTTAAATTGGTTGCTTTCAATAAAGCTAAAAAAATGTAAGCAAGTGTGGGTTCATTTTGTATGCAAGCATCTATTGAGCTGAAGAGACGCAACAGAGAGGGACAAACCTGGGTTTGGCTGCAGGTATTCTTTGGTCTTCACAATCAGCTCCTCGACCAGCTCATTGGTCAAGTCAATTTTCTGCAGCAATTAAAAAGCATGCAAAACAAACGTTTATGAATAAGACATGCTGCAAGCAGACCATTGTCTTTTTCTTTGGCATGACAATCTCCCACCACATGTGATTACCCCATGAATAAATCAAATGCAACAATTCTGGCTCATTAAGATAAAAAGAGATGCTTAAAGGGTTCTTGACATATCTATAATAAAAAATTCTTGGGGATTGATAACAGGGTATTTCTGCAAAGAACTCAGCCCCAATTTAGTCTCTTACATCCACCCTGATCCAAAAAAATAAAGTTCTCAAAGAAGAAATCAAGAATGCAGAACTTGAATAGCAGGAAATGAAAGTGTGGAACCTACAGAGAAAAATGTATACGTGCTTTCACCTTACAAAATTGTAAACTGGAACTGCATGTGTAAGGCTTTCAGCTAACAAATCTGTGTCTTTGTCACCATATTTTCTGCACTAGCAAGCAAAAACCTGGCAAAGGCTGCACACCAAAAAACAAAAAGAAAACCCAGATTCTTAGATGCATGCACTGATGTTTGCGTAAATGCAACTAGCATGGGCATAAGTGCAAGAAAAAAAATAAAATGTATTTGGAGCTCAAAATTCATAAAGTCAAAAGACATTAATTTTTTTTCACGCAAACATTGATCATCGAGGGTTGGCTGCTTAGGAATGGCAACGACACGCAACTGGGAATATTTAAGGTAATAAGCTATATAAGGTACATTTTCATTAATAAAATTCATAAAAGAACATTTTGATGACCATAAAAAAAAATGGTGATTTAAAGACACTTTGAGTGTTTAGTCGGAGGGTAACCCATGCAGCTTCTACGGTCGCTGATATCACATTAACTCTGCAGAGGTGCTGCACTCTAGGTTTTGTTTTGGCTTTGATTGTTTTCCTCTGTAAACATATTAATCTGCAGTGAATATGAAAAATTAGGTGGGGGGTACCTTTACACCAAAAATAAATAGCAGTAATCATTTCCAGTAGTGGGAAAAGCTAAGAACTTTGGGAACACCACTGCCAAAACATTTAGTACATCATTCAATGGCAAAGTACTGGGTTCTTGAGAGGAAAAATAACTGCGCTCTTCTCAATACAAAAAAAAAAAATATGCAATACCAAACACTCAGTGTTGGCAGTTGGGAACATGTGCGAAATTTTTCACAATTTACCCTTATCTCATTCAAAAGTTACAATGCTACTTTCTAACATTTTAATTTATAAAATGGAGCCTGTTCTTGGTAACTCACATGGAGCCTGTTCTTGGTAACTCACACTATTCATTTCTATGTATTATGTATTTGTAGGCTTCGTCGGCTGCAATTTTATCTAAGAAAATTTCAGAAAATTTTTTACAACTTTTAGTCAGCCAAGGGTAAATTCTGAAACTTTGGCATCTGATGCAAGCTGCTAGCACTACATTTAAATGGAGGCTAAGCCTTCGGCGATGCATAGTTTATCTTTGCGGCGTCAAAAGGCTGCAAACATATTTGTGGACACCTGGTATATCGCTCTGTACTGAAAGATTAAGCGGGTGGTGTTTTCACGCAGGAAATGAACGATGATCTTTTCCGGTGGTGGGAGAAGCTCGAACGTTTGGGAGCAACACTGACAAAACATTGAGTACATTGACTTGGATAGGAAAGACCTGAAGGAAAAACGCAGATGCACTCCAAAGAACTCACCCTCTCCATTTCCATGTACTCCTCCGTAAACTTGGTCCCCTCCGCTCCCCCAATCTTCTCGCTGACATACTGGAGTCAAAAACAAGAATTGTTCAAATATGAATCCATTCAAGAGCAGAGACTGGACCTAAAACCAAAACCCTCGTGTTTAAGGTCACGCAAGTTGCAAATTTCGAGCTCGAGAAGATTGTTCAGAATGAAATGTTAAATTCTGTAAAAAAAACCATGCCACAAAAACCAACCAACCTGACATGTTAACCATTTCTTGATCTGGGAAAATATGTGGATGAGAGATCGAAACTAACTATGGTATGTTAAGTTTCATTTTAAGAAGTCCTATCTGCTGCAAGTTGTACGTATTCTCTATAAAGAATTTTAAAATGCCATAAATCTCACAGAAAACGTGCAATTCCTTTTAGATTCTTTCACTGAGAGAGAAAAAATATCAATTGAGGTCTTGTTGAAAAAAAAAATGTTATCATATTTTTTAAAGTTTTACTTTATAAGGAAAGCGAAATATGTGCTCAAAATCAATAACTGAATAACTTGAAACATTAATTTCAATAAAGGGAATATTTTTTTCATTCTTGTTTAAATAAAACAAAAAAAAAAAAAACTAGTCCGCACTGCTCAATTAAAAAAATTTAATGAATGCTTAAAGTGTAAAATCTAAGATTTGATGAACATTAGTATGTTGGCCCACCTGGTTCGCCTTGTTGATCTGCTTCTTGAGGCCCGCAAAAGCCATTTCTCCTGTGCTGCCAGTCCAGTGGAACCCAAACTCGGGGGTGAGTCCTGCGCAGAAGCAGATGCGCCGTAGACAATCAAAATACTCTTCAAGACCCCATTGACTCTAAAGAGTTTTACATTGGATCCCAGACACATTCAAAGTGAAAATGAAACCCGGTGTTTTTGCCCGCATAAGAAACCATGCATTCCAGAGAACTGGAACTCAGTGAGAGAGTGACACTAGTGGTGGTGATAAAATGTGAAAGTTTGAACGCACCACGTTAGCTAAATCAAAAGATAAAAAAGAAAAAAAAAAACGATCTACGAGCCGACGTCCACCTCAGCTTAATATGCATTTATTTATTTCAGGATATCTTGCAGTGCCAGAGATATTATTGCAAAGGGTGGGGTTGCATTTTTGTGAAAACAGAAATACAGTACACGTTTCAAAACAGAAAAGAAAGAATATGCAAGCATGCAGTTAAATCAAACTCGAAAGTAGCTTGAAAGAAAACAATAGCCATTTTGGAAGGTCATTTTTCAATTATCTACTATTTATGGCAGGAAGAGAAAAAATATACTAAAAATAATAATGATAACATCATCACACAAACTGAAAAACGCCATATATACATAAATATATATATACAGGGTGTTTCAGAGAACGCAGGCCCAATCGCTCCTGCAAAAACTACTCATCGCAATGAAAAAAGGATTGTGGCGTTTTGGTCCTGGGCCAGGGGCTCATTTAGGAAAGTTATTAAAGTCCGGGATAATGAAGTGGTTAATTATTTTTGCGTAATTAACTTTTTTAATATTGTGTTTAAGGGCATGGTTTAAATTAAAAAATTGCTCAGCATCATTGAAAAAACACTAAATCAACAAATTGCAGAACGATAGAAGGCACGCCAAGCATTTTACGGCTTTCTGAAAAACCGCACAAAATCGACGGGTTTTTAAGTTGCGGTTTGCTATCGGAGCGCATTTCAGCTCCGGCGGCACCGCGCCCTGTGAAGAGATAGTGCAACCAGTCTCTACTGCGTCGCGCGATGACAGCGCAGCAGAGGTTGGTTGCACTATCTCTCCGCGGGGCGCGGTGCCGCCGGGGCCCAGATGCGTGCGATGTGCGAGGTGTGATTAGTGTGTTTTTTTTTTTTTTGCTAAAGCCGTGGTTCAAGAATTAAGTGTTCAGAAATTCTGTTACTTTCTTTTCCTTGGTCCCATGCAGTGAAGTTATAGAGCGCAAAGTATTTTGGCGAGTTCTATATTAATTACAAAACAATATTGGAACCTACAAACCCCACAATTTCTGTCATCACTCAAACGTCTAAAGAAGCACGAGACCACAAAAGCATTTCAACCAAAACGACCCCCCCTTTCTCTCTTCCTCCTCTCTGTCCTCCGTAAATCCAGGGAACGAGGCAGGTGTGATGCGGTTGGAACAGGTCAATCGGGGAGTTAGAATTTTTTCGATACGTTTACTCCACGAGGTTTTCCTAAAATGCCGACCGAAGATGCAGACGACATACTGCTCATCCTCCAGTATCGCTTAAAGTTCGTTCACTTCGTTTTCGACAAATACGACACGACGGCATCCATGACGAAGCGTACGCGTTGCTGTGCTTTTCTGCGTTTTATTTCTGAGGCGCGTCCGCTTTGACCTTCAGCGCCCCCGCAGGCTTCCGTGACAAAGCATCTGCGTTGCTCCGCTTTTCTTTGCGATGAGGCGCGTGCTCGACGACGTATTGGTGCGACCATCTTTCGGGGCACAATGCCACCGCTTTTTCGCCTAATGGGACAGGCAAAGGTTTCGCCTTAAAAGCTTAGTTAATTGTGCAACTTGCCATAACAATTAGATATCCCATATTATGTGCCCCTGGCCATTTACTCACCTCCACATATTGCACTGTGTACCTTTTGTGTGTGTGTTTTTTTTTTCAAATATTGTTTGAAATAAAACTTCAGCATCTTGTATAGAGTAACTAGTAAACCGCTAGCTGACAGCGCTAGAAATAGCTTAACTTCATAAACTATTAAAATTAAAGGTAGCGCTTTTACAAACACGTCTACTTTTTTTCTTTTTTTTTTTTTCTGCTACCAATGTAGGTATGGTTTAATTTGTTCCTGGAAAGGTACGATGGGGCCACCGCATTCAGCCGAACCTATGGTCCCTCGAGGAATAATATACGCTCCGAGAGAAGGATTTTGCTCGTGACATTTCAGACCTCCGCCAAGAATGCGTGCTCTCTATTCTATTTCACCTTATGCTGTACCGCAGAAAAGGGCTACCAGCGCGAGCTCCTTGCTCTAGGGCACATGGCGGCGGCACACGCTCTCCTGCACTAACGTATACTCTGCCTCATACTTAGCGTGCAACGCTGTCAAAGTTACTGGCGCGAGTGTGGGGCTTGATATCGTTGATCATTTGCACGCGATCTCGCGCAAAACAAAAGCATAGATGAAGCCACGCGCTCGCGCCAGTAGCGTTGACAGCGTTGCACGCTAAGTATGAAACAGAGTATAGGAGCTCGCGCTTCTAGCCTTCGCTGCGGTACAACGGCGCGTCGGCTTTCCCGCCAGCGTCTGTTATACGAGGCGAAGCCAACGCTACGAGCTACACGCGCTATCCGGCGTTAGCGGCGAGCGCGAGCCAAAGCGCGTCGCTGTGGGAATTGTTGCATCTCGGAGCTCCGAGGAATACGATCCGTCGAACTCGTAGTAACAGCTGCGCAAACTCGGTCCAAAAACAGCGCCAGGCAATCGACCGGCTCGCGCCGACGACCGCTTTCGACTCGCGCGGTTCTTCTCGAATTTCCTCCCGGCTCTCGCCTCCGCCGCGTCCGCTGGTTGCGGTAGGGTGCCCCGAACGCGTCTCCGACTGGTCTGTTTACCGAGTCCGAAAAAAGCGGTCCCTCGATATGCGCCCGATGACGTCATAGAAGCGTAACGCTGCCGCCGGTCGCGATCTGGCGGCGTCCCAGCAGCGGTAGTGGATGTGGCAGACGCCCGTTCCGCTGCAGGGCGCCCTACAGCTTGACAGTCCGCGGAAGCTTCGGCAGCCGGGAGTTGGGACGCCGCGACGGCAGAGACACTCGCGTCTGCCCGTGCTATTTGCCGGTACTTCTACGACCAACCACCAGGATCGCGACATCCGACAGCGTGACACTCCGGTTTTCGTGACGCCACTTCCGCGCATGCGCTCAGTGGGCATGCGCAGAAGCCAGATTCGCGCTGGCAGCTCCACCGCCGCAGCGTAACGTCCCAGCCGCGTGTGGATCTGTAAGGACATTGTGTGCTTGGTCACGGGGTGGCCAGCAGCTTCCCCCAGGATATTTACTGTTCGAAGGACAGACACCGCGCGAGGAGCAGACGACCCTCTAGTTCGCTCTGATTAAAGGGAGACAGCGGGTAGATCTCTGACAAAGGCCTTTGCCTCTACCCACTAATCCTTCCGACCAGGGTCCAGAGCTCGGGGCGCTCCGACGACACCGCGCGCTTTGTCATCACCTCCTCTCCCTCATTTTTTCTCCGTACAAGTCACTCGAGGGCGCTCGTGCGACAAAAGCACCCCGAAATGCTCACTGCGCGTGGCATGGATACCCGTGAAAAGAACGGAATAATAATCATAATATACCTAAATAAATAAAAAAAAAAAAAAGATTAAAAAAACAGGACGGGAAAGTAAGAAATACAGAAAAGATGAAGGTGGGTTAGAATTATGACAATTGTTACTAAAGTTGGACATCGCTTCTCGGAACCTCGGGAGCAGAAAGTGAACTTGTACTAAACAGCTGTCAGTCAGAAACCCTCAAAGTCGGAGAGTGCCAAGTTATATGGACGGCTACATACTAAAATTTACGAACTATCTCCAAAGTCGGAGCACAGACCCTAAAACACAGTAGCGAATTTAAAGGGACACTGACAGGGTATTTATGCTCGCCGAGGTTGTTAGTTGTACGTGACATATGAGGGCTCAACTACCCAGAACAGAGTTTGCGGCTCGAAATTCGGTTTCTTTCCGCCCGAAAACCGCCGATCAAAAATTGGCCGGTTCGAGTCTCGCTCACTCTCTTTTTCGCGGTCACGGGCCGTTTTCTAAGGTATCGATGCGACCACCAAATTTAATCAAAGTCGTGGGTCACTGAAGGCACACACTCAATATTAAAAATAGAAAAAAATATGAAACCTATTTTTTGTGGCTTCTAAAAAGCTGTAAATACGTTGATTGAAAAAAAAAGTTCCACAGACAACCGGAAGCATTCTGTGCGTTCGTCGTTTCGCGTATCGTGGGACTCGCGGGGACGGCGATGGCAGCGGACGACGGGCGTGGGACCTCTATTTCAGAACTGTCGTTCGCGGTACCGGCGAATTCTGTCTACCGTTAAAAGAGAAATTTGGGACTGATCAAAAGAATTGGTATTCATCCCGTACGACACGCCCGGCCACCAAGCCGATTTGCACGAAGAGGTCGCCGAGCCGTGGCTCCCTTCTCGTGGCTGAAGACAACGCTCGCGCAAACGTCAAGCACGACGTGTCTACTTCGAGTTGAATATGCACGCGTACGATTTCTTTACTAGGTGCGAATGTCCCCAAAGCGTGGTGCTTCCCGACTTCGACCCGGGAGTGCTTTTGCTAGAGAAAAATCGACAGCAAACTTTCCAACTTACAGTTTACCGGCTGAATTATTACTAAGGAAAGAGATCCACCAAAAACGAGATGCCCCAGTAGCTCAGTGGGAAAGACGTCCGCTTCACACGCGGTAGGACCGGGTTCGATCCTCCGTGCATTTTTTTTTTCAAACATTTTCTGATGTTTACATATCTTTTTCTTTTTTTTACACTCACTGAAGAAACAAACACAAAAATAACAAACAAATGTTGTGGACGATACTTCGCTGAATTAAACGGTATGGGATTTCCGTTTTGACACCTGCGAACTCAATGTAATCACTTTCCACAAAATGCAAGGAGCATGTAAATCAGGTAGCGTCCGCTTTCCGAGGTGCCCGTAAATGTTCTACAGGAATTGCAGCCAGCCATTGGTCCCGATCCCGTTGATCTTTCGAC